TGTCCGAATCTGCAGGAAGACCCACTGGGATTGTTGTATGCCTTTATGAGGCAATCCACCAATCAATCACAAGCCATCACCAGATCGGTGTCTAGCTTAGGAGAAGGTATGACTGGGTCTCCTCCTGTTTTCTCGGCAATGAATTTCTGTTCGGTATATTCACATGCCTCATGAGTGACTGTCAAGGCCCAAGTGCGCCAGAAGGTTATTTCAATATCAGGAGGTGGAAGACACATTCATGATGGTGTTGATCTTGGGAAATCAGATGGTCAATGCTGGATGTCCACAGACTTTAAAGGTGGTGGAGATAGGGTGGATCAGATAGGGAACCTTGATTTTAGCTTTCAAAGATGGATTATCAGTTCATTGCTATACTAATATGTCAATGAAATACCAGATAATGGGAAGGGTGCTAGATATCAAATATTTGAGTGTTGGGACCCAGGACCCGGAACTCCCGGATCCTGGAACTTGGTACATGATGCTTGGTTCATTCAAATTTCGGTAGTTGGAACTTAGCTTTCAAAGACGGATTATCATTCATTGCAATGTTAGTATGTCAATGAAATACCAGATCATTGGAAGGGTGCTAGATATCAAATATTTGAGTGTCGAGACCCGGGTCCCAGAACTCAGTACATGATGCTTGGTTCAGTCAAATTTCGGTAGTTGAAACTCACCTTTCTATGATGGATTATCATTCATTGCGATGTTAGTATGTCAATGAAATACCAGATAATTGGAAGGGTGCTAGATATCAAATATTCAAGTGTCGAGACCCGGGTCCCAGGGTCCTGGAACTCGGTACATGATGCTTGGTTCATTAAAATTTTGGTAGTCGGAGCTTGGCACTTGGCACTCGATAGTCCCACCCGTCTATATCATATAATAACCTCGGCCCACCCGTCAACATCATATACATCTGGGCCCACCCGTGAATATCATACAACACCCTCGGCTCGGCCCACCCGTCAACATGATGTGTCTGGGCCCACCCATGTATATGATAACAATTAAACTCGATGCCTGGAACTCGGTGCCCGGAACTCGGTACTCGGTACTTGGTGATTTGTTCAATTTATGAAATACCCGGAAGTCGATATTAGTTACCTGGAACTGAATATTAGTTACCCGGACATCAATAGATGTTACCCAGAACTCGATAGATGTTACCTGGAACTCGATAGATGTTACCCGGCCCATGGATATGATATCAACCATCTCAGCCCACCCGTCTATATAATATACTACCACCTCGGCCCATATGTCTATATGATATGTATCTGGGCCCACCCATATATGTGATATCCAACTACCTCGGCCCACCCATCTATATAATATCTAATAAATTGCTCTCTCGGCCCACCCATCTATATTATATACCCCCACGTCGGCCTACCCATCTATGCAATATATGACTACCTTCGGCCCACCCATATATATAATAAATATTTTACCGCTCCCTCAGCCCACCCGTATATATAATAAATATTTCACCACTCCCTCAGCCCACCCGTCTACAAAATAATCTTAATTCGTCGGCCCACCCATCTAATATGATATATATCTGGGCCCACCCATCTATGTGATAACAAGCACCCTTGACATACCTGGCTATTTGATACACATCTACCTTGGTAAACCCATCTACATAATATCCAACTACCTCGGCCCATCCGTCTATTGAATATTCATGTCTATCGGCCCTACTCATCTACTCTACATATTCCCTACATGGGCCCACCCATCTCCATCGGGAATAATAACACTCCTGGCCCATCCATCATAGTCAAGGATATATCTACCTTTGGCCCATGGTCTGCTGGCCCATATCATACGGGATATTATGCACATCCGTTCACTCGTATAATACCAAGATATGTTACTGCAATATGTGGGGGGCAGTAGCAGGTCTCTAGGTCTTCGTTGTCATTCGATAGCAGAGTCTTCAGGCATAGCCCACTCCAGCATACTCAGATCCGGGACCAGACACATTTGCAGGATGGATGTTGACCATGCGTGAAGCTTCTGCAGTGATGCATGCCATGCAGCTTTTGAACGTGAGTGTATTCATTTGGAACGAAGCAGTAATGGGGTTCCCGCTGCCAGTGAGCGCAGAACTGACGACTGTGGCAGAGAAGCTGTCATGCATGCGCTGCTCAAGTTGCATGCAGAATAATTGCCACGCAGAAGATGAAGGCAGCCCAGTTAGGATATTGAACACCGCTTGCTCATCAGAATAGGAAGCACCCATGCCTATAAGACGATCACGGCAACTGATGTGTTGACCGACATAGTTGTTTGCATCATGTGTGTCTTTCATACGAAGTGCCTGGATGCATCTTCGAATGACGAATTGAGAACTGACGTCATTACGATGGAAGTGGTCTTTGAGGATTTTCCAAGCTTCATGCGCTGTAACAGAAGTGTTCCAAGGAATGAGGAGATGAATGCTAGGTGCGAGTTTACAGAGGATGATTGTCTTGGCCTTAGAGTCATTGATCAGCCAGGCTCGCATAGCTGCCTTCTCAGCATCAGTGGGAGTAGCTGGAGTAGCTGCGACAGGCAAGAACAAAGCCATTCCAAGAATGTTGCCCGGATTTGCATTTTCAGTTACATGACACCAGAGGTCATCATTTGTTAAGATGAGTTGCGCTTGTGTCTCCCAGGGAATATAATTGTCCACTCCAGTCAACTCTGGGATGTGGTCATATTTCCCCATTATTGGGGCGACGTGTCAGAGAAGGAGTTGAATTAAAGATTTGAGTCGCTCCAACAAGAGGGAGTTCGTAGTACTTCCAGTTTCTGTGCCGTTTAGGACACGGGGCTCATAACCTGTTGGAAAGCATGACGCTAAGACAACTCTAAGTAAGTGTGAAACAAACAGCAAGACAAACGAGACGCGTACCTCAGTGTTGGTGAACAACGACTGAGGGACGCAAAGAGCAAGACGACAAGGTATTTTTATGTTACAAGATATGGGACTCAAACAGCCGGAGAAGACAGTGACCATGCAACGCCAAGCACAACGCATGTGGTACGAAGTGGCAAGGTTGAACAATACCCTAAAGTAATATGTTTTGAGCTCTTTTGTTGATGGTGTCGTTATGACTAAGCTGACAACACGAACAAAACGACGATTCTCTTCAACTTCCTGTCCGTGTCGTCTTGTGTCCTTCACTCTATTTTAGTCGAACGAAACATCTAGTAAGCTGTCTGCAGGCGAATATTACGAGTGTCTCGTCTCTCCCACCTCTTCACATCATGGTACGCAGTAACGCATCACAGTTGCCGTAGCCAGACAATTATGATACCCAGACTGCAACTGGCCGCTACTCTGATATGAACGCTAGCATGTCAGCCAAGAACAGCGAGCTACATAATATCCAGAAAGCACTTACGGTGTAATACACACAGCCCACTGATGGTTTTTCGCTCAAATTATCCGCGATGTAGCTGCCAGTCTATCAGTTACTTTGTTCAATGAAGATGTATGGTGCGACGCACGTGCAATGTGTCACCTGACCCTTTACGGTGACATCATATGAGATCAAGGTACTACCGTCGTCGTATTTCACTGTGGATGGGCACTTCACACACGCATTGGTACCAGTGAGGAAGCTGAGCAGTGCAAAGATGATGGAGAGGGAAACAAACATGATGGGGTTTGTGGAAGGGAATGAGGCAAAGCTATAGGACCAGGCAGGTATTTTATAGGCTAATTTCCGGTGTGAACGTACAGGCGTTGCTAGCTTTGCTGCTGAGATGCCCTACTTCAGACGAAAACAGTTGAGCCAAAACGCATGACGATCTCCGCAGACTCGAGAAGAGCTGTAAACGTCATGGGAAGTTGATGTAGCAAGTACTCAAAGGGAGATCTACGGCACGATAGGGTCGTGGGGCGCAAGAGAATCTCCAGTTCCTGGGAGGCCTCGGCTTCGCGTTGCTCGTCAGATATGTCCACGTTCATCGGACATTGTGAACAACACTCTCCGTAATATGACCATCCTTAAATCGACGACGCCAAACCTCCTGCCCAACGTGTGAGTTTTGGTCTTCGCAGAAGTTTCGTGGGCAACAAGACGGAACTCCATAAGGTACAGTTGAAAAGCCGATGTTTATAAGCAGGTGTTAAATATTCCGGTTATTATTTATAACACTGTTAAAAAACCGCTCCGTAATTTGGCCTGTTGGAAATCGTGAACAATTGTAGTCATGCAGGGCCATCTGCGCCGTCCGGACAACTTCATAGCTGCCGTCACGGAAGGCACGATCAGGATCATGAATAAGGCTGATCTCGATCGTGGATGTTCCGGGACTCTCTGCCTAGGATATGGGGCGGCAAGGGGGTACTGGGCTGAACAATGGCTATCGCTTGGGTGTGGTTACCAAGACCTCAGAGTAGGATGTATGTCATACTAGTAAAGGCCAGGAGGGTTGCATCGGAAGAGCAAGAGAGCCAAAGTAGGCTGGCTGATCCCAAGATGCTCGCGATAAGAAAAAACTTGCACTATCACTGTATCAAGGTGAGTGGGGAGATTTCACCAGCTTTCAGGAAATATTGAGCGATGTGTCATCAGGTGTACCAGTGCTCCAGTGTGTTTTACGATGTGTCAGTCAGCAGCATGGATTTACAAACAGCGGCAACGGAACTCACCAAGTAAAGTGAGGTTCCAGTGAAAGGAACTTCAGACAAACAGTTGATGAAAGTTGAAAGTAGATGTCGCATTGACGAGTACAGCCGCTGGGTGATCTGGAGGGTAGCACTAGAAAAAGAAACACTAATGCGCAAACTTCATGTTAATTTGCTAAGCTCCCTATCAGTCTATTAGCTGTTCTCATGAAAGGGAATAAGGAAGGGGGAAATCGAGCGCAAGCGCTGAACAATTGGTGTAAGTGTGGAAGGACGTAGCGTGAGAAAAAGAAGGGACGACTATCTTCCGTTTTTCAAGGTCTGGCTTGGGGAGACTAGTAGCGTGAGTCAAGGAAACGGGTTCGGTTCAGAGCAAAAGGTCGAACCTCGGACCGAACGCCAGCGAACGGGTTCGAACCACCGAACCGATCAAAATGTCTTCCGCATTTGCTACGATTGCGGCCAGGTCAACCATTTCATGTCCTTGTGGAAAGATGTTCGTATAAATAATCAAAAAATGCCAATAAGGAGACGTCTGAAACATACCTGTAGTAGTGAACAGCATATTGATAAGTACATTTCGCCATAATGCCCTGCAAGTCCACAGAGCTCGCGCTCATGAACGATGCACATGAAGGACAGCATGTTATTCTACTCGGGGTTCTGCGGGGTTGTTGCGTGCATCAGTGACGCTGTCCTGATTATAAAATCACGTACTTGAGTTCATTCAAGTATGCTGCGTAATCAGTATTGTCTCTAGCACGACAGGTTAAAGGAAGGCGGGAAACAGAGCACACTACTTGTGTACTGTGTGGGACCTGATGACGACGACCCAAGTGACGGAGGTCCAACCAACTGAACACCGCTCAGCGTTATCAAGCCAACACGAAGTACACTCACTAGTGGGCGTTCATGCTGACGTAGGTGATCGCTGTACGTAGACTATGCAAATGAGGCGGGCGACAGGGTCATATGGGCTCGTTGATTTTTGTTAGGATCTATGTGAGTTACGACGGCGTACTACCTTCTCCAACCGAATAGTGACACACGCGCAACTTGTAATCAAGTGAGCTACTCTCCTTTGCGTAGGTGAGCCCTACCCCAACCCGTGCAGATCCCTAGATGGCATTAGTACAAGAACACAAAAATTAAATGACTCGTACCCATGGCTACTTATTCTAGCTCACAGAACTCCCAGGATGCGGAGAGTCATCACTAGGCATGCATTGGTAGGCAGTGGGTTGCGGTTAAAGGCATTGTGAAGGGCAGTATCAAATGGGCGACAGTTGGCATGAGCAGGAGTATAACATGCAAGCTGTTCTGTTAATTAGTGCTCATCTGCTTTGCTCTTGCGCAAAGAAAACTCCGAGGGTACGTACGACAAGCTCTGATTCGTGCTGCGCGAACAGCGATGTCTGTCGCTGAGTGGAGAACACAAAGTCATCCGAATGCAGGCCCGACCGGGTGGCATGCACAACGTTGTAAACCTTTCAAATTCAGCGTTCAGCGTCAAAATTCAACAGAAGTCACTGGGCCACACTGAAATTTGCACAGCCACATAGCCTGAGACAACTAAGCGGTATGTACCTCTTTCTGGCTGCGCTCAGTATGCGGCTGAGACGACTTGTGAACGTAGCAGGAATTCATTCAGCTCTCTCTCCGAACTGAGCTGACATTCAGCAGCCTGACAATCGCTGCGCTATCATGGATGAAGCTGGAGTTGGGAATTGGATCTCGAATCACAAATATCAGTCACCTCCACATCCTCACCGACCACTGCCCGCACATGCACTAAAAGTGGAATGTTCTCCTTCCTATTGACGTTTTTCTTCATACTTCGGTGTTGAGCAGTCATCTTTTTTCTCCATTCTGTCTCAGAGATACAAATAAGTCTCCGCTAACTATATGTTTCTTTCACCCCTGGTTGCTCTTGAGGACATCGAAGCCAATTCAGAGTCCTCCCCTATAACTCGCTACTAGTAACTCACACGTTGTGTCATCAACCATACTGCATCGATGTGAAAGCAGAAACACAACTCACTACCACATATCCAAACCAATTCTACCACGCCGGTGAGTCATGTGGCTTTAATCCAGGACGCAAACTATTCATACTCATGCATAGTTTCGTCTTAAGGCAGCCTACGCATTGGCTATTACGCTTGCAAGATATAGGACATCTCACTGTCAGGGTCATTTGCAGGTTTGGATGCTGGATATTGATGCTGTCAAAGCAGCAGCAACGGCGAGGACAAAGGATAAACGCATTGTTTGTGAGGATGTGATATAGGATCAAATAAATCTGAAGGGATGGTAGGAAAACGGCTTACTTTTACGTACTGAATATTGTTATTCTTGGCAAATGTAGGAAGAACCTATCCGCCCTTTCGAACAGTTGATCTGCAATGCCAGCACCTAGGATTGTACGTATCTACATAGTGACACTTTCAACGGAACGTGGGCTGATTTTACGTGTGTGCACATTTGCAGCGTGTCAAAGTCGAGGAATCCACGGTGTTCTCGCGGAAGTATTGCACCGAACTCACGAATTTGTTGACCCTGTCCATTCGAGGTGGAGATATGATGCTATAGAAGTAGTGACACAGTGCATTTTACGCCACGCAGCTAGGTTGCCCTGAACGCAAGCCCGAACGCCACGCTGATCCGCCGTTCCTCCAGAGGATTATCCGACTTTATGTGTAGTCCGGGCCGACCTGTCGCTCCTCAGTGGGAGTGCAGAGCCTGAATATTATAGGCAAGAGCGGCAAGACATACTGGACGATCGTGTTTAGCGTCGAGAACCACTTGGGTCTCATCGAGTCCAAAGCGCGGATAAAGTGGAATGACGACGTGCGTAATTTCCATAAATTTTCATTACGTGTGTTGAGTCGACTGCGATTAGGGAATGGCCAAGTAGTGCCTAGGACCGGTGATATCTCTAACTCTGTCTATAGTGGACTTGCATCTGTCATGTCTTCTCATGTTTTTTCTACATCTTGTTCGTTTCTCTACAGTATCTCAACCTTCAGTGACGCCAGCCATCGAAGTTCCGAAGTCTAGGATGCATGTCAGTCATGACCCAGACTCTCGAACGTCGATGGTGGGCAAAACGATGTTGCTACAGCGTTGGCCTCTACGAGTCCTGGGCCAGGCTCATCCAACAGCCATCAACATCTACTACGTCGGCCGCCATCAGGCAGGTCTTAGTCAAGCACTTGCTGTGATTTACAAGCACTGCAAGGGCATGCACCGTGCGCACACTTTTATTGATATGCATACTGTGGGTAAGTGAGGATAATTGGATACTAGGCCATATACAACGGTAAAAAAAACCAGTTCGCGTCCAAGTAATACCAAGATAATTCATCACATGCATGACATTACAACCACCAGCACCAGCACCTCAAACAAGACACAAGTACAGGTGTCTGCTCCTTCCGAGTCTGCACAGGTGTCGTCCTTCACACCATCTGCAGTGCGCACTCGAACTAGAAGACCCCTCCCCCGCCCGCATCTTCTCTAACCATCGCCTCTCACGCGCCAATTCTCGTCCATCACCCGCACCAAAACTCGCTTCCAAATCCTTCTGGGACGGGCTCCACCACAAAAAGTCCTCCGTACTCGATACAAAAACAAACGGTATGTCCACACGCATACTTTCGTTTCCAGTGCGCTACGCGCGAGTACGGCTGGTGCATTGGCTGTAACTTAGGGGGTACGTTCCTGCAAAGCAAAAGCAACACAATCATCAGTGTTTGCGTGTGTGGGAAGGTTACGGAGGAGGGTATGTACTTCCGAAGAAACTGACGCCTAACACAAGACTGCGATATCCCATCCGTCACGGGACTCTACAAAGACCACAAATGAATAAACCCAACACCATGACACCCACCACAAACACACACCGACATGAACGAATGCACATATGGCTGCCACCTCTCCGCCAACGTCTCCGAGTAATCGAACCTCAAATTGTCTGCGAGCTGTCCTGACAACACATAAACATTAAACACTCGACGGTACGTGAGGAAGGTAAGAAACGCACCCAATCCACTCGGAAAAAATTCTCATCGGGCTCAAGAAGATTATCCGCAAACCTCCGACTATTAAGCTGGTCCTGGATCGTCGGTACTTGCATCACCCAATCGCGCCCAAAAGAAAAAAGCCCTTGACTCCTAGCATCAGCCGATGCAAGCTAGACTTACCCCACACCAAAAAACGACTCATAACATCAAGATACTGGAGGACGAAAACGCACCTGCTCGGTCAACGACCCAATCACCGTATCAATTGTATATATCCGATACGCATCCTATCACCCAATATCCGAGTCAACACCCCATTCCACAAAACAACACGCAGAAGAAACGCACCTAAACGACGTATATCGCATCTACTCCTTAAACACATGCCGTTCAATCCCATCATAAAAATAGTCCGCATGAGCAGCACGGTCATCGATCTAAGCGAGTTGTGTAAAGAACGGCTTGCTGTAGCGACGGGGTGGCTTGAGAGGCTGATTTAGGTGCTGAGATGGCGATGCACGTGCGCTGAGCTGTCGGAAGAATATGAATGCCTTGTAGGGGTACATTAGGAATGTAAGACCAGTAAAATAAATAGAACAATGCACCTCGAAAAGTCACAAAGTACGTAGAAAACAATATTCCAAAAGTACACATTTTCCCTCGACGCCTTGCACAGCGGTGCAGCAGGCTCCCGTTCACCCTCCTCCATGGCGTCTACCTGCATCGACTCGTGGTGTTCTTCACTGCGATGGAGTCCTTCGTAGAGGTTTTTCTTGTGCGCTATGAAGGCTGCGTCTTCGGAGAACCAGGTTGCGTGTGAAACGTTGAGGGCTGCGCGGCACATGCAGGTGACATTGGCTTCCTGTGGAGTGGTTAGTCGGGATACTTGGTAGATAGACGTACGCTGGCGGGAATACGACGGTAACTTCGTCGTTGGATACCTGTGTTTAGTCCAATAATCACTTGACGTGAGTTCAATACACAATGTGACAAAACAAACAACAAGATGATGAAATCTGAAAAAGGGTGTTGAAACCCGGTAGTACAGTCTGCAGCACTCAGCAGTTGAAGCTGGGGTGCTTGGTATAGTACACAGTATGGGAAGGAGCTTGAAAGCAGCAGGCGTGCTCGGTATTATGCACAACACGGAATAGCATGGGGGGAACATTAGAAAGCATGGAACTTGGCTCGAACATCATCTACTTCTTCGCTGTCAATTCCTTTGCTGCGGAAGGTTGGTCAAATTCAAGTTCTGGGTTCGAAACGAGGCTAGGGACGTACACAGGCGATTTGCAAGGATGAACTCAAGAATCTTCTTCTTCATCTCCTCTTTCTCATAGCCTCTACCAACAATTTCCGTCACGACTTTCTCCACAGTGACAGCCATAGGAGATTTCACATAATAGTCCGTGGCAGACTTAATGAACTCCAGTCCCTGGTCATGCTGGAGGAAAGCAGCATATTCGAGGACAATAATGGTAGCTAGCCACACAATCGAAACTAACCAACACCAGTCTCAATGATTCTTTTCGCAGTAGTGAACCATGTTGCCTTGCCAGCCTATTGCAAATTCTTAAGAGTGGCGAGGATCAATGCGAGGAACTGTACCCACCAAAGGACGAAGGGCAGACAACATATCATATCTCCGAGTTTTGATCTAGTGATTGAGACAAGGGGAAGGTGTTACTGTTAGAACCAATTGAAACACAGCGCTTGCCTCCTGGTACACAGTGATGTCAAAATCATCAGGTGACATTCTTGAAAATACACTTACATGCTGTTCGGGTAATATTTTTGAATAATAAACCACCAGAAAATGTCCGCTATGATGATTAGATGACTTACAAACTACCAAGGAGATAGATTCAGATTAGAACCACAAGATAAGAGTAAAGATCTGCCTAGCAGATCATCGATGGACTTACAAGCTGTGGAAGGTCAACAAAAACCATGTCAGGGGAGCATTTATATCAAAGGAGATGTCATACATCCTGCAAACATACAACAAAGGGATTACTATGGTCCAGTTGCGAGATTACTGGGCTATTGAAACACACTCACGGCCTAGAAAGAAAGTGCAAATCAGAATTAATGCATAAGGACTGGAACATAGTAATCAACTCACATTCTGTGCAGGGCATAGAAATGTGTAAGAGGAGCAAACATAGAAGAGAAGGTCCAGAGTATGGATACTCAACAAACTGTGCATGATGTAAGTGACAATTTACAGAAAAAAAGAGGAGACTTACATTGGGCTACAAATGATTTTGATTGTCATTATGTCAGTATCATGTCAAGGCAATGCAAAGTCAAAAGACCTACCACCTGTCAAAGAGCCAGGGGGAGCAAGAAATGGGGATCATCAGCATAGGTTCAGGATGAGAAACCATCCAGGCACTTACCTCCTGTCAACAGGCCAGCAGCAAAAAGTGATCAGCATCAGCATGGGTTCAGATGAGAAACCATCCAGGCACTTACACTGCTATCAACAGGCCAGCAGCAACAAGTGATCAGGATCATCAGCATGAATTCAGGATGAGAAAAAATACAGGCACTTACCTCCTGTCAACAGGCCAGCAGCAAAAGGTGATCAGGATCATCAGCATGGGTTCAGGATGAGGAACCATCCAGGCACTTGCCTCCTGTCAACAGGCCAGCAGCAACAAGTGGTCAGGATCATCAGCATGGGTTCAGGATGAGAAACCATCCAGGAACTTACCGGCTGTCAACAGGCCAGCAGCAGCAAAAAGTAATCAGGATCATCAGCATGGGTTCAGGATGAGCAACCATCCAGGCACTTACATGCTGTCAACAGGCCAGCAGTGCAAGCCATCAGTATTGTCAATGCTGTTTGAGTTTTGCAAACCACAATCTTACCGGCTATCATTAAAGAACAACTAAAATCATGGAAAAGATATCAGAATAGTCTACAGTTTCAGTATTGCCATATTTACCATTTGTGAGCATCCTCGCCAAGCATTGTCATATTGAATCAATCATCTTACTTTGATGTATGAAAACCACTTAGCAATGTCAAATTGGTAGTCTTCTTGATGAGTTAGATGTAGGAAGGATTGTTGGTGTGCATGATTAATAACTGTTCTAGATGATGTTAAAAAACAACTAGGTGCTAGTTCACATGCAACTTTGCCACTCACTTAACAACATACTTGATACAAAGTTCCATGTTGGACTGTTGCGTCGACACAAAGCACAACTCCAATTCTTCATTGTCCAATGCAAATGCTGTGTGTTCCAGTAGCGTGTTACAATTTGTGTCCGCCCGGTTCATATCTGGGTGACTCGTGTTGACTTTGACACTAGACAAACCAATATTGAACTACTTACTCTCCAAGCATACATAGGACTTGGGACTGGGCATAGTTTTTGGTATCGCACAATCGATCCCAGACACGCATATTCTTGAACAATTCTTGAACATGTTTGGCAATCCTCTTTGATCGTTCTTCTTTTGATAGCCCACCTAGGTCCTTCTTGATTTCTCCGAACAGCCACTGGATGCAAAGCCTTGAACTTCGTGAATATCACGATTATGGGAACTGAATGGTATTTAGTACGAGCATAGTCAGACACTGGAGTCGCACGCTCACCATTACCAGTGTTGCATTCAGAGAAGAACTTCTCTTCTGCCCGTTGGATTGTTTGACAATGGTCGTCCATTGGAATACAATACCTGTATGATAGTAATGGATGAGCAGGCAAACGCGGGAGGGAGTCACTTGCCAGATAGCATGTATTCATTCCTCTAATGTCGTCATGTTCGCTGCGTTCTGAGATAAATCTCTTCATATCCTCGAATTCTTCTGCAGAGCCCGCTTCGAAACCACACGAGTCGTGAAAGACAAACCCGGGATTGCTCTTGAACACCATCTCGTTCCTAATATCATGATTTCCACGCTGAGCACCCATCAGCGCATGCATACTCGTAAGGCAGATGACAGTGCACACACCAATCTCGTGCCTTCCACGACGGTGGCATCGATCTATCCACAAGCATGATCAGCACTCGACGCCCGCATGTTATAAAACATATCCCACACCTTGTCTCCTTTGACATTGTAAATCTCTGGATTTTCTGTGGTATTGCAGACCTTCTGCAGGATGGTTGTTTTGCCTGCATTGGCTCGGCCTAAGATCAGAACTCGAAAGCGCCTAAATGTCTTTCTGAGGTTCTGAGGGTCAACTTTGGGTGCCATCAGGAGATCTGGATGTGCGTATTGAAAGAGGCGATGGCTTTGTTGCTCATCAGCAAAAGTGCCCAAACCTGACGAGGTCTCGGATGGCCTAACAGGACCATACACGACCTTGCGAATATTGGAAGGCCTGCGATGCCTCGCGAGGAAATAGCCCTGTCTTGGATGGCCTTTCAAGGGCGTGCAAGGCAGGTTGATCGTGTGAGGCTGCTGAGGCTTGCAAGGGAATACTAGGTCTTACTAGATCACTCGAGACTTGTGTACATTAGAAGGCCCCACGAGATCACGCGAGGTATTTGTACCCAACAGGCAATGTATTAGTGCAATAGTACTGGTATCAAAAAATACATGAGTTGAACGAAGTCCACTGGCATGCAGTAAAGTCCAGAGCAGGCAGCAACAAGGCAGGTAAGTGAGAAATAGAGAATGAAGCTGCAGCAATAAAGTTCGAGTCCTAGTAACCGTTCTTTCGTCGACCGGAGGTTCTTCGAGGGGCATCTAGAGCTGTGATGGCTTTCTTTTTTCCTTTTTGCTTCGAGGGAGCGAGGGGGGCATCAAAAAGGTTTGCAGCTTCTGGGGGGAAGTCATAGTCAGTCAGATCAGACAGTTGGGATGAGAGGCGTAGACTCGGCACTGGTGCTGGCCAGGACTGCTAATCATGATGTCAGCAGAGTGAAAAAAAGGTCCTAGTGACATACCCCAGTCATACCCGACTGCTCAGTCACGAGCTTGCTTACTGAATCCTCGTGCTCGTGAGCAGTGCGATGAGGTTTCGGCTTGGGTTTCGGCTTTGGACGTGAGGGCTGATCCTCATTGTCATGGTGAACGGAGGAACTCGCAGGACACTGTTGCTTGCTTGGGCGAGGTTGCTGTTCCTCTCCGTCACAATCCAGTGTAGGTCGGCCCGCTCACATTGAAGCTGGAGCCACATCATAGCTGGTCGCCTCAGTAGAGTACTGAGCTTTGAATTTGGAGGGCAGTGCTTCCTCCTCATAATCGATAGCATCAGAGATGGAGACTGGATGCTTGGATTTGAGCTTGCGAGGAGGTGGGGTATGGTCCCGAGCATCGAACTCTGGGTGACACTGGCGGTGCATTGGTTTTTGGGGTGGTGTCAGTTGGTCATCGTCGTCGTCCGAAACAATCACATGGCGCTGGGGCAGGGACGTGGGAGGTGGGTGCTGTTGCCCATCTGGTCGGGGGTGGGTTGGCTTTGGCCGTAGCGCTGCAAGCTCGTTGTCATTGTCGTCATAGGTAGAAATGTGGCACTGAGTGTTAGCCTTTTGGGGACGTGGTGAGTCAATGGCCTCGCCTGCCCGCCGGATTCGTTTGGTTGCACGTGGAATATCCTCTTCGTCATGGTGCTCTGCAGGGCAGGTGCGCTTGCCACTTGTTGAGGGCTCTCGAGTATCGTTAGGGTTGACTGGACGCGACGGCACTGGGAAATAGATATCAGTACCATCATTGTATATACATCTATCACGTACCTAATACAGAACGGCATGCAGCTCGCTGAGCACGAATCTGAGCAATGTCATTCTCACTTTCCTTTCGCATGAGCTTGGCCGAGTTTGAGTTCTCTTTGGTTGGTTTGAGGTGCCTGTGAATGATTAGTGCTGAACTAACCATGCAGTGAAACGTACCTGTTCCACCACGTGAGGGTGTCTTTGACCCATGGATCGTTGTCGTCATCTAGCATTTCAACGATAGCCCAGAGGAGCTCGTCCAAGTCCATGTCGCCAATATACCGAGTCCAGTGCTGAGCACTGCTGATGGTAAAATATTTCTATGGGTCTGTGAGAGGAGTATTGATACTAGAAGCAAGAGAACTAGACTTACGATGACGTGAATGTATGCGATGATGTATTTGTTAACAGCCGTTAGCCCCCATGCACGATTTTTCGACGGTTTTGCTGAATTGCGAACATTTGATGAGTCGTTGGTGACGGAGGAGGGTCCAATGAAAAGATGCTTGTAAAACTACGGTGACTTCGCTATAAATCAATGATGGCATAGAAGACGAAGACGCACCCTCACGACAATATGGTTTCGAAAGAGACCATTTGTCTTCTCGGCAGAATCGTAAATGTCGTGTTCATAGAAGAATGTAGGCCAGTTGTATGCTGTCATAGTTATTTCGCCAGCTTGCAAGGCAGCCATAGCACTGAACATAGTGACATCAGTACAAATAATCAAAAGTAAGAAACGCATATGAATCAGGGTCGTCATCAAACCAATCCAATTTCTTCCGAGGGCAAAGCAAACGGGCCAACTGTGGGTGATTGAGCCCACGCATTGACTTATCCTTGACTTCTGGAATTGGCGGGTCAAGAGCATCGGCCTTGCTATACATATTCAGGCCAATGTATTGCAGGCCCTTGTGCTTGACGGAGCTCAGATCCGCAGATCGGCCATCGCTCATACCCTTCGATACCTATCACAAGAGATCAGTTGTCAGGGTCAGATTTGAGTGCAAACAGGCGCATATATGCACATATAGTCACCATTGCAATGATTTTGTTGAGTTTTTTGCTCGATATGTTGCTGAGCTCGCTCTCGAGACCAGGAATATAGTCGATGATGCCATTGTACAATAATAAATGCCGATCAGTGACATCTTTAGATCTGTAGCGAGTTAGACATAACGTGACATAGATATAAAGTACGTACTGTTTCAGATCACACTTACCACCTTGGTCAAATTGAAGACCAGTCTTGAAGGCTGCAGAGGGTATGCCGAACATATCCAGCAGGATTAAAGCCTTCCTTCCTGCGTTTCGGTACAGCTCTGCGTCATCCGTTTTCGAATCTTCGTGTTTCCTGCTGCCAAATGTCAAATTTTTAAGGTACAAGTGAAATAAAAATACCTTTTGGTGTTCTTGCGAGAGCTTGAAGAAATCGAATCAATAATATCATCGGTACTGCCGTCGCTGGAGGATGAAGGCATGGTGGTGGTATGAGGAGGAAAGTTGCGCTGATGAATGATGCGCACTGTGTCTGTCACGTTGCTATTGGAATTTGCCAACGGACTTTGAAAGGTCATGTGATCTCGTTGAACCTTACCTTGCGGGCGCGTCTCGTGAAGTTTTACTCTTTGCCAAGATCACAGTGGATGTATGATCTGCCCTTCCTCTTGATCAGAACTGAACTAATCCTGTTACATAGATACATCCCAGGAAGACACTGGGCGTGTTGCCTCGTGCATCCAAAGTACATTTGGTCTCACCCTGAGTCCATCTGTTGCCTCGTGCATCCAAAGTATGTTTGATCTCACCCTGAGTCCTTCTCCTGCTCAGCCGTGATCATACAGATAGTGCTCGCTCAGACGGATTGTGAAACGAAAGGTACGATTCACCAGCATCCGTCCACTCCTCATAGAATTCCTGGAAGTTTTACTCTTTGTCATCCTCTCCCAATCCTCTTATTCCCTTGCGCTCACGTCTGATTTAGGATATTGCAAACCATCAATTACAAATCCTCCGCCCTTTTCTCATAGAAACCGCAGGACAATACAAGCTCAAGGCATTCAAAGGCCGAAAGGGTGCAGGTGCCTCCCTAGACCTCACCCGGAAATGGATACGAACAGCGTCCCACCACCTCGCGTCCTCTCATACCATTCCCCATCCGTCTCTTCCTTCCACCTCCATAATTTATCCTCACCTTACCCAAACGCAGCAAATTTATTTGAGCGTGCTAAAGGCTCTCACGGACCTCATTTTTGATCCACCTTCTGGCCATCTCACGCCTCACAAGTACCCCTACTACGCGTGTCAAAATCTACAATACCATATCTCCCTTTATACCCTGAATTATCGTTTTGCAGATTGCCACTACGAAGAAGACTAGTAAAGCTGGACGGCGTGCCTCTATGAGCGTCCAGAGTCCCTCGTCTGCTGCCACTGGCCTGAAGCACGTGACAGTTCAACCATTTTGCAACTGTTACTGTTTCTTCAGTTAGTACCACTGGGTGCTTGCTCATACCAGTCGCCAATATGTGCACAATGCGTGGCTCCCCTCAGTGGGACACTTTCAGGTGCTTAGGCCCTGATCCACGACCATCCGCCGTTACCTTGTGCTTCTCGGTCCCTGAGCACCAAAGGGCACCCTGGGAAAGCTCAATTTTTATTTTATTTTGACTGCTGTGTGTCCCCAGAGCTCTGCCCACCTTGCTGTGTAACTCCCTTTGGTGTGCTGGGGGGCGAAAAGCATAAAAAGGCAGAGCTGGTGCACTTTACGCCACCCAACACTACTTCTTCCTCTTCTTACACTTTCTCTGGCAAAGGCCCTATTGGTACCGCACCCACCAAGCCATACCTGAGGCATAGTGAAGGCGTTGGTGGCGGCTGCACTACTGGCTTTAGTATCTTTCGCCCTACCATCGAACTTCCCTTAGATGAGCTTCTAGCGGTGTACCAAATTGTAATCGTGCTCACGAATGTTGCTCATCCAACGTATAGACTTGCTTTCTCCAAAGCACAGGTCGTGAACAGGAAGATCGTATGAACATGGTGTATATTAGAACCCTGAGAAGGGCGTCGATGGTTTCTTCCAGGCCTGGAACAAGACCGGGCTCATTCAGGAATTGATTGTGTCAGTCACAAGTCTGCAAAGCTACTATACTCAAACTCGTTCATCACATCCTCCCCATCTTCCAGACCAAAGTCGTCTGCATTGTCAGTCTCTTCACCTGCACCATCCTCATCAAGGACTTGATCAAGGCCAGAATAACCGTATTCATCCATCTCGTCGGCAACGGTGTCATCTACCATCACTTCAAAGAGAGCTGACACTGGAACTTCATTGCCGTCGTCATCGTCGTCATTGGTGCTGTCTGCCTCATTATCGCCTGCTTCCTCCGAGCCATCATCATCACCTTCCTCATCTCCATACCCGTCCTCTTCCAAATCTTCATGTTCTTCCATATTGTCATGTTCTTCATAACTCTCATCGTCTTCTGATCCACAGTGCTCTTTCTCTCTCCAGAAAGGAACCCTATCCAATTCATCACGATCATCAAGTAGGCATGATGTCTCTCTCCACGTGGATTTATGCCCAACACCTCCCCCACGGAAGCGCATGAACATATCTCTGTCGACGAACCTGGTAGTACCTCAGATTTAGATCATCGTGAAAGGGGGAGTAACTGACATATTGATGTAGTACCAGTCCCAATCTTCATCACGGTCTGCTGTTTGGCGAGCGATGGACGGTCCAAGTAAGTGCTTCGTATGTTTGTACTGAAATGCTGGGACAATGTGAGCACCTCGAATAACCAGGTCAGGGTCCAGGAACCCAAACGCTAATTCATCATCTGCATCATAAAATCCCACTCGTGGCAATCGTTTTGCAGCCCAACCAGAGGGCACAGTGACATCGCGGGCAAACCAGCGGACCCACAAAAAGTCGAAGCGCTTTATAGAGGGATGTGCACCAGGTCTGGTGTAGCGGATATTGACATGAAAGACTCCAATAACTCACGCATACCAGTATGGATGGGACTCTTCCTGGTCACGGGCAAGAACCATGATGTCTGCATGTGTGCGGGGATTAAGGGAGTCCTGAGCACGCCGCATGTCATATGTAGTATAGTTAACACGAAGAACTTTGTGATGATAAATCCGGCTGTTGATAATGACAACAGAGTTTCGCTGTGCTGCATTAAATGAAGTTTCGTCGCCATCGTAGTCCAGCCCTAACAAGCGACCCAGAAGGTGGTCTTTGAGACACGGAAGAAAATTCTAAATGCATCCAGTGAATAAATATAATTAACATAATACGGGCACCAGAGACCTACCTTTGTGGCCTGGTCATTTCTGTTCTTTCCAAGCCAGGAAGAAACATCCCAGAAATGTTTCTGTGACGAGGACATTTGATAATGGATCTCTGGTGAGCAATGCGGCAGTGGGTCCTGGTCAACAAAATGAAGAGACGGACGGAGATCCTCTGTCTCGGGCTGCACATGATCCTCTCTCGCACCTTCCCTTTCACGGTTCACCTCTCTCATCCTCTGCAAAATGCGCTCACAGCGCTGAAGTCTTGCGATTCCACGTGCAAATTTGTTCTTGTTGGTCCACACATAAAATTGCTTCACTCTTCGATGCTCAAGTTCACCCTAACACCATGATTAATGGGTGAATGGTCAGTCATGGATTTCAATACTTACCACTTGCGTAGAGTAATTGTCCGTGGTCCCATACAGCCATATTGATTTGACATAGTCTCCAAGAGCATGGAGTTTATAAGTCAACAGGTTGAAAAGCCATTGCTTGGAGGGACTGTCACCTTCGGCATCAGTATTTGTCTCTTCTGACCTTTTGTTCTTTCCTTTAGATGCTCTAAGACGCCGACACCGTGTGCGAGCAGCCATTTCACGTGGTAGATCATGAGTAGTAAACTTTTTGCATGTATTTTTGCGGAATCGCTGAAGGGCCTTTCCTAGCTGCGTCGTGCAGTTATCAAAATCATAGAGTGTCGTCTCTGTGTGCATACGGAGCTTCCCAAATGCATGCCAGGTGGTTAGCTCAAACAGAAGGTCAAGGATTGATTTGTTGAATGGTTCCAGTAGAAGACCATCGAATACTGGCATCGCACACTACCAGCATTGATCAGTGTGGCAGAAGCTGTATTACTTATATTCCTACCTGAAGCAGGTCTTTGAAATCACGCGCTGCAAGTTTCGTAAGACCTGACACATTGTCACTAAACTTGCGGATGGTATCACGTCCAAATGTTGGTATGAGACGATACCTAAGTATATTATGTTGGACACACAAATATATGAGAAAGAATGACTTACCGCTCGTTGAGATCTTGCACGGCAGTACCTCCATATGAAATCAAAATTCGGAGAAGATGAGTAAGGGTTGCCTTCCATACTCCCAACTCAAACTCGTGCATAAAGTCAGGCACGAGTATTGAGTGAAAATCAAACCTGAACTTGGCGAGTTTCTCCAAAAAGGCAGTCTAATACTATGTAATTAGTAGAGTTTGCAAGCTCGTTGCATATCATACATACATGAATAGGTGCAACAGAGGTGGGACCAATGATTTTCTCGATTACAGAACTGGCCAAATTATAGCCGTCGACGAATATGAGTTTACAGACTCGCTCAATGAGGCTACGTCTTGGATGATTATCGACTCGGGCATTTTTTGTGCGCTGTCGTCGATCAAACTTCGTCCCTAATTTGAAAATGTTGTCTTTTTGAACAAGACACCATGGACAAGGACACCTTCCGAGGAATTTCATGCATGCAAGTAGAACTCTGATAATGTGGAGATTAGCATAATGCGATCAAGTAAAATGTGAAACAGACTTCTCTGGATAATCAGCAGAATAAGTGAAAAAACGCGGAAATACACGACGAAAGACTCCATCAGGGAACTTGACAACGAAGCCATGTCGATATGCGTCTATGAAATCGGCATCGAGTAGGAAGTGCCAAATTGCCTGCATCAATTCGCGTTTGCAGTGCGTGAGTACAGCTGCTGTCGCACTATGACCAAAAGTCTTCTTGTAGAAGTCTTGGATGGTATCTGACAGCTATGCACATAATTAGTTCGTGTCTTGAAATTCAAATAAAGGAAGACCTTTGGTATATATGCAAGATGATGAGCTGCGAACGAAGTTGGCTTGCCACGAATATACTTTGATTGATTACCGATAAATAGGTATATCGGCCACAGCGAAGCATTTCCGAAGCTTGCTAAATGAGTCGAATCAGACCAGAGCATGATTGCAGCTATGACCATTTCTAGGTTACAGTCTGGTTCACGGGGCTGCGAGTTGAGCTTCTCTTGCTCTTGAAGCATGGCATCAGATGTATATAGCTCGGTAATAATCCGCTCTGGAGGTCCATTGTCGTCTGGCTGCCAGAACAGTTTGTATGGTTTGGTATGGAAGGTTTTCGCTGCAACTTCCTGGTATGCAGACTTGAGTACCTCTGATGGCTTGCGGTAATAGAGCCTGTCAACGTCAAATTCAGGTGCATGATCTTCAGAGGAGAACTTCTCTTTTTCACATGGAAGTCGGATTTTCACCGAGGCCTCATGCCACCCATCGGATGAGAATATGGATGAGGCAGGGTCGTGTTGGGCCTTCTCGAGACGTGATGCCTCCCTAGACGCATTGAAATCTAGCAAATCCTCTTGGCAGAAGTCCTCCGCTAACATGACATCGTTGACCAAACGATTGAGATCTTGGAGCGATTTCGAGTTCGACGAGTTGTAAAACCACGTCATGAGCCGAAAAACGGTGGCATTGAGGAATGGTGCAAAGTAATTGTGGTGGACCGCTTCGAGTGACTGTCCAAAGCCAGCATACCACGGCCGTTCATAATCGGCATCCCCATCAACATGCTGGAATGTCGAGGAGTCACAAAGTGCATCAAAGTATGCCGAATTCTCGGGGTCATAGGTCGGAAATGAATGATGGTATTCGCGAAAAAGGTCGAATGCGTCTGTATCAGTGCGAAGCCACTCTTCTTCTTGAGGATGCTCTGCATGGCTGCGGTGTGATAATCCATCATCAGAGCCCATCTCAATGTCTGGTGGGTCTCCAGGGTCCGATACAGGCTCGTCTGGATCAATGGGGGGTGGAGCCGGGATCAGTAGGACTGGGATGTCGTCACGATAACGCATGGGGAGGCGGATTTGTCGATTTGGACGACCTGATGACCGTGGCTCCATTTCGATGTCTGGTACCTCCTGTTCATATTTCCGTTAACATCAAGTTCACATCTAATAACACACAATACTCACATCCACACGAGGCTGACGCAGTTGCCGTAGGTGCTCCCGCTCTTCTTCGCGCTGTTCTTCCTGTCGGCATTCATCTTCCAAACGAGTAGCTTCAGCAATAGCTTCCCCGCGCTCGCGCCGCTCAGCAAGAGCTGATGTGGTGGCTACATCACGTATCTTGCAGTATCTGCTCAGGTGAATGGACAGGCCGCGACTGTGCACTTCTACATTGCAGTTTGGGCACTGTACCATCAAGAGAAAAGTAAGTAAAAAGATAAAGATTGAGGGGGGTAGCATGAGCTGCAGCAGAAACACGCTGTGATCGCCCCATGGTCTGCGGCCTTAAATGCAGGTTCCTAGCAACAGGATTCGCGGGCCGATTGTGATAGGTTAAGGTCTGGGCAGATAATCTGGGCGACGGTCGAGATCAGTTCGCAATCGAGATCCCATGCTTCTGCTTAGTGACAAGATACCAAAGATAGTGCTCGATTTCGCTCTATAACCAATCACCCGGACCGAAGTGCACGTTTCACACCATTGATGAATAAAAACACTGTGTATTATAGTGCATGTATTGAATCGGGATCGCAAAGTCGTCCAACGAATGCAGTCTCCGCACCTTCCAACACGTGGCCTCTCGTCCGTGCAACTTGCGGTCAAATGCCTGGCATGGCCACTGAGGTTAGTGGATATTGAAACATCAAATTAACATACCATTTGCCCACACAAATGAAGTTTCCCTCACAACCCCACCCTAGACAGCACCAATCTTGAAATGCCTCGCAAGGCTGCCACGAGGTGGAGAGGGTCTAGTAATGCCTTGTGAGGTGAGCATGGGTATCTTGAACGATGACGAACAAATGGTTTCGCACCTTGGAAGGCATCACGTGGCCGCGGGAGATGCCCCGGACCTTGCCGGACCTTGCCAGATTTGGGCAGTTTTGCTGATGCTCGTGCAAGCAGTGGGAGTAACACGGAACGGGATCGCAGTGAAGGTACGAAAGCGAAACGACAACGGAATTGGGATTATGTTTGCGGTGAGGATGTAAGTTTAGATAAGATCGGCCATACTTAGTAAGTTAGAATCATACAACGGTAAACAGAACAGTTCGATAGTAACGTTCAAATGTCCGAACTCGAGCACAGCAGAAAAGATGATTAATCATACGCACTATACACAACACCTACACCTCCTCCAACACCTCAAACTACCCTCACAGACACAGGTACAGGCGTTGTCTCCTTCGCACCCACCGTGACTACCTTAGCTTCCGCACTCAAACCAGAAAGCCACTCCCCCGCCTGCGTCTTCCCCAACCACCGCTCTCGCCTCTTACTAGCTGCTTCCATTCCAACACCTGCACTCGAACTCGTATCCACATCCTCCTTGGACGGAATCCGCCACAAAAAGTCCTCCGTGCCCGATACAAAAAACAAGCGGTACGTCCGTACGCATACTTTCGTTTCTAGTGCGCTACGCGCGAGTACGGCTGGTGTGCTAGATGTAACTCAGGCTGATACGTTCCTGCAAAGTAAAGCACTGGTTAGTATTGTGTGCGGGAGGTTGAAGAGCAGGGGCAGGGTGTACACACTTTCGAAGAAACGGACGTCTAACACGGCCCTGCGATATCCCCTTTGTCACAGGACTCTACAATTAAACAAATACGTCAACATCAACCCAACACCAAAACACCCATCACAAACACGCACCGAAACAAACGAATCGACATACGCCTGCCACCTCTCCACCAACATCTCAGAATCATCGAACCTGGAATCGTCTTTCCCGAGTAATCGAATCGTCATCGTTTTCGTGTCTGGGAGCTGTAGCGACGACACATAACATATAAACGTTGTCATTGAATATGACAGTGCGTGAAGAATAAGGAAAGAGACGCACCCAATCCACCCTAAAATATTCTCATCAGGCCCAAGGATATTCTCCGCAAAACTCCGGCTATTGAGCTGGTCCTGGATGGTAGGAGCTTGTAATGCTCGATCGCGCTTCAGAAGCTCAAAGAGTTCTTGACTCCTGGCACCAGCCAACACGAGCTGGACCTACCCCCGCATTCAAGAGTCAAAAGGGACCCACTAGATGAACAGCAGGACGAGACGAGGACGCACCTGTTTGATTAATGACCCAATGACTTTATCAATCGTAAATATCCGGTAGGCATCCTATCACCAATAATCAATACCCACTTCACTCCACAACCGAAAACCGAAAACACGCAAACAAAATCAAGAGAAAGAAACGCACCTTCACCCCAAACATATACCGCATCTGCTCCTCAAACACATGCGACTCGATCTCGTTATCAAAAGGTTTCTGACATGACTCCAACATCAACTCATAAAAATGATCCGCATGAGCAGCTCGGTCGTCTAGCTGAGCGAGGTGCGCGAGGGAGGGCATGCCTAGGGCTGTGGCCACCGGATTGGTTTTGGTTTTGGAGGTTGATTTGGGAGAGGAGAGGGCGATGCGCGCGCTGAGGTGTTTGAAGAATAAGAGTCTGGAGTATAGTGCCTGTGGAAAGTACGTTAAGGAAGGATGCAAGAGTAGAATAGAATAGATGCGTACCTCGAGAAGACGCAAAAGGACATAAAAGATAGTATTCCCAAAGAACACGTTCTTCCTCGACGCCTTGCGCAACGGAGCGGCAGGCTCTCGTTCTCCCTCCTCCGGAGCGGTAGTGTCTACCTGCATGACATCGGGTATAGCAGGAGACGTAGGTCTCGAAGCAGAGGGCGAAGAAACTTCCTGCGCACGTGTTTTCCTCCCCGTCGATTTCGCCTGCTCGCTCTTAAGCAGTTTCTTCCTCAAATCCCTACCAGATGACATCCCACCCTTCCGCTTCCTCCCCCCTCCATTCCCGGTACTACTCGTCTCAGCGTCATCCCCATCCTCACCCACCTCCACCTCCCCTCCCCTCCCCAAGCACAAACGCCCTATGAAACACCTCTTGATCCAACACGAAAAACAATGGCACAAAACTCCTCAAAAAACCCTCAACCCTCAACCCTGCTCCTCTCCACCCCCCCCCCCCCCCCCCCCCCCCCCCAATCTGCCCCTGCGTCCGATCCAAGAACGGAACGCCATCTTCACAGCATCCTGCAGGACCCCCGTATCCTGCACCTCATACGCCAATTGATGCCTGACCCTCGCACGCGCAAACAAAGGGTCCACAAGCGCAGCGCGCTGACACACCTGGGCGTCCCAGGCAGCTTCGATCTGCGCAACGAAGGCTTTCGCAGAGAGCGCTTTTTTGTCCAAGGCTTTACATGCTATCCCTGCATGGTCTAGTGCGCGAGACGCGTTTCGAGCATCTACTTCTCGCCACACTTTATTCCATTCCCTCTGCGCATTTCCATTCGTCTTCTTTCTCCTTGCGGCGGTGGAGTACCACCGGGATAGTTAAGGCCGGAACTTCTTGCATCGCCTGCAACACCTCCAACTCCGCTTCCCTTCCATATATCTTCTTAATGACCCTCGCATGTACTGCCTTGCCCGATCCCCTCAGGTTTGGTTTTAGCTTGAATGCACTGCGTTCGTCGGGGGGGGAGTTGTAAGATTTTAGTAGATATAGGCTCGAGGATGGTGATAGTGCGCGTGGCTGCTTCGACGTGGAAATCGTACTCATGGCGTTCTTCTTCGCTCCGGTGGAGAGCTTCTTCATAGATCTTTTTCTTGTGCGCTACGAAGCCTGCGTCTTCGGACGACCAGGGGGGTGGGAGACCCATTCGTCATTGAGGACTGCGCGGCACATCTCGTCGCGGCCTGTGTATGTGACGCTTCCTTCCTGTTGGGAAGTTAGTTGGCATTTGGTGCTTGGGTGGGGGGACGCACGGTGGTGGGCATTGAGCGGTAGCTTCCTTGTTGGAGGCCCGTATTGACTCTCCCTGGGCGGATGGGAACGATCACAGGCCCTCCTTGGCCTCAAACCCTCGCTCACGTCTGCTGCTGCTGCTGACTCTCGTTCAACACCCACCGCTCCCTCTCCCTTCTGTTATCCCACCCAAGAATCTCCCTAAACTGGCGCATCCACTCTGCGTCTCCAAGGAAATTCCGTGCTGAGCGGACGACGCGAGCGGTATCGATGAGTTCTTGCGTGAAGAGGTTCACGACTTTGAGGAACTCGTTGTAGGTGTCTCGGTTGCCTAACGCGCGTTTGACGCGGTCGAAGATGTGGATGTCGTCTGGTAGGAGGAGGGAAGGAAGGAGGGGGAGCTATGTGGGCTTGAAGAGGTCAGTGGGGTATTTGGATTCGAGAGCAGAGAGGCACCTTGGAAGGAGCTTCGGGTGCTAAAGAGACGGGGTCTCGTTCGCGCTTGTTGGCTTTGCGTTTGCGATTTTGAGGGACGATGGGTTCGATGGTGGCTGGGGTTCTGGACGACGACGGAGAGGCTTACCATCGAGAGGTGTGTTTGAGCGGGTGTAGCGTCCTATGGGGGAGAGATAGCTTTCTTCTACATCGTCGAAAACATCCTGGCTCTTTGAGAATCCTAAAATATGGGCGCAAATAGGGGTCGTCTTTGAAAAGGCGGGCGATCTCAGCTGATACTTCACGCTGTGAATATCATGTGTTATTGTACCATAAAAGAAGGCAAGAGGCTCACTTCGTCAACGGCATCAGCAGTGTTATAGAATTTCTAGGAATCGGCGGTAGGTTGTTTCGTCGCAGCGTTGTTCTAGACGTACTAAAAGGCTGGTTCTATAGAGGAGCTGTCGAGACCGAGATTCATGCCGTACATGTTTGGATCAGGCTCAGGACCCAAGACGGTCGTAGAGGCAACAGATGAAGTAGAAGGCCAAGGGTCGTCACGGGTAAACTGAAGCATTGTGCCTGTAGGTGTAGTGATGGCGATAAAAGTAGACTGTTGGGGGTCAGAGGAGCACTCGATGCGACAGCCGACAGGAAGGAAGGTGTTGAAGCTCTGAATAAGGAAGGGGTGAGGGCCATTGAAGAGCTGTGAAACGCGTTTGATGACGCCTGGGGTATCTGTGCTAGATGGATGGATGATTATGAGATAGTACATTTAAGATGAAAATGGGAACGTACAAACCGCTCTTAAAGTCCTTCACCATTTCGAGAAAGTGGTTATAGACATCTGACTGGCCATGGAGCTGGACTTTGACGACATTGAGGTAGCTCGTCTAGTAAGGACTTAGAAGGGACTTGGACTGAGCCAATTGGAAACCGGGACGTGAGCCAGGAGGGGGTAAAACGTGAGAAGTATGGAAGCATATACTAGAAATGGAAGTAGCCTCGGCACATCCCAACTCAAACATCTTATGCATCGCGAGAAACCTTGAAGCATCATCTTACAGATGTCAGAGAACTAGACACATTTTGCATCAACACTACAGGTACAGGTGGAATTTGATAACGAATGATAGGACCATTTGAATGTCATGTCATACTACTTAAGGATGAATGTGAGCGAGCCTCGGCGAACTTGGTAGACCCATCACATATTCGTGCTGGACATACCCAGCGCTTTTATTGCCGAAATGAGCATCATAGAAACGATGTCTGTTTCTGCCTTGATTGACCGAAGTAAGTATTAAGTTCAGTATGACACGCGCGGATTGTTTGAACACCACAGGAGATGGAAAAACCATTCGCGATTTCTGGAACCTATGTTTGATGCTATTCTCCGGATCTTCTGGCTGTACGTGCATCAGGTAAGAAGTCCCATCAGTGAAATTAAGTACCTCAATAGGCCAAGTGTGATGTGACCATCGAAAAAGCCTGTTGTCTCAATGATTCTCAATGATCGTCAGCGCTCCGAGTCTCGACCTCGCTGACCCGGGCCGGAAAGCGCAACCGCTCCTCCAAGGACGCCCTATGATGACGCTACAGCAGTCAGCCGTGAAAACTTGGGAGGTCCGAACGAAATACAACCCGGGTTGTTAACACTCCCATCCAAGTCCCCTCTCGATGGCATTCTCTGCCCCGGTTATTGGACGATAATGTCACAAGGGGGCGAAAAAAAAAAGTAAGCGTAGAATTCGATGCAAAGTGTACTGCACTCATTTTGAAATATTTGCATCGTGCACCGCTTGATGCGATGCATCGACTTTCACAGCACAGATACATCCTGATTCACAATCGGCTATTGATATCTGGCGAATATACGACGCCCATCCCTGAATCAAACCAGAAATGAGAAGGTACTAGGGGGAGCGAAGCGTCCGTGCGAGATATGACACTATCCAGCGCCGACAAGAGCATTGTATATAAGAACGTACCTTGATTGACCGAAGTAAGCATGTTCGCATTAAGTCCTGTTGAGCAGGGGAAGTCAGGATTTTTGAATCAAGGGAATCGTGTACTTCATATTAGTAGTTCATCGACTCTAACACGGTATCATCGCGAAAGCCTGCCGTCGCAAATTTCAACGATCATCGGTAGTGTCCCTGCCTCACTGGCTAACATCCAAGGTCTCTTCACAAGGTCGCCGTCTGTTGACATGACACCAGAAAGGTCAAATAAGAATAAGGACGAACAATATCATTGGTGAATGCCACAAACAGATAACTCACCTCTGAGGCTCTGCCATCTGGGCAGCTAATGCACACCTCTCAATGTTTAATCCAATGCGCCGTTTTCCTCCTCCCAAGTCCTCGGTTCAGGTATAAGTGACGTCATGCGCACCCCTCGCTCTCTTCTGCCTCAGTCATCAGGGATATAACAGGATGCTCAATTCACAACGGAAATGATGTCATAAGAGTGCGAAAATATGGTAAGGACAGAAACCGGTGGAAAACTCACTGCATGCAATTATTGAATGGATGCATCAGCATGTTCGGTTTTGGTGCAGGGACTTTTGTAGCCTGCGGTGTGCTTGCCGATAATGCAACCACAAACAGAGTTGTTTCATAACTTATGCAAGTGCCATGTATGGGGAAATCAGTTGGTAGAGGTCGGCTGCGATTCACGAGGTAGACGGTATAGATGGATGCTCAATATTGCAATAGGTGTATAAGGCTGACTGGGTGGTGGTAAGGTGCGATTGGTCAGTTGGTGGTAGTCTATGTCGCAGGCTTATTTACATAACATGAAATTTGCTTTTTTTTTTCAGCTAAGAGTCATACATTGCCCACCACCCAGCCGTACTCGTCGATGCAATATCTACTATAGCTAGCAACTTTTTATGAAAATTTATCTGATGTGACTTTACTTTACTTCGTGAGTTTCGTTGCCAGCGTAAACCCATGCTGCTAACTGACAATCGGCAAATTAAATCAGGACACTAACTTAGAGACACTGTGTCACACTGGAGCACCTGTTAAACACTGGTACATCTCATGACACGTTCGCTGAATGTTCCCTGAAAAGCCAGTCCAATCATTTCGCCACTTGGTTTAATGCGGTGATAAGTGTTTTTTGTCCTACGGATTCCATACTCTCAACAATTATCCTATCGCGAGCTTCTCGGAATCAGCCCGGTGCTTTGGCTCTCTGATGCAACTCTCCTGACGCCCACGATCCACATCAGCCTTATTTATGATCCTGCTCGTGCCTTCCATCTTATTGACCACGGACCGTCATCTGCGGAAGATCGAAACTGAAATGTTGCACAGGAGTTTTTGCATCTACGAGGGACCGTGCTGAGCTTCCTCGATTCAAGGATGCCTATATTACGGGGACTGTTGTTTGGGAAGTCACAACGTCCGATGAACGTACTTGTCTAACGAGCAATGCAAAGCCAAGGCAACCGGAGATTCATTGGTGCCCACGACACCATCGTGTCGCACATCTCGCTTTGAGTACTAGCCACATCAACTTCTCACATCAACTTCTCGAGTCTGCGGAAATCATCATGCATTTTGGCTCAACTGTTTTCGCAAGTAGGGCATCTCAGCAAGAAAAACAAAGCGAGCAACGCCTTTACGTTCACACTAGAAGTTTCAGCCTATAAAACACCTGCCTGCTACTATGGCTTTGCCTCAGTCCCTTTCATAAATTTCATCATGTCTACTTCCCGCACCATAATATTTGCGCTGCTCAGCTTCCTCGCTGGCGTCAATGCGTGTCTACAGTGCGCAGCCTCATTGGACGTCGACGGTAGTGCCGTTGCACTATCCAAAACCTTCCTGAATGACGGGGTCAGATATTGCATGTGCGTCACAACCACACACCTTCATTAAACAAAGTAACTGATAGGCCGGCAGTTATGGTTCATCAGCGAACTGTCAGTATGACGCCGTAAGTGCTTTTCGCATATAGAGCAGTTCATTGTTCTCGGTTGACATGCTAGCGATGGCATCAGAAGGACGGCCTGTTTGTAGAAGGGGATGATGCTTGTCCGCGCACAAGGTACTGTTAATGATCACTGCTGAACGTGATGTGAGGAGGTGGAGGAGACGAGACACCCAACAGGAGGAGCAATGTTTGTCTGCGAATAGCCCGGTGTCATCTGTTACGAGAATTGCCAACTTGTAAATTGCATAGGCAATGTGTATTATTTGACATTTGACCGGCATTACTCTCAAATAAATTCACACATTGCTTATTTCAACTTATTTGGCACTTGTCACTACTTTTGTCACTTATCAATAATGGGATCTACTTATTTTTCTTGAACTAGCCACCCCAGCCCACCACCCTCCACTTGAGTATTTCAAATTGCTAATAACCTATCAAATACATGTTTGATAATGATAGAATATAGTCTTCTCAAGTGTAGCTGCCTAGGGAAAGCATTTAAGTCAAAATCTTCTTGCTACTGTTTTGGCATTTCCACTTGACTAAAACAACCAATGTGGTTGTTTTGATATTGTCAAATGAGCTTCTATAGTCTAACAAATATTTTGGTGTACTCTAGTTGAGGGTGGTGGGCCCAGGTGGCTAGTTGAAGAAAAATAAGTAGATCCCATTATTGATAAGTGACAAAAGAAGGGATAAGTGCCAACTAAGTTGAAATAAGCAATGTGTGAATTTACTGATGAAGTTTGAACATGCTCAATCACGTTCAATTACTAGTGGCACTTTGACACTGACTGGTACATTCTAGCCTCTAAGTATGTAAGTTACTACCCTCCAGATGAGTATATTGCCTACCACCCATCAGGAAAATCCCATATTGCCATAGCCCTGGTGATAGCTGTTGGAGTCTGGGTGATCAGAGATGAAGAAGACCAACTGATCCGGAATGGTTGAGGAGGGAGAGTGACAGGTGGTCCAAGCCCAAGCCAAAAAGGACATTGATGAGTGATGTGTTGATGTCGGCTCATGTCCTGCAATAACTTACCTATTTGTTTGATATGTTTTTCATTTCTATCCAGTTTAGTATAAGAACGCCAGCAGTAGCACAAGTGCATCTCAGCTTCTTTCAAGAGACTGAGATGTGAGTTAATAGTCTCTACGTATTGATCAGAAAACAACTAATGAGTCCCTAGTACACTTGTCTATTAGGTACATAGCTCATTAGACACCAGTCACTGTAGCTATGATGCATCAAGCCTGCTAACTACAAGTCACAGGTGATGCATCATCTATGCTTCTATTAAGATTAAGGTTATGACTGGAGAGTTGTGATGCATGTTCTGATAGAAGCAGACGATGAGAATAGGAGCGCAAGATGATAATTATGCGGAAATCTCCTAGATACTTTATATATTATGTTTTTTCTCTGAAACTCAAAAAACAAGTCCGCTACTTATGATTTGTAAGCACGCACATTCTCGGCTTGTAAGTCTCAACACTCCCCCTCAAGCCGAGACCATGCCTAGATCATTGGTAAACTTCCAATGTTTTGGCTTGTTTAGTGGCTTCATTAATACATCTGCAATCATTTCATCAGTGCGACAGTACTGATCGTGAATCACCCAATCTTGGATTTTTTGCCTGATGTAATGGTCCTTTACATCAAAATGTTTGGACCTCGCGTGGTATTGTGGGTCTCGCGCAATTGCTAATGCAGACATATTATCTCTGTGGAGAACGGTTGAATCATTCTGAGGTAAGTTCAGTTCCTCGAATAAATTTCGGAGCCATACGGCTTCACATGCAGTGTGAGCCATCGCAGCATATTCTGCTTCTGTTGATGACAGAGAGATTGCATTTTGTTTTTTAGAGCTCCAGGTGATCGCTCCGCCTCCAAGTTTGAAAACATATCCAGATATGGATATCCGATCCCTCGGGTCATTTGCATAGTCAGTGTCCGACCATCCAACAAATTGAATTTGACTTTTGTCAAGCTCTCTGGTACCTTGATATTTGATTCCGAGCTCTCACGTTCCAGCTAAGTACCTTAAAACTTGTTTTGCTGCTACCCAATGTGCTAATCCAGGGTTTGCAGTGAACGAACTAAGTCTTTGTATAGCATATGCTATGTCTGGATGCATGGCTACTGCCAAATACATCAATGATCTGATCAATGATGCATATCCATTACTTCAGTTGCCTTCTTGGTCAGTCACTTCTTTCTCGAGTATGATCTTCAGATCTAGTGGCATGCCTACTGAATTACATGACTGAAGACCTTGTTTTGCTAGGATAGATTCAATGTATTTGGTTTGCATGAGTTGGATTGACCTTTTAGGCCTATCTTGTGTGATCTCTATCCCAACAATTTTCCTTGGTTCTCCTAGGTCAGTAATATCTAGGATATTTTTAAGTTGTGCCTTTAATTGATCCATCAGGCTCAAGTGATCCGTAAATAATAATAGGTCATCGACCCATACAGTAATTATTTCTGTTCCATCTGTGGTCTTTCTGATGTATGTGCACGGATCAGATTTCAGTTGTTTGAATCCAATACTCGTCAGGCGGCTATTCAGCTCTAGGTTCCATTCTCGGCCCGACTGTTTTAGCCCATAGAGGGTTTTTCACAGTCTGCATACTCGGCCGGTCCCATCATTATAGCCTTCGGGTTGCTCCATATATACTTCTTCTTTTAATATGCCATTAAGGTATGCCCCTTTTACATCCATCTGCTGCACCTCCCAATCAAGGGATGCAGCTGTGGACATTACTGTACATATTGTCTCTAGGTGTACTACCGGGGAAAAGGTATCTGTATAGTCCATGCCCGGTATTTGTGAATACCCCTTGGCTACTAACCGTGCCTTATATTTAACCACTTCCCCTTCTTTATTAGTTTTATTTACAAGGACCCATTTGTTCCTGACTAGGGTGCGATATTTCGGAGGATCTACCAGTTTCCAGGTGCCCATTTGCTCTAATTGGGTAAGTTCTGCTCGCACTGCTTCTTCCCACTTTGGCCAGTCATCTGATGATTGTGCTTCCTTTAATGATCTAGGCTCATGTGGTTTGAAGCTGCCATTTTCAACAAAGGCTGCAAGAGCTATATCCTCTTGATAGAGTTCATCCTCAAGTTCATGTCTTTCGCACTCGAGGTAAGCCCATTCTGGCTCTGGGTCATTTAGTTGCTGGTAGTCATGTCTTACCGTTTGTCTTTTTGATCTTCTAGGCAGTTCTCCATTGTCTTCAGGAACACATTTCCTTTTTAAGGATGAGTTCTCATTTTCTCCCTGATTCTGTTCTGAACGGTCTTCTTTTTTATTTTTAGGTGGTACTGCGTCAGTTTGTTCTGGTGCCTGCGTGTCCATCCTATCTAACTCCCCCTCGTGCTGTGCATCAGATGTGTTTGGCGCAATATTTGTCAGGAACTTATAGTTCCTTGACACTTGAATTTGGTGCGTACAGGTATTATAATATTTTATTGCTTGTGGTCCGTCCACAAATCCTACAAAGATTTGCTTTACTGACTTTGGACTCATCTTAGATTGATTTGTGCCCTCTTGGAGCACATATACCAGTGCACCAAACTCTTATAGGTGAGTTACATTAGGTTTTTTACCATTCCACAGTTCCTCTGGTGTTGCGCCTTGTAACGCTCGCATGGGTGCATGATTTCAGATATAAGTGGCATGTGATACCACTTCTGCCCATAAAGACTCCGGTAAGTCTTTTTCGATCAGCATTGCCCTTGCTAACTCTGTTAATGTTTGGTTGAGTCTTTCAGACACTCCATTTTGCTCAGGTGAGTATGGTGCAGTTGTCTCTAGCTCAATCCCTTCGTTCTTACACCAGGTTTTTAGGTCATTATTCATGTATTCCATTCCATTATCTACTTGGAACTTTTTAGGTTCATTTTTCCAGTGCTTCTTCAGGTATGTCACATATTGTTTGACTTTGGTGGAAGCCTCATTTTTATGTTTCATGAACTTGACACTGCTTCTTCGGGAGCAGTCATCGATAAATGAGATATAATATTTAGATCCAGCAATTGACTGTACTCTGGCTGGACCCCACACATCACTGTGCATGAGTTCTCCGAGTGATCTGGAATGATTATCAGCATCATGCTGTGGGGAACGCCCCCACTGTAGGCCCGTATCCCGTATATTTCCCATGCCTTCCCACCATTTTCCCGTGTGTTCCACTACCCATCCGCATCTTCCCCGAGCCGTCCGCTACACAGAACCAAGTGGAACCCAGCGGAACCCAGCGGAACAATCGCGTACTATATGCATCAGATCCCTTTAGCCTTCAGAACGTCCTCCTCTGTCCTGTCCTTGTCCTTCCATCCTCGCTGGTGAGTACTAGCTACGTTCCCCGTGTCACTAACATGTTCCTATCTCATTTCCCATGTGTTACGGTACTTATACAGATCCTTCCACTACTCGGGACCGATTCCTTATCTCACAGCCTCACCCGGTTGTAGCATAGCGCACTTCAGAACCCCTTCCTATATAGGTAGCAATAGATGGGATCTTAGTTTTTTACCTTCTGATAGACTCGACTCCACTTCCACTTACAGAGTACTTCCCAGTACTCCACCTACTGTCTGAAATATCTTCCTGAATCTATTCCTGATCGCATTGCATCATTCCTGCCCCCGTGAGTTCCACTCGAAACACCTGACATCAGATCCAACGACTTGGAGCAAGTACCAGACACAAGCCTGGTCCGACTTTGCCCAATCATCCTCCTGCAGGCTTGTAGTTTCTTTTCCCTCCGTTTGTTCCCCATTAGTTCCATTTGTTCCCCGTTTGTTCTGTTTGTTCTGCATTAGTTCCACTAGTTCCGCTCGTCACGCATTAGTTCCACTCGTCGCGCGCTGAGTTCCGCTCATCGGGAACCCTCCGCATCTTTGTGTTCCCAGTCCTAGTAAGGACCGGAACCCTTCGGGTCGCTAGACAGAGTCTAGTCTTTGTTTCCTCGCACTTATTTGAGGACTCACTACCCAGTAGCAATCCCCTCAGGACGAGTATAAGCCTTGCACCCTTGTTAGACTTCTGATCCACACAGAGTCTATTTTCCTCACCCACAATGCAGTAATGAATCATGTGTCTGCTTTGCCTGAATACAGGCTTCGCACTGTGGCATAGATGAGTTTTCATTAATATTCATACCTTCTACTAATCTTTCTCTGTGCAGTCTTTTAAGACCGCTAAAGGCTACATGCCCATATCATTTATGCCAGGTAAGGCAATCTACAGGTTTATCTTCTTGAGCAGTATGTACTTTAGTTACTGGTTGTAACTTTGCCCAAGTTTCTCATAAATATAGCCCGTTATGAAGTTTCCCTTTGGCAATTGTGCGTCCTCCACGCACTTTTAAGGTTGCTACACCATTGCCCATTATAGCATGTCCTCCCTCTCTGTCTAAGCGAGTAATAGACATGAGGTTATTTGAGGCACGCAGTACATATAGGACATTCTTAAGCTTGCAGATTACCTGCTGCTTATATATTGTACTTACTAGTTTGACTGTCCCTCGTCCTTCAGCTTTAAGGGATTCATTAGCTATCCTGCTGACTTTATGACTTTTTAATGGAACATAATCTGTCAATGCAGATCGAATCTTAGTAATGTGTGATGTTGTTCCTGAGTCTGCAAGCCAATCGTAATAGCTCAGCTTCTTGAATTCATCACTATTATTAGATATATTAATTTGGTCTTCATCTTCAATCTGATCGTTGACATTGACTGTTGTCTGGTTCTCGACCTCGATTGGATCGACCTGCATCTCTTCATCCATAAAGGCAACATCTTCCTCCTCATATTGCACATTATTTGCAATGTCATCTATGTCTTCTGCGACATGAGCATTAACATTTTTTCTGCGCTTCTTGGGAGGGAATTTAGATGGGCCTTGCCACGCCTTTCCTCCACCCTTGCTCCAGCAATTCTCTTTGGTGTGTCCCGCTTTTCCACAGTTAGAGCATTGCTTATCCTTGAACCAACACTCATCTTTGGTGTGGCTGGACTTTTTACAGATGCGACATTTCTTCACATCTTCTCGCTTCCTCTTTCCCAGGTTCCTTCCTTTGACAGTGAGGGCATTCTCCTTTCCTTTTCCTTTATCATTCTTTTCAATTCTTTGCGAGTTCTCCAAGATAAGGGAAATTAAATCGTGTGACGTGATGGTCTTTGTTTCACCCATCCTAATCTGGTATGTTGTGGTAAAGGTGTCCCAAGATTCCGGTAATGATGAAATAAGTACGGTGCAGAAGTCTTCTTCCGTCACCAAACTTCCCATCATATGTAAGGTTTCTTGGATCTCCCTCATATTTTTGACATGCGTGGGGACATCATCGCCTTCGTCAGCGACAGTTCTATGGAACTTCCACCGCCATGTGGTGATCGCCTGTTTGCCTCGTGATTCTTTCATGGTCTTCAGTTGATCCCACATGTCTTTTGCTGTCGTGGCTCCAGCTAAGTGAATCATTTGGCTATCACTTATTGACAGCTCAATCACAGTCTGGGCCTTATGGTCTTGCATCTCCCACTTTGCTATGTCAGCTTCCCTCTGTGCCGACACAGGGTCCAGGCCTCGTGTAGGCTTGGGGATAGTTCCTTCAACATACCCCTCAATTCCTTTCTCAAACAAAATGGCTTTGACTCAGCGCTTCCAGCCCAGCCAATTGGAGTCGTTCAAATGCTCGATCTGATACATCAATGACAATGAGGAACCGGCAGATTGGTCCATCATTTTGGAGGTTTGTTTTTTTGGTTAGATCTCGTCTGATATATGTTTTATAATCTTATTTGCGCACGTCAGGGCTCATAACCTATTAAGATTAAGGTTATGACTGGAGAGTTGTGATGCATGTTCTGATAGAAGCAGATGATGAGAATAGGAGCGCAAGATGATAATTACGCGGAAATCTCCTAGATACTTTATATATTATATTTTTTCTCTGAAACTCAAAAAATAAGTCCGCTACTTATGATTTCTAAGCATGCATGTTCTTGGCTTGTAAGTCTCAACAGCTTCTTAGCCTGATTTTTGATGCATTAGAACATGCTAAGTAGCAGACCTATAGTGTATAGCTTGGTCATGTGATGACCGCAATTTTGGCTTCCAAAAAGCGGAAATTCACTCATTTTGGTCACCCCCTCATGTCAGGCCTCCCCACATTATTCCCATACACCATACCTCCGCATTTTTCAGCCACATGGTGTGGGAATTACCCCACAACACCTCAAACACCACCCAATTTGGTATACCCCACAATTATAATTATTCTCACACCCTCCCCACCTCACTGCAGCTTCACCAGCACACTACAATAGGTCCCTGTTCATATATAGGTAGTAGTTTAGTATATATATGTATAACATAATATAATAGACCACTTTTTCATCAGGAAAACAACAGATTCCTTATTTTCACTTTTGCAACTTGATCCATCTTTCTCTCACAATTAATTTGGTTAAGTGGATTAAGACCACACTAAGTCGAGGTTGGTAAAGTTGGCCATCCAATTACAAGTGCCATAAAGGTGCAAAAGTAGAGTCAGGTGTAGAAAGGCCAGAAAAGCTATAGAACGCTGGAAAGTCATGGCATCATGCATTAAGTGTGAACTGGTAACTGAAGTAAGTCAATCAAAAGACGACACTGAAAAGTCATAGCATCATGCATTAAGTGTGAACTGGTAACTGAAGTAAGTCGATTAAAAGACAACACCAGTGGCTAAAAAGCAATCTCAAATGCATGATGGTCAGCGTATTTGTTTATGTATTAAAACTGGAAAGAATCATAGGAATGATGAAACTTAAGGTCACAAGAGACGAAACATGTACCACAAACAGGGATTAAATGAGCTGCACGATAAATAGAGTCAACGTGGATGATGGAAAAATTGGGGGAGTGGTTGGGAGCAAACACTGGGTGAACAACCCACAAACCGGTGTCCTCATCAGTGGAGTTGCCAACAGTGTTGAACCAACAGATCACTGCACAAGGAAAGGTAGTCCCTCTAACAGTAAACAAAAAAAGCAAAGAACACGCACCACATCAAACCCCTGCATCCCCTCTAGTTCTGGATTTGTATTGACAAATACACAATCATATCAAGGAGCCTCGTTCCGCCAAAGAGGGCATGCACAAATATATTCTGTGCACATTCCACTGATCCCACTAATGTCACTAGGTGCATAGAATCTGGATGATGCTGAATTGAAGATAGAAACCCGGCCTTCATAGCTGGGGAACTGAAACTCGGGAATGTCAGAAAGGTCCCAAGGGTCATCAGGGTGCAGTTGTTCAAAAAGAAATTGACAGAGAAGGGCAGAGAATTGCGGTATTTCCAGTTCTATTGCCAGGGCAGAAACTGTCCTTGCCCGCATTCGTTCTAAGAAATTGTAAAGACAATGTAAAAGATTTAACTGAAAAACATGCACGTGGTGTTCAAGCAAGCTGTATGTGTGTTTGAACAAGTGTGGGACCATCGTCAACTTCACCATTCTCGTTGCCCTCTAATCGGTCCTCATTTCCATTGTGCTGAGCATCATCATTCGGATCTGTGATGCCATGGTGGTCCCCATTGTCAGCTTTATTGTCAGCTTCCTGGATTTGTTCTATTGAGATGTAGTTAAAATGAGTCAAGACTAAGACGTATGAAGTGCTTCAAAGACTACAGACAAAACTGTCCCATTCATCATCCTTCGACTTGTGAAGTCAGCACACATAGCAGCAAGTTTATCCAACCACTGGTTAGTTCGTAGCATCTGACCAAGGGCATTAAAGCGACTTGAGCGCTGCCAAGGTTCCTTTACTGCCTTGATATGCTTGCTCTCTGTGATTGACGAGCATAGACCATTTGGGGCGCCAAAAAGTCATATAAGGCGGGAGTAATGTAAGAGAGTGCTGTTGGGGTAAGGAAAAGGAGGAAACCACACCAGCATCTTGAAAGGCTTTGCGATGTTGGTGAAACCTTGCGAGTGCATCTTGAATTTCTGCGAGAGTTGTCTCCGAAATGACATTGCGGCATACATAATAACAGAACTCTAACAAAGCGTGAAAGGCCTGCACAATTTTGGATGGGATGTGGCCTTCAATTGCAGGTAAATAGACCTGATATCGATGAGCATACTAGAGATATAAGAATCAAATGAAAACAAACCTTCATAAGAGCCTTGGAATCGTCACCGGTCCATTGTTTAAAGCCTCGTCCCTCAGGGAAATGTTGTAAGCCTGAAAACGATGCTACAGCAGCAATTCTGGGGACGCATCAGAATGAGTTTATTTAAAACAAATATATTTTATACCTTCAGTCAATGTCATCCATGCATTGTTTAGCTTCGCGTTTTCCGTAAGTTTTTTCTAGATAGTCCTCCACCCAAGTGACGAGGTGGTCCTTGAAGGCCCCCTTGATGAGCTGGTGGAGAATGTCCGGTGCAATGAGTTAATTTATATCAGTGCGGGGGAAATCGTTCGTGAATGGCTAGAGTATGATGTGTGTAATAAGTATAAGCACATCAGAAAAAAGACTCACAATAAGATCGCCCACAATTCCATAGTCATCCCACAACTCTCCCAACATCCCTTCCTCAACTAGCGCATCAGTGTGTTCTCGACAGCGGTCCAAGGCATCATGATCAAGGTTATTGCGAGGCGCTAAACACCTTCATGTAAGTTAGCAATTTGACACATTACTTGAGAATGACAGCTTTGATACCTTGGACACCAGCCTCTGACAATGCAGGCTAAGAGTACTTGTTCCTCGTAGTTGGCGATGTAAGGCCCAAGCCTGTATATCACATGGTGGAAATGGCTGTCTCCAAAATGTGCTACTTCAGGTTTGGTCATCCCAGGCCTGAGTGTCTGAAGAATTCTGGAAAGTGAGGAATGGAAGAGTTGACGGCGGAATTTTTGGAACATTGGATCAGCAGCATATTGACGTGTAGCTAGTAATAAACATATTAGCCCGAATGAAAGCAAAACAAAACATACTTACTTTTTGGGATTGTGAGGAATCCTATGATGGTGACCATGTCTCGGTGTCCTCAGCAAACATTGTTTCGAACATTACCGATAGACGCATAAAGGGGGTAATACTCGTTGTTGCCAGGAAACATCATTTCCATCACTGTCAGTTCTTTTGCTCAACTGTCATGTTACTGCTTTCTGAATCAACACTTTTTTTCTTAACTTGACCTCGGAGTTTAGGTCTATGAAATCATCAGTCGGTGGACGTGTCAAAGCCTGGGCTTCAAACGTTCCAGCAGATTCACAATGCCCCCAATCAAACTCTGGTTCTCAACCAGCTTCTGTCCCTCCTTTGACCATATTTTCCAAGTCTACAACAACAACAACATCTAAAGCAACTACTGTGAAATCACAATCCATCCCTGGAAAATCAACCCTTGATGCCTTCGAAGATGCTCTGGTTGTGTCATATACCTGATCTGACCGCTCTAATATCAATATCCGCTCCGCTTTCCAATCACCTCCGCTCCATCCATCCTCCACTCCATCCAATCAGCATCCGCATCTGCTCCTACATTTCCGCTCAACCGCTCAACCGGTCCCCTTCCATAACATCTCCATTCAACTGGACCTCTTTCCCCTTTTAGATATATACTTTCCCCTTCAGTACATAGACCCTTACTTCCGGATCACCGGTAATTCCTATTACTGCTCAATCACTGACCCGACGCGTACATATTGATATCCGCTCCAACTTATGTCTTCACCCGTGTAAGTACTTACAAATTATATCCTTGGTACATAGCTTTACAACATAGTTATCCTGGTCACTGCCCCATACATAGAAGTATATAACATACCATGTACTTAGATATTTTCCTCAGTCTTAATATTACTTGTCTTCTTGCAGTTACCTCTTGTGAGAATTCTCAGTAGGACCTTGCCTCCTCTGTACACAAGTCTCAACTTGTTGTCACCTCCGACCCTCTGACCCTCCACTCCGACTTAGAGCCGTGCTCTAAGTGTCCCTCTTATTTCTCCACCCCTATCAATATTCTCCTTGCCCCTTTTCCATCCTCCACATTATCCTCTGCCTTCCCCGCTCCTACCAAACATTCCCCCTGCTCCTATCCACCCTCTGCATCACTCCCCACCTTCTCCACTCCACTCCCAGTTGGCCTGCCGCTAGTAGCTTTTACCTCCCGACCCTCAAAGTGGACCTAAGCAGTTCACTCATCCTATCGTCAGACAACATTGGACCCACTCCAGATTCGGGGCATGTACTCGGCTAAGGGCACAGCACAAGAGCTGAAGTCAAGCCCCGACCCCTCTGCCTCCTGAGCCGGCACGGTACCTAACAGGTTGGGGGATTTGATGATGTAGAGGTTGACAAGTTGCTGGAGCATGAGGTTGCATTTCAGTCAACAATGAGGGGAAGGATGCCAGTTAAGGTGTGTCCTCCCATTGTTTTTCAAGATCAAATATTCATTTTATGCGCAGGTAGTCAATTATTTGAATGACTGACAGTTTGGAGGAGATTTCTGTGCCTGCCTTCAACACAGCCAAGAGAGTCAACTCGCCCCACCACCTTCCTCAACAGCAGTGTGTTGTGGAAGCTTGCAAGTGAGGACACTGATCTTATTTTGATAGATTCCGACTTGGAGGACTCTGAGTCAGACTTAGATGATATAGTAACCGACGACATTGATGTGGATGACTCTATCAGTGCGTTTGAATGGCCTGCTATCAAACAGGAACCAGAAGATGTGCATATGGAATATTCAAGGTCAAGCGCAAAGAAGAAGGGATCTCAGACAACATCTTCAGTATTGTTCTATTAATCGTGTAGCTGCTGATTTACTGACATTTTTACATAGACATTTGTCACAACTACTGATATTAAGCCACCTCCTTCAAAGAAGATAAAGACCGAGCAAGCCAACTCACACAACACTCCTTTGACTGCCAAGGCAACTGAGGATCGCACTTGGGTTGAACGATCCAAGGCTCGGTCAGCGTACCGCAACACTGATCTGCCTCCTCCTTGTCAGGACCCACACTGGTCAAAGATATTCCTTCCCACTATATTCCTATGGGCAGGGGGCCAGCCAAACCTTTGGATGATTGATGATGAATCCCTCATACTCACTATTCAAGCTACTTTCAAAGTTGTCTATCCCGAGGTCGAATACACACCCACAATTCATGGCTCTGTTTTTGGAGTTGTAAGAGCCCTTTGATTGCCACTTTCGTGCTGCTCACTGTCTGTTCATATTGCAGACAAATCAGCGTCTCTCAGAATGACATAGCAACTTTGGCTCCACCGCTATCGCCATCATAATCGATTTTTTGTCCCGAAATGAAGATGAAGATGTGGAGGAACTTGCCAAGTACCTCCTTGCCAAGTACACTTTCCTTTACAAGGATACAGAGTTATTGGATAAGGCAACAATCTATTGCTCCCCCTTCATGCTCCAACTTGTTGGTACCGCTCATCTTCAGGCCACCATCAGTCACGCAGATGTTCCAGAACTCAAGACCAGCACTCTCGCCGAAAAGGGCATCATTTGTGTCGTCTCAATCTGTGCAGCAGCAGTACGTGGGTTTTTTTTCTGACTCATCTGACGTGTCATATGCCTACAGTTAGAACATGCACTCACTCTCATCAGCAATAGTGATATTAACATTGAAGATGTGCTCACGGCAGCGCCTGCACAACGCAGATTGATGGTGAAGACTCCCAAGGTCTTGAATAAGGCAACCAGGAAGGAGACTTGGACAATTCACACCTTCTCTGTCAGTAACTGGGGCTCTCAGATGCTTGCATTCTCGAGGTCGGTGCAGGCCAAGGGAGACATGGCAATCAAGACTATTGCTTCGATGGCTTGGAAGGTCCTCAAGAAGTCGAAATCTGGGCATGAGAGCTTCCTCAATGAAGATGATTCCGTTGAAAATGACCCTCATGCCTTTCTCTGGTAAGTTTGCATCAGGCAACCGTCCTCCAACTCGTCAACTCATATTTCCTTTGATAGAGATATCTTTTTGTCAGCTTCATAGTCTGTTGTCTGATCTGCCTAGCTTATTTTTCGGTAATCTTTCCTGCATCATACCAGCTTTTGCATCAGTTTTCTCCACTTTCCATCACTTTTTAGGACTTTTGCATGCCACTCACATGTTCAAGGCTTTTGTGCGACTTGTACTTTGTTTGACTTAATCTTCCTTCCACTATGCATTTTTACACATTTTTACTACTTTTATAGACAGCGCGGTGCTTTCTAAGAGGCCACTTTCATCCCTCGCAAGTTGTGAAAAATGAGTGAACAATAAGAAAAAAGTGAAGAAACAGATCACAGGTGGCCTTTTTTCGACTTTCCGCCAGTTCTCTGAATTTCTACTTAGTTCCTCTTTTAGATTGAATAAGTGAACATTAAGAGATGCTAAGAGGCCCAGTGTTTTCCTGATGTTTGTTTATTTGTGTGACAGCTCCCCCTCCAGGCCCCTTTCAAAATAGGGTGAGGTACAGAACACTTTTGTTGAACATTTTACACCAATTTACAGCTACATGTAAAGTGAGTTTAGGTGAGCGGGGATGAACAAGGAGCTGGTAAGAATATATAATCTCAGTCTCGAGATACTTGACTCAGTAAAGTATAGTAGTACCTGGTAAGAATATATACTAAGGGTATGTTAGCTTGTTATAAGTAAATGGAATAATAATGACTTACATCTCAGTCTCGAGATACTCGACTGAGATGTTCTAACGCAGTACTCAATACTTTATAGTAGTTAGCATAGTGATATGAATAAATGGTAGCATAGGTAATATATTGTTAAGTCTCGGCCAACGTCACCTCGTCGCTCGTCACATAGACTGGTTGTGCTCGCAATGTCTCACTCTGACATCTCATTTCCTCCTCCTGGTCCGTGCCTCGAAATGTCACCACTCAACAACATGACACGTTCACGTGACTTTCAGATTCTGCCAGATTCCCTCCCCCTTTGGTTGAAGTTTTCATTCGTTTGTTTGTTTGTTCCGACGATGATGGCAGCTGGATGTTTGCAAACAAATCGAATTGCAGAGTCCCCCAAAAAATGTGGTGTGGGAATGTAACAACAAAAGCTCTACAGCTACAAAGCGGACACTAACAACAACAGAAAAGTGCAAAGACAAAAATACAGGTCTAGTTTGGAACCGAGATGGGTGGTACGAGAGTGCGTGCGGGAATGTTGTGCTAGCGACGGGCGGGGGTGATATACTACAAAATGTGTGTGTGGACATGGGTGATACATAGAGTGTAGACGAACATTGATGGGAATGCAGATCAGACTCTGCATCACGGCAGGGTCACAAGAGTGAGAAACATCAAATTGAAGCCTGCCCAAGAGGAGGGATGCGATGATGGGGAGAACAACTCGAAGAAAAAGCAAGCTGTCATATACCTGATCCGACTGCTCTGACATTGATATCTGCTCCACTTTCTGACCACCTCCGCTCCGTCCAATCATTGTCCGCATCCACCCCTACACTTCCACTCAACCACCCAACCGGTCCCCTTCCATAACGTCTCCATTCAACTGGAACCGCTTTCCCCTTTTTAGATAATACTTTCCCCTTTGGTACATAGACCCTTACTTCCGGATCACCGGTAATTCCTCTTACCACTCAATCACTGACCCGATGCGTACATATTGATATCTGCTCCGACTTATGTCTTCGCCTGTGTAAGTACTTACAAATTATATCCTTGGTACATAGCTTTACAACATATTTATCCTGACCACTGCCTCATACTTAGAAGTATATAACATATCCTGTACTTAGATATTTTCCCCAGTCTTAATATTACTTGTCTTCTTGCAGTTTCTACTTGTGAGGATTTTCAGTAGGACCTTGCCTCCTCTGGACACAAGTTTCACCTTGTTGTACCTCTGACCCTCTGCTCTGACTTAGAGCCATGCTCTAAGTCTTCTCCTTACTTCTCCGCCTCTATCAAATATTCCCCCTGCTCCTTTCCACCCTCTGCATTATCCTCCACCTTCTCCGCTCCGCTCCTAGTTGGCCTGCCGCTAGTAGCTCTTACCTCCCGACCCTCAAAGTGGACCTAAGCAGTCCACTCGTCCTATCGTTGGACAACGTCGGACCCGCTCCAAATTTGGGGCACATACTTGGCTAAGGGCGCAGCACAAGAGCTGAAGCCAAGCCCCGACCCCTCTGCTTCCTGAGCTGGCATGGTACCTAACAGGTTGGAACATGCAGATCAAGTATATCACATGTTTAGATTGATAGTGGGCATAATTCAAAGCAGTCCTCTAGTAAGGTGAAGGAAAAGTTGGAGAAAAGTCGGAAGGTAAAAGATTCAATCAAAAACACCCAAGCCCTGAGTACCACTACTTTTAGGGAACATTATTTTCAAGGAACACTGAGGTACAGGTAGTAATTTCTCAGGAAGTGGAAGTGAAGGCAGGCAGTGCACATGGGCACAATACTGTGCAATAGGGGTTCATGCCATAAGGGCATGTGTCAATGTGATCCAGATAATGTTAGAAGCGATGAGAAGAGAGATACAGTGTACCAATGAACCTGGAAGGATGGGGATGGGACATGTGAAGGTCATCCAAGCATGGGAATATCGGATAGTGCAGGTGTGTTCCAAAGGATGCATGGGAATGTGGAACCCATTGGACAATGCATGGGAAACACGGAACACACAGAATATGCAAAACTAATGTGAGATGATGCAGAATCAACAAGGTTTTATACCTATAGTGGGAGCATTCCCCACACCACAATAAGAGAAGTGTCAACAGTGAGAATGATTTCACAGCTGGACTCATAGTCAATTCAATGTAGAGTGGGCAAATTCACAACTGCTTCCTTCAGAAGCCTCATATATTCCTGATGTGCAGGGCCAAACTTGAATGGTTCATCTTTGCGTGTTAGCTGTATGAGCGGCCATGTGATCAATGAACAGAAGTGTGAAACACAGGATCTTGAGTTGGAAGACAAATGAAATATCTGCTTGGAATATCTGTGATGAGTTGGCAAATCCTTGAGGGAGTGTTGTGAGTCAATGAGGGCCAAGTGGTGTTCCGAATGTGGTAAGATCACACAACTCTGGATGAAGCAGCCGATGATAATATCCACCATATAAGTCCATCATTCCATATACTGCATAGCCTGTGAACACTTCTGTCAGGTGGTCGGTAAATAGAGGTAGCACTGTGTCTTTGACTGTTACAGCATTGAGTGGCTGCAAGTCATGGATTAGTTGGAGTGATTTTCCATTTTTCTTGATGATGCAAAACCATCATGAATGATATGCTGCATTTGATGGTTCATATACCCCTCCTTCTATTTTATTCTTGATGATTTGATCAACTTCATCAAATATTGCCAGTGGAATAGGAATGTTGCACTGAACCAACGGTGTATGTGGTACCATAGTGATTTTGATGGGTGGGAAATATTCCTCTTTGAAATGGCCACATTCACTAGGTTCCCAAATGAAGGCTTTCTCATGAGTGCAAACTAACCAATGAATTAGCTTCAGCTCTTCCAGTCATAGCCAATTTGTGGGATTGAGGTCAAGCTTATCTGCACATTCTTGAGTGAAGTGCTCTCCTGGCCCAAAGTCGGGCAGGTGGGTAGGAAGATTGGTCATTCCTGCAAGAGGGTCATCAGGTAATTTGCACTTGATATAATAGTGCTCAGTGATTGATTCCAGCACAGTGCAGACTTTTTGTGTGACTGGCTTGAAGATGAGCACCCTTGAGACAAGATAAAACTGATAACTGGACTGAAAAGCAGCGATGGATGCATGGTTGAAGCAAGTTTGGGAAGAAATGAGAAACATATAGACAGGGGGAAAATTAGTAGGAGGTGTAGAGTAGGAAAATGTCCGGGCGATTTGAAAAGAATGTTCACCCCTTGAGGGTTCGATCAGCAATAGAAAGTAGAGAGCATCCATGATTTGATGTACATAAGTGAGATTCATCTCCCAATTGCATGGATCATCAATCATCAAAAACCTGGTCCCAAGACTTTGCAATGGTTTGCGCAGCGTAAGTTGCATGAACAGCATGGACAAACCTTCAACCAATGCTTTGTTGTGATCATGATCTCCTTCCCTGTGTTTAGGTCCAATATAGTGACATTTTGTTCACCATTGATGAAGTTTTGTGTGCAGCAGCTCATGTGCACATAGAACAGCTGACTTAAGAGTACTTGGAAGTTAGCTTTTCAACTACTTGCACCTGTAGATGGACTTCACCTGCCCCCAAAATCAAATCCAAGATTCTCAATCACACCAAGTGTTGAGTCTTTACTTTAGTTCAGGAGATTCCATGGTCATGATGTGATCGGAGTGCAGAGGGACACCAAGTGATTGCCAAATATCCTTACACATTACAATGATTTCTGCACCTTGGTCAAGCACATATGTCATCTTCTTGCCTTGTACTGTCACTTCAATGCACCTAAGGGGAACAGGCTGGTGAGTGGTAATAGTTCCATCATCCAAGCAGTTAAGTGTGTGTTCATATTTGCCCCATGAGCATTTGGGGTTCAAACCTGCTAACTCGTTGACTGAAAGAGTCCCTAAAAGGGCTTGGCTTCAGCTCATGCGCTGTGCCTCTTACCTGAGTATGTGCCCTTAATTTCCCAGAGTTAGAAGGGAAGTCCAACAAAAGTCCGTGTAGGTCCAGAGGTCAGACACAAGGGGATTTTGGCAGAACTCTGGAAGGCTAGGAGTAAATAGTGTAAGACTACTTCAGACAAGTCTGGAGTAGAAACAGAACAAAGATAGACTACCCTAAGGTAGAAGCTGGAGATATAGTCTTAAGGAATAAACCCAAAGACTCAGAGGTGGACAAGAGGTCAGACTCAAGTCTGGAGAAACAGGGATGAGCAGGAACTAAGATGATATTCGAACTGAGGAGGTACAGGGGTTTACAGGGGTTTATATACTGTAGATATCAAGTAAGCAATCATTCAGCATAGTGAAAAGCTATGTCCGAAGCATATGGAAAATCCATTGGTGAGTATACAATGGATCAAAGAAATGAATTTGGAAATGAAATGCAGAAAGACAGATCAGTAAGCAAGGCGGAAAAGTGTATGACCAGTAGCCAGAGGGCAGTAATCTAAAAGGAGATAGGTGTGAATCCAGAGATGAAATTGGAGTGCCTGGATGGAAAGCAGGGTGGAAATCTGGGCTTTTACAGGAGAGAATCCAGAGTTCCAGGTGTGGAAATACAGGATATGACAGGTGTGAATATTGCATGCTTGGAGCAGTTGTTACTCTTGGTACCTGTGAAACATGCAGCATTGCTTGTTCAATAGTGTCTTTGACTTGCAGAGATAATATTTCTTCAACTGGCTTCAAATTGCTTTTGGACATGCTTGCTTTGAGTGGAGCAGCAGATTCAAAGTGAACTGACTTAGCCTGCTTCCTCATGATATTTTCCTGAGCAATTTTGAGTGCAAGTTGGAGCACCCAAACCATAGCAACATCTGGGTCTTCTCTGCCTTTGTCTTCATTCGCGGCCTGTGTCTGTAGATACACAGAAGATTCTATGTCGAGTTCAACGTTGATCTCCAGTCCTGAACAGACAAACAGGCCTGCTACATTAGTTCGAGCGACTTTTCCTGATGCTGTGTATGTGTCGATATCTCTACACATTCTTGTTGTATGACCAGTGCAGCCACAGAAATAGCAAATTGGCAGTGGTCTGGATTTGCTTAGAACATACTCTTGTTTGATGATGACATTGGGCATTGTGGGTGTGGGTACAGATGGTATGAAAGCTGATTGTGCTGGCTGGGTGGCTGGGCTTGGTGAAGGTGTTATGGATTGCGCTTGGAGTGGTGTCAATCCTTGAAGAAAAAGTAGTGCTGCTTCTAGTACCAACACCTGAGTATATGCATTGTTGGGGTGTAGGTCAGGCTCCTTAATCTCTAATCAGTGTCAGATGTGGGTTTGGACATCAGAATGGAATCCTTTCAGAAACAGGCGGTCACACTCATTCTCAGTGAGGTGTTTCTTATTGATTAAAAAGGTAGAAACATGGCGAAACTGCTGCAAATATGCTCCCACATTATCCTGTGACTGCATAGGCTTAGTCACTTGCACGGTTACCAAGAATTCAAGGTTGGCCCTCATGTAATGCTTGTCACTTTCACAACCTGGATACAAGGTTTTGACCACTTCAACGAACTTGTCAAAGTCACCCTTGCTCGTTTCTTCCAAGGTTTCCCAAGTTTTGGCGTAATCTCTGTGAATGTAATGGAGAGATGCCTTGATCGCTTGTTCTGGAGTAAGGTTTGTGGTGTCAGCAAGTTGACTGATGTCTTCAAAGTAACAAATGAGGTCTCTTGTGCTTCTGTTGAATTTAGAGGCACCTGAAGTTCCACAAAGCAGCATCTGGAATGAGTGAGTCGACATTTGAGTGGGTTTAATAGGAATAGGTGTGGGCGGTATGAAGAAGTTGGATGGTTGTCAGATGAAGAATGGTGGAGGAAAGCTAGGAAGATGTATGTACATCAGTTGGGGTTCAATAATATAAGGTGATTCGTCTTGAGTGCTTGGGGTGAGCACGAGGTCAACTGATGAGGCTAAAGGACTATTAGAAGATGATTGTTGAGACATTTCAACTGCTAGAGCAGGTTCTGTGCGGCATGTGGGTTTGTGGAATATCTTTGAGCTGACTATGCATCTGAGTGACTACCGGATGGCCAGGTCTTGGATGAAGTTGCCTTGCAGTGGGCAATGATGAAGCCCTCATGGTGGGCTCCAGTTGTAAGGAGCAGATTCCACTATGACCTCAGCATGACAGCAGCCCATTCAAGTGGTGAACCTGTAATGTTCAGCTCGACCAAGGGGAAGCAGAACAAACCAAACCAAATTTATATGCTGGGTATGAAACAGCTAGACACAAAGCCAATTGACTGTAATCCCTACTGACCAATATGCAGTTCCCAGTGAGCATGGCTGACCTGAAGGTAAAGCAGGACGACTCTGATAACTGCTGATGATGAATGGAAGACTAAGGGAAATGTATGCACAAACACGGGAAGAGAATGGAAAGAGAACAGAACACGAAAGATACAGCTTCTGAGTGAGAATTAACTGGTATTCAACAATGGGCGTGTGCTACTTAAGTACAGATCGGCTATGAGGTAAATAATGGAGATAAAATTGCTTGGAACATCCGGACTACCTCATGGTTTGCTAGAGATATATGTGCAACATGCGATCGACTTTCAATAGTATGAATGGGGATGTTGATCATGAAATTGGTCCAAGTTGCTTAAGGCGATGTAATAAGGGGGGATTGGGAGGTAAAAGTACTATAATTGTCAAATATACCAAAGAAGAGTGTATTATGCACCAGTGAACAAGGATGGATGAATATGGGGTTCATCTGAGGATCTGTGAGCTAGAAGGGCAAAATATGCATGTGACCAACCAATGTTGCATGTGTATTTGTGGTCGGCTGACTTACACTGTGAGCAGCTTGAGTGTATATGAGCATGGGTTCAATCAGCAAGGAGTCGAATAGAGCAGGAATGATCAGGTGTATATTGCACCTGGTCAGTGGGCCAAGGAAGTACTATGTCAGTGCCAATCAGCATCCCACAACGCTCACTAACATTGTGGGGCAACATACAGAGATGATGACATAGTAACCCTTGTCAGGTGGCAACATCTGGAGAGGATATTGTGTTGAGGCTCAATAAGAAACATCCAGGAGACTGCACTCACCCTCTTCTGCGAGGGTCAGCATTTATCCTCTCGAGGGAGATCTACTCAGCCCTGCAAAACTAGGGAGAGGCATATAGGAGGAGGGGGTCTCTCAGACCATATAATTCCTACATAATAATAGGGTCTGACAGTACGTGGGAACATCTTCAAAGTGCTGCCAAGGGTGGAAATTCTCATAACAGATGGAGTCTAAGTACTTGGATACACCCAACTGTCTAGACGAACATCACTCCTCCTGTTGGGTGCCTCATCTAATACCCTTATTAAATGGTGTGGCATTTCTTCTTCACATCCGCTATAAGCGGACAATGCCGCCACCCTGCATCAAAAACACCGTTCGCCTGTACCATGTCAACCGAGAACAATAGGCTGCACAATATCCAGAAAGTACTTACGGTATACCGACAGTGCGCTTGGTTGTGACTCTTGTCACTGTACCTGCCGGCCTATCAGTTACTTTGTTCAAGATGTGTGGGTACAACGCACACGCAATCTGTGTCAGATACGCCTACTGCGCCGCTACTGGATAGTTTCATGGTATCATCGCCAACATTAATTGTGGCTGGGCACTGTATACACGCATTGGCGCTAGCGAGGAAGCTGAGCAGCGCAAACATAATGGTGCGGGAAGTAAACATGATGGAATTTGTGCAAGGAGGTGGGGCGGAGCCATAGTAGCAGGCAGGTGTTTTATAGGCTGAAACTTCCAGTGTGGACGTAAAGGCGTTGCTCGCTTTACTTTGCTACTGAGATGCCACCCTACTTTAGGCGAAAACAGTTGAGCCAAAATGCATGATAACGGCCTTGGCTTCGCGTTCCTCATCAGATATGTGCACGTACATCGGACGTTGTGACTTCCCAAACACTCTCCGTAATATGACCATCCTTGATTCGATGAAGCTCGACATGGTCGCCCCATATATGCCCAAACTCCTGCGCAACGTGTGAGTTTTGATCTTTCACAGAAGGTTCACGGTCAACGAGACGGAACTTCGCAGGGTACGGTTGAAAAGTTGATGTTTAGAAACACGTGTTAAGTATTAACTGGTTGTAACATTGTTTGGAAGTCGTTCCGTAATTTGGCCTGATGAAAATTGTGGTCATGCAGGGCCGTCTGCGGCGCCCGGACAACTTCATAGCTGCAAAGCCGAGGCCTGGCTACCGTCACAGAAGGCATGAGCAGGATCATAAATAAGGCTGATGTTGATCGTGGACGTGCCGGCCGGGGCTTTCTGCCGAGGATATGGATATTGGGCGGAAAGTGATAGCAGGCTAAAGATGGCTATCGCTTGGGTGTGGTTGCCAAGACCTCGGCGTAGGACGGATGTCAGATGCCAGTAGGGTTGAATCAGAACGCCAAAGCAGGCTGATTCTGAGAATGTGACAACGGGATAAAGGATATGATGGAGTGAAGATTGTTTGATAGACGTTGCATTATACTGGTACCCGCAGCCTTCAAAGTAGCCCGTAAAAAATCACTTATGGTTGGGAATAGCATAAAGTTGGCATCGGAGACGGGCTTGCTTGCTCTGTTTTGTGGTTCGTACACTTTGCAACAACTTTGCAATGCGCGGGAGAGAGATTATAGATGTACTAGATTATGTTTCGAAGTCAAGAAGACATTTGGGCGTGATGAGTGACCAACCAACTTATCTAGTGCAGCGCACGGACCTGGCAACGGCTGGCACGCTGTGGAATGACTTGATTAGCTCGCTATGGGTTTAAACCGTGTTGTGATTGTGTTATGTATCACGCGTAGATGAGTGACAGGTGAGAGAAACCACTGCATAAGGAGTTACTAGTAAGTTACGAGCAAGTATTAGATGATGTGGCGGAGAGAACACCTTGGAACAATGGTCACATGCTGCTTACACAATCAACGTGACAAAGCAGAATAAGTTCTAAAGTTGCAAGGTTGAACGTGTTGTTTTCGTGATACATACCTCCTGGTCCTGGAAGCTGGTGCTGAGTCGCCCTTTCAAGCAGCCCTTCAATTACCCATGGACCAACAAACCGAGAGGAGATTAATCCGAATAATCGAGGGTGTGTCCCGATTCTTTAGGAATCTTGAAAGCTGAAGTTCATCAAGGTCCTGCAGCTGTCCACTCAACATCGGACGTGGAGGTCACACCGGCGGGACTGAATGTCAATTCCAAGGCCCTCATCCTCAACAATTCGAATCTCATTTCTCTCGCTGACAATACAGTACCAAACCGAGAGTACCCAAGGGCTGATGCTGACTGGTGGCGATAGCGACAAATCTTGGCATTTCCGGGAACGTGGCGAGTGTGGTTACTCCCACTAGCACTCGAACGTTCTCAGAAATGCTAAAGCTGTAGGAATGAGACTCGTGATCGAATACAGCGCGGTGCCAGTAGCAACGCCGACGTATGTTCGATGTTCGTCATGCACATTGATTTATTTTCTGAAAAGCAACGTCTCTAGGAATTTGAATATAACAATGTGGCGGTTTTTCCACGGCGCTGACCTTCAATACACCGCTCACCGATCACCGCTAGGTTTTACAAGGCGCAAAGTGATCATTTATGTCATGAAGAGAAGACTTTGACGAACGTCTGTCTGTTGTTGTCGATTTCGATCGATCGGCGTTCATCAACTTCTTCGCTCCAATCCAGTGCACACAGTGATGACATCGTAGGTGTCATGATTGGGGAGAGTATGAAAAGTCTGATGACGCCGATGAGTGCACGTTAAGTTTACTCGGTTCTCCATACCGCAGGGAATTCAGGCAATAAAAGAATTTTTCTTCAGCTCCTTCGCTCTCATGGAATTCAGAAGACAACCGCCTCAGGCTCTCCGAATCCTACCCTAGCAACTCGTTCGTTGCGCCAAGCTAGCATCAGACTCCCTCTTCAGACCGTATCCCAGCCAAGGCAATGCACTGCCTCACGCAAGCATTGCTACCTTTCGAGTCGGACATCAGACACCAGACAAACTGGGGTCTGTGGTTCCTCAGAGCCAACTGGTTTGCACGGAGATAATATTTCATGCCGCTAGGGCGAAAGGAGGTAACTGTTCGTAATACCTACTGCACGCCGCATTTTATGGGCATCTTGTGAAAATAATAGTTGACTTTCTGAGCTATAGAGGATATTCACGCCGGCCTCATTTTCCGGCTCGTCATGCTCTTTGACCAACCAGATCAGGCACCTCCTAAAATGTTCCGGCCCTGGAAGTTGTTTCCCCGTCTCGACATGGCAGCTGGAAATGTACTTATCAGATGGTGCCGCTAAAGGCATAGCCCCAAGGACACAAGATTCTTTACTTAAATATTTTACAGGTACAAGAAGCACAAGGGCCGTGATAAGGCGGAGGACCGGGAGGAGCGGCGCAGCGTCTGAAAAAGACTCCATGATGAGACTTCTTGTGTGACCTCAGGATGATTCTACAACATGCGCCTGATCACTCTGCATCACAGTGAAGTCAAATAGTTTAAGCCCCCCCAGTGTCGCAGGTTACGAATACGCATCTGACGGAATTTGTCCCCAAAGGGTACAAAAACGAGGACCTGTCCGCCGGAGAATAAATCTCCAGTAGTAATCAGACGAGGACGATCAGTTACCGATCCGCTCTGCTTCTCCATGATATCCACCGCGGCCTGCAAACAGCATGTTGAGCCTCTGTTAACTTAGCGGAGAGGGACGGGACTGACTTTTTGGCGGCCGATGTAAACGATTTTCTCAGTCCCTGAACGAACGGCGATCAGAGGACCGTACTTGTCAATCTATTCCGCTACAGTGAGATACGCTGATCAGCATTAATTCCCATTAAAACACTACGAGTAAAGGTAAAACTTTACGTGCGTGCCCATGAAGTCTCCCTGAAGTCTCCCGAGGACGAGGTGCGTGTTGACAGAGATGAGTAGGTCAGGCAGCTGTAGCATGGCTGATGGGACGGGCACGAATCAGTATGGGAGGGTAGTCATCCAAAGTGCACCCAAGTCATGAACGGGTTTTGTAGAAACGCATGGGCAATCGCAGCGACCCTAACGATGGTCAACGTTTTCATGTATTAGTGCTGGCGTGCGATATTCGCTGATACTGGAAGTGATTCACGTTGAGCAGCCATATATCAAGAAGATGATGCATGCGTTCTCTCCGACTGCCACCGTGACGGTGTGCATGAGCCACGAACACAGTTTTCGTAGATCAGACTTGAACATCGACGATGGGGTTGAATTGTCCCCACTGATGAATCACAGCCATCACTGAAAAGGTCACATCATTTTCTCAAATATGCATGAGCCACGAGCACAAAGGTCTCCGTATTTCCAATGATGCTTGGACATCACGGCGATTCTCGCAAACACAGATAGGCTGCTCGACGGAGTTGTCCCCACTGATGACATCTATAATTTCCCAACATTAAATGATCGGGGAACTGAAGCACAAATACTTTAACCCAGTTAGAACCCCACAGACCTAGGATGCAGAGCGCACTATATCCCGAGTGAGCGGCAAAAAAGGGTGCAGCAGCAAATAGACTTGCACTGTCTCGAAACTGTGGTGAGACGGCATTGTCAGTGATACCCCTTGCTGTCTGAAGAAAGTTCCTTGACCAGACGCATCTGTTCACGCCAAGTTTGCTCTCATGAAGAGGTGTCAGTGTGCCATGTTCCTGCCAAGGTGATACTTACGAGGGACACCCGAAAATGTACAAAGCCATTGGCGACATCAAAGAGGGGACATTAAGTATCCACACGCCGGATCTACTTCCAAACTCCAGTGACAAATTAATTGGAAACGGCACACCTTTTTGTCATAGTCGTTCAGTAAGTTCCTCAGAGCCTTATGTAAGTTACAATATGCCAGGATGTGCCAACGCAGACCTTGCATGATATACTGCATTTCTAAATATCACCGAATGCGCCGCGGTCAGGCCACTCCATTCAGGTCTACTTTGCTGATCAGGTGTGACAGATCCTCAAGCAATTCACAAAACCTGGGAATCGTCAAAGGAGTTCGGTTCATTTTTATTCGAAATATGGATAAGAATATGCGTACTCCACGTCCGTGTCCTCAGCGGTGTTTAGGTATGTCCGTTCCGTTCATGATGCGCACAAATGCAAATGAGAGGAGATAGTCACGATACGTGCCCTTTAATCACAAACCGCGTTCCTGTGCATTAAACAGTGTACGTGACACATTACCATCGCAGGAGCGCGGGTCTGTGAGGGGATTGCCTGACCTATGTACCTTGCCTATGAGCATAAAGGTCGAATTCTTACTGCAAATACATTTTTTGCAGGGTAACAACATGACTCCTAGGCAGACCAGATTGTTCTTCCGTATGGGTTGCAGTTACGTGGAAAGCTGAAGTGATATGGTACTGATACTGCCAGTGAGGTTTGAACGCCACATCGATGACAAGTGGATTTCAAGCTTAAATGCTGGCAATACTAATCGTTAGTAGGTGAAGGTCTAGTGGAGAGAAAGGACGCACAAGTAAAGGTAGAGCAAACACGAGCACGAACAAACTTTCGACTCACATGGTGCCAGTCTGCGGTAAAGTCACATCATTGACTTGACTCGCCAAAGCGCCCGGCAAGTCTAGTACATACTAGTATTGAATTTTCGCCAACTTCGCGCAAGGTAGATGGAGTCCAAACTAGAATGCCACAGTTTCTACTCAGCCTTTGAAAGTCTGTGCCCTGCTCGTCTAGATCGAGTTTCGACATCGCGATCCTGGTCACACAAGTTTTTGAGTAAAAAGTAAAGGACCTAGGAGCACGAGGTACAAGAAGCGTTCAAGATGGAGAAATCCGAGGCGCCAACTTGGCAACAACTTTCAACAACCAAATAAAATCTTCGTTTTTTCCAGGTTGCCGTTGATCCTCTCTACACCATCTGAACTTTTGGTGATGTCAGCCATCGAAGTTCTAAAGTATAGGTTACATGTCAATCATGACCCAGACTCTCGAACGTCGATGGCGGGCAAAACGACGCTGCTACAGCGCCTTCTCCTTCGAGCCTGTCAAAGGTCAGGCTTATCGTACAGCCATTTGACAACGTGCATCGGCCGCCGTCAGGCAGGCCTTAGTCAAGCACTGCTCTCATCGTCCGAGATGATCGATGCATATCGTATTATCATTATGGGCGCTTGCCATGTATACTGTAGCGTGCGCACAATCCGAGCACATGTTCAAAACATGGGGAAAATACGGTAAGCAAAAATTGCCGATTTCCATTCTGCACCCGTTACGCTGTCTCTTGTCTCACACCATCATCCTTCCCAGGATACCCCGTCTCTTTGCCCCTAGTCCTTGCGCCATAGTATTCCTGCCGCGTCATGGCAAGGTACTACGACGAGATCCCGCCCCAGCTCATCGAGTGGATTCTGCAGCAGCACATGTTCTGGGATAGCCACTGCCGCGCTACAGGGGGATGGGCACGTCAACTGTCTCTCCCAAAGGAACCGCGAATTGCTTCCACATCGAGAGTCCTACCAGAGTTTGGTATGAAGATCTTACGGGCAGTGGTGCGTGATCTTTCTTGTCTTACTTCATGATCTTTCTTTATTACTCAGTTTCTGAGTTACGTTTTACAATATTGCAATGTTTACTCCAGAATGACGAGACCTGCATCCTGATACTCATGATTTGTAGGTGTCGAAACGGTTGCGCATATGCGCCAGCCCGGTAACGGCCGCATCACGATTCTCTTCCACGCGTTCGAAGGACCTCCGAGAATCCTCCGTTTGTGGGGAAAGGGTACGCATACTCTTCCCCTTCGTACCTCCACTTAACCATCTCAACTCCGTCCATCATGGTCTCGCGTTGACATCCCAATTTCCGTTCTCACTGACACCTCATCACAGGCACCGTATACGAATTCGGCACACCCGAATACAACGAATACATCCCCCCATCCGGCCGTAAAGCCGGCTCACGCGCCATCATTGTCATAGATGTGCACAAAGTCGGGACGGTACGTTCTTCGAATTCCTCCGCATAACACCCGATTAAACCTCCTCCCTTCCCCCATTCCAGTCGTGCGGCTTTGGCGTCCCATTGTACAAATACGAGACCCAGCGTACGATTCTCGAGCGGTGGTGCGACCAGTTGGAGAGCTTCGATCAGAATGGTGAGGCACAGTCCCAAAGCCAAAGTCAAAGCCAAGCACCACCTCCATACTCGTCCGAGCAGAACGAAACCAACGCCCTCGTAAAAGACGAGCGCGGGATCAAGGCATGGTGGACATTGGAAAATGTTGCAAGCTTCGACGGCCTCCCGGCCCTGCAGTTCGCACACGATAGCAGCGTCCCGCCTATCAACACATTCGACAAAAAGGCTCCGCATCCAACTCTTTCTCAAACAAAGAGCATCACGAAACCTGCTAAAGGTGGGAAAGCCAAGTCGGGTTCCGGGGAGACAGTGAGGTTGTTGATGGCGTTTAGCTTGGGGGTCATGGTGACGGCAGGATATGTGAGGCTCGTTATTTCGCGTATCCGGTAGCGCGGGATCGGGATTCGCCGATTCAAAGGGGCTTCACACGTGGCGTGGTTTTTTGAAAAATGTTTAGGCAACACTAAAGCTAAAGTTGGGTGCGTTCTCAAGATCTCAAGCTTTGCAACATTGTATCGTGACGGGAGTTTACTTAGGCAGAAGGTAAACAATGACGTTAACAGGGGAAAGGAAGATTTCCAGAAGCTAAGCCTAAGCTATCTAAGTTTCTAAACTCAATCATATCAAACATAAACGATAAGAAGAGAATATTTTCCTGTGGGATGCAGCATGGAACACAGATGAATATCACAGAAGACAAGGAATCAGAAAAACTGTCATGTCAAAGGAATATTGGGGCGTCACTCCCTCCTCGATGAGGTTATTCGAGCGCAAGCTCTTTCATCAGGAAATAAAGTCAGGAAATAAAGGATACAAGAATGGAAGTCGACTCACCTGTTCATGCGTCCACTCGCTCTCCCTGACAGTATTATATTGGCACCATTGCCGCATCACCGGCACTGGACCAGTGACAAGAAGTTATTACCGCACGCCGACCTGAGAGGAAATAGTATTTATGAGCACAAGATACCCATGTAGTTAAGCTTCAACACTCAAACAAGAAAAGCCACCAACACAATGACCTCCTGAGTGTCTGAATCCAACTAATACTCACCCAATGACATCCAGACTTTTGAACATACCTACCGGTGTCCGGACGACCATGACACGGGACGACACTCGACAGACCGTCATCCACGAACCTGAGAATAATATTAATGGGGACTGGGTGCTAAGATCCGGCGCCTTCACCAGGCCTCGAGGCCAGGCACAAGGTCAGCGGGTGATACTCGGACCGACACGCACCTCGCTGCTCAGTAGATTTGCAACATATATATCGTATTCATATCTGGAATATTAATATATGCAAAGTTTGCCACCCATACATACTTGAGAACACGTTGAAAGCAAGGATATTACTGGCGCCGAGCACACAGCATCTAAACCAGCATCAGTTTCCGAGACGGCTATTACTTCTTGGTATGTACCTGGGTCCTGGATCCTGAAGGATTGTCGAATTTAACGCCACAGGCTCGACTCGGAAACCACCCGACGGGATGATCAAGGTCTGGAAACAGGTTGTAGGAGGGCGGCGGTGATAATGCAAGGTCTGGATAGTATGCAATGAGGCATAGAGCAAATTTGAATCTTCAGATCTGCGCGTAAATTCGACAATGCGCCCTTGGGTGCCTACTGCGCGTGGCAGTGCATGCTATAGTGTACTAGCGTAGTACTGCAGAGTACTGCTTGTAACTGCGTATAGCAGTCTGCAATGTCAATAAATCAGGCGCCAAGAATGTGCGTGACCCGTGCCCTATTACCTGGCAGACTCACGCGGACCCACGCATCGTAATCGTGGCGTGAAAAAAGAGCCTCGATTTTCAAAAGCGGGGACAATTTAACGTTACCCAGAGCTCGGCTTGCAAGGAACGCGTGACAAGGAGCAAATTGACCAACCAGGCAAGTTTATACGGCTTGATACGTGAAATTCGAATCTGTCGGAGTCGGATGGAAGGTCTTCGAAGTTCTATGGTGGTTGGAAGTGTCCGATAGGCTGCGATATCGTCAATCAGGTACAAGCCGTTCCTGCCGCGGCATAATTAGTGAACTACGGCTCGTCAATCAATCGGAATAACTATCAGTCACAAGATTCTCGGTCATCGTATACCACCAAAAACCAAGTCAATGAGATTACCTTGCGACCCCCTGCGAAAAAGTATGTATTTACTTCACAAGCTATATGGCGCGACAAGCATGGGATCATGGCCATGGCCATGGGACTCGGGACTTACGTGAAAAATGCGACTAAGTTTGAAAGCAGTGCCAGGCACGGAGCTACGTATGGCATGTGAACTTTCAGGCATTCTCTCTCCCGAAATCCTTTTAAGCTGCACAACCAAATGAGCATGGATTACAGAACAACAAGTATATCCGCAACCCAGCTCCCATGAAACTCTCGGCACTCTTTTTCGTCGTGGCCTCTGCCTACACCGTGTTGGCTGCACCCATTGTGAGTTCATTGTACGATAGTGCATCTCGGTGGCTGATCTATTCCTGGTACAGGCTATGGGCAGTGATTCATTGGTAGCAAGAAGCGTTTTGGAGGAGGCTCGTGAAGTATGTAATTTGTGATTATCGCCGTTTGTGGGCGTTCATTTAACACATCCACGCAAGCCTGGTGCTCCGGACTGGAAGCGGACAGTTGACTCTCCAGACTGGAAACGGACGGTTAACTCTCCAGACTGGAAGCGGACGGTTGACTCTCCGGACTGGAAGCGGACAGTTGACTCTCCAGACTGGAAGCGGACGGTTGAATCTCCAGACTGGAAACGGACAGTTAACTCTCCAGACTGGTAAACACGGAATACCGCAAAAGTGATGAATGGGCCAGCTCTGCATAATGATATCCACCTCATTCATCGCTCGTCTTTTTCTTTCTCGCATTTCATTTGTGAGTTCCTCCGTTCTGTTTCTTGTCTCACTCGCTGATCACTCTGTATCCTAGAGTTTTTACAATCATAAACGGACACATGTCTCGTCTTCCCTTTGCACTCTACTTTTAATCGATATGGTCATCTGCGTCATCTATAGAACGGAGCGGGCTAATTGTGGTGGGTTACCACGGAGTAATCGATGTACTCTTAGGTCAGGAGGCAGCGGGCGATATGGAAGGGACATTCTTGTACCTGCGGTTGTACTAGGAGTCGTCTTGAGCTGGCGATTGTACAACGGCAGTCTATAGATAGCTTGTAACCTTCCCAGATTGCATTTGTATCAAATTTGATCGATGCTATCGTATCACTCACTATCACTCCCAGGCACTCCAGCTCAAAATTTCCATGGGAGTAGCTTGAGCATGCTAAAAACAATTAGGATGATACCTGGTGACGCGTCGTCGCTGGTCATGTGGACCTGAGGACCAGATGCGGCTCGAGGACAAGGAGAAATAGTGTTTCCGCAGTACTTGAAACAAAGAGCTACTAATCCCTGCCAAGTTACTAATTAGGACAACTTTCGAAGGTTAGCTACAGAAGGTTCTCATTGTTTTTACGTCCTGCAACTGTCATGCCCAGCCATGCCCCGAGCCAAGCCCGAGGCACCCATTAATATTCTTCCTCGTTACATCACGACAAACACGCGGTACGCGAGGTAGCTATGCCCCTGTGACGACATTGATGGGATGTTAAATCGGACTTCGTACCTTATCTTCCGTGCTGCTATCTTTGTCCTGATCTGTCAACGCGAATCGAGCGCTTACAAAGAGTTACAGGCGCTTACTGTTGCTAGGAAGAAGCAAGGCTCAAGCTGAACGCAATTAGTGGTTAGAAGTGCATCAAACGTCAAGAAGGCCTAGTAGGGTTCCTCAGATACATTGCGTGCAGCACGACTGGGACAGTCAAAAACAGTATCAAGATCGACGTTTTGGGCGCGACACGCGCGGTGCAGGTCCCAGCACACTAGCATAAAAAATCGTTGAGCAACCCTTCCCATCCCCCCACATTAGTGCGTATCGCGACGGCGCTCGAGCTCGACGTCGGCTGCAACTATGTATGTATTGCTGCAAATATTGGTGCGCACAAGGCACCTCGGATCCGTATATGATATACGTCGTATCTTCCGGCAGATGATTTCGACCGGTCAGTGCTCTTCTTTGCATGTCTGTCACGCTCTCATGATGTTCACGAGCGTCATTACCGTCTCCCGGACCACGCATCGTGCTGGAACAGCGGGCGCTAAAGCTCGTAGGCGTATACATTCTTGTACAGGAGAATAATGAGATTCCTCGGAAACTTGAGGTGAACTTGGCGTGTGCCCTTCGGACCGGTATGTTGCTGTGACTCGCTAATAAACACTTCTGAAGGGCGCCGACAACATGAGCATCACTTCCTGTGTCGCTGCAGAGAAATAAAAGACCAAATTTTGTCTTCCCTTTCGTTCTCCGTCATGTTTCAGCATTCCCTATTGTTACCCTCCGCTGCCCGATTCTCTGCAGCATGTGAACAAGACGAAGACGGATGTGGATGTTATTTATGAACATTCACCCGCACCGCGCAGAGTGAGTAAATCCTCTGCCTGCCCAATGTATACACGGCCATGAGCAGTATGATGGAATGATTTTACTACTTTATTTGCAGCTGAAATTCGCAAAGTATCTTCAGTTCACTGTGCGCTAAGGGTACGTTCGTGGCGACCCTTTGATCTGGGTCGAACGTCAAGATAAAGTCTGGAAGTTATCATCGCTACGAGGAGCAAATTTCTCGATTTCTAAGGTGAGCCACTCGGGCAGAGAACACCGAGAAGAAGACCCGAAGCATGTTAGATTGCACCATGGATGTAAGTGTTTGTCAATCCTTTCCGCCTAGCCAAGTCTTTGCCAGTATCAGTCAAATAACCGACTCGGAGGTGCATAGAGCTAGATGAACCAGCGACATTTATGCAACGATTTCAGTGAAAAGTCACTTCATTTACAATGAGGTGAGTTCCGTCATTTAGAGTCGGGCAGCAAGTGGGTTGTGAAATATGAATAGACATAAAGGATGAAATGACGCCAGTGTCGGGCATCAACTCATTCCTCATGTATATTCAAGTTAGACTGAGGGTTTATGTGTCAACACTGCAGAGTCCTCAATCAGGACCAGATTCAGTTTTTCTTCTAGGGTGAGTCCCTCGTGCTGAGAATCCTGAAAAGAAGTTTGCACTAAGCATCTTAGTACTATGAGACAGAATCACGAATGTAAGTGTTAGTCGATCCTGTCAGCCCAGCTGAGGCTTTGTCAGTGTCAGCCAAATAACCGACCCAGAGGTGCATAGAGCTGACGAACCGGCGACATCTGTAGAACGATTTGATTCAAAGGTTACTCCAGGCCAATAAGGTGAGTTCTAGTCATTTGAAATCGCAGCAAGTGGATTGTGAAATTAGAATGGATATCAAGCATGGCTAGTTGAACTTGAAGCTCGACTGCTTAGATTCTTTATGTCCACTCTAGTTAGACTGATACGCTTCGGAGTCAACACTGGGCTCATACTTCAGGTCAATCACAATGCAGTATGACCGTGCAGCATTTAGCCGTAAGCAAAAGGAAGGTAGTCGTACCTTGAGGCAAGTAACCATATCTCGTCGCTGCCATAGTACAGACCGTGAATCAAACATGAGAAATTGTACTTACATAAATCTTGTGCCTGACGACTCGATGACGGTCGGTGTAACTTGGTTGATACGTCCTCTCATCCGCGCGTGACTGTCATGCATTAATATTTTAACCTATGACCAGGAGAAAAAGCAGTGCAAATTAGAGATGATGGCGTTCTGAATCTCAAGCGCGTTCATCGAACCTCACGTGATCAAGTGTTACATTTGTGTGATAAATGGAAAAACATACATAACAATTCGACTACGAGACATATAATAAACATGGGAGCACAAAAAACGCAGGGATATGATAGAAACTTGTGAGCCTTTCCGATTTTCGAAAAGACGAGGAACGAGTTTGGCATGTTAATTGTTAATATCTTCACTTTTGCCTAGTTTCCCTATTATGCAGATCATATAGAAGGAAGAGAGACCAAATGTAAATTCAAACAACTGATAGCTAAATGACAGCTAACATGTGCACCCCAATGTTCTAGACCTTTGATTTCAGTGATTTACGCTTTCCGAATCTTGATCCACAACACTCAGACCAATACTGGTATCCATATGATATTTTACAAGAGATTTGAATCTAATAATGTCTATAGCACATATATTCTGTTGGTTATATACATTCTTTTTGTTGTCCTGTTGCACTCTCACATTTTCGACCTGAGACAGACATGTAGATACTGCATTTTAGCTTGTTTTTACTCATCCTAAGCTTATTCTCGACAATTGTGCGTAGTGTCGGGGCCCTGTCACATCACGTGAGGTTCGACGAACGACTACCTTACCAGACTGACGCTGAGTCAGCGGACCGCTGTGCACGACAACCACGCGTCTGGAGGGCTTAGGGCACCGAGCACATGTCTTGCAATCTTCTGTTCGTTCCGTACAAATATTCATGGGATCCTGATCTCATTCGATTTTGTACTCATTGAGTCATTCAACGTTATACAGCGTTAATACACCGCGACAGTCTTGTCTTTGGACTAGTGGCACTGTAGTTCGGCTCCTCGCCTTCAGGTTGGTATTACCAGTTACGTCCTTCGCGTTCCTCGTGTAACTTTTGTATTTCACTGCAGTAACATGGCAGGCAATGTAGAGCAGTGTCGAGCGGCCTTACAGGAGTGTCCAGGACTCATGTCCCTCGAACACCTTGGCCACAGTCTTCTATACAGATTCCTGCAGCGGGGCGTTCTGTCGGACATAGTTGAGGCGATTGATCTTCATCGAGCCACACTAGCATTCCGTCCCCCTGGCCATCCCCATCGATTCGTGTCTCTCAACAACCTTGCTGTCAGTTTTACAGCCAGATTCCAGCAGCAGGCCATCCTGTCTGACCTGGACGAGGCCATTGAACTCCATCGAGCTGTACTCGCTATCCTTCCCCCTGACCATTTTCATCGATCCCTTTCCCTCGAAAGTCTTGCAAATGGACTGAAAGGCAGATTCAAGCGGCGGGGCGTCCTGTCAGACATAGACGAGGCCATTGATATCCATCGAGCTTCACTGGCACTCCGTCCCCCTGGCCATTCTGATCGATTCATGTCTCTCAATAACCTTGCCAGTAGCCTTCAAGACAGATTCCAGAAGCGGGGCGTCTTGTCGGACCTGGATGAAGCCATTGAGCTCCATCGAGCTGTATTGGCACTCTGTTCCCTTGATTACTTTGCTCGACCCACTTTTCTCAACAACCTTGCCAGCTGCATTGAAGACAGGTTCGAGCGACTAGGCATCCTGTCTGACCTAGATGAGGCCATCAAAATCCATGAAGTTGCATTGGGGCTCTGTCTCCCTGGTCATTCTCTTCGACCCACGATTCTGAACGGCCTCGGCGGAAGCCTTCTCCACAGATTCCAGCAGCAGGGCGTCCAGTCTGACCTGGATATGGCCGTCGAGTACCATCGAACTGCACTGACGCTCTGTCCCCCCGGCCATTCCGATCGATTGGCTTCTCATAACAACCTTTCAGCCACCCTTCAAGCCAGATTTCAGCAGCAGGGCGTCCTGTCGGACATAGATGAGGCCATTGAGCTCCTTCGAAGTGCTCTGGTACTCCGCCCCCCTGATCGATCTACTTATCTTAACAACCTTTCCAACAGCCTTCAAGCCAGATTCCGGCATCGGGGCGTCCTGTCGGACTTAGATGAGGCCATTGAGTTTCAGCGAGGTGCTCTGGCACTCTGCCCCGCTGGAAATCCTCGACGATCCTTATATCTCGACAACCTTGCCATCAGCCTTCTATACAGAATCCAGGAGTCTGCCATCCTATCTAACCCGGATGAGGTCATCGAGCCCCACCGAGCTGCACTGGCGCCCCGTCCACCTTACCATTCTGATCGATCCCTGTCGTCCGATAATCTTACCATCAACCTTCAAGGCAGATTCCAGCAGCAGGGTCAATCACCAGACTTGGACGAGGCCTTCAGGCTGTATTCACAACTCTCCCAAGTATCTCATATATTCTCTCTTCGCGATATTAGTGCTGCCAAGTCATGGGTCTCCTTTGCTGAACAGGTGAAACATGGCTCTGCATTGGTTGCCTATCAGACCGCGTTGAAATTCCTGGATCAGTACGTCGCTGTTGTGTCATATTCGTCGCACCATTTCGATGTAGTCAGGAAGACCACTGCATCCCTTGCAATGGACGCTTTCTCGTGCTGCGTTCGTCATGGTGCTTTGACGACTGCTGTGGAACTGGTAGAACAAGGTCGCGCAGTATGGTGGACCCAGTTGGCACGCTTCCGCACACCATTGAATGACCTTTCCGCATCGGGTGACGCCGGTGAAGCCTTGGCGAAAGAGTTCAAGCAACTTAGTGTTCGCCTTCGTAATGTGTTTGATGTGTCTACTGGAGATCGGTCTCCACAAATCCGCCAACTTACCATGCAATGGGATGACGTTGTCTCCCGCATCCGCCTCCTGCCTGACTTTTCCCGTTTTCTCCTGTCTCCGCTATTTCCCGATCTCCAGAAGGGAGCACAAGACGGTCCAGTCATTATTGTCAACGGAAGCAAATATAGCTGCGACGCCTTAATTATCCTGAGCGCCCGAGATCCCATCCCCATCCTACTTGATATCACACTAGCTGAGGTCTCCGAGTTGTCATCCGAATTCCAATCCCTCACAGAGGATGTCGGTTCTTCCGACCATCGACTTGAAGTACCCAAGATTGTCGGTATCCTCCGCAAGCTCTGGGATCGTGTCGTTAGCCCCATAGTTCAAACTCTCAGGGAGTTAATTCACACTGGCTCACGCATTTGGTGGTGTCCTACCGCGGAGTTCACGTTGCTTCCTCTACATGCAGCGGGACCCTATGAGAAGAAGAGGCATAATTTGTCTCACTTTTACGTTTCATCCTACACCCCAACTTTAGCGGCACTCATTCGTGCGAGACAGCACGTCTCTCGAGATGTTTCTGTTCAGCATTTCGTTGCCGTCGGTCAAGGAAATCCGGAAGGAGGAAAGGAACTTCGATGTGTTGCTGCAGAGTTAGCCGTCGTTGCTGAGCGTGTCGCGCCCATCCTGTCCTTTACATCGCTCGTAGACAACGATGCAACAATCCAGGGAGCATCCCATGAATTCAGTCGAAATCAGTGGCTTCACCTTGCCTGCCATGGAATACCGAATCGGAAACAACCATTCGAATCTTCGTTTGCGATGCGCGATGGTCCTTTCACCATCAGGAATATCATTCGATCTCGCTTGCAGAATCCAGAGTTTGCATTCTTATCGGCTTGCCACACTACTGTGGGCGATGAATCGAGCCACGACGAGGCTATCCATCTTGCTGCAGCAATGCAATTCTCTGGATTTCGGAGTGTGATAGGTTCCATGTGGTCTGTCGATGACGAAGCCGCACGCCAGGTTGTTACTGCTTTTTACGACAATCTGGTTGATGGCTTGGATAGGTTGGACTGTAGACGCGCTGCGGTAGCGTTGCACAATGCTGTGAAGACATTGCGGAAGAAGATTCCACTGGAACAGCAGATCGTATTTGTTCACATAGGTGTCTAGTTTGAAGCTTATTGTATGCCGTGTTTTTGTATTCAAGTACGTTCACTAGTGGTCCATATAAAGTAATACATGCCCTGTTGGTGTGCCTGCTCACAACGTCAGACTGCTCCTGCTGACGGTCTAGATAAATGGGTTCTATATGTGGGGCCTTCGAATTTCGAAAAGTGCGCACAATCATGATGTTGCCACATCAAGAGCAATTATTGCACAGGCCCTGGTACGTGTCACAATTTTCGAACTACCCAGCTAGTTCTAACGAACGCGGTTTAACTCTTCTTCAGCTTCTTCGAGTTCTGCTGTACCACAAGCCATCGAGCTGAGCGATGGTTTAGTGTTTAATTACGAGCGCGCGAAACTTCACAGACTGCTACCGTCGCAGATACTGATTCGGAAGTTTGAAACATGTTTCAAGCACTCTTTGGCGAACTTGTTCCTGACCTATACCAAAGGAAGTTATTTGAACCATATAGGAGATTCGAAAGTTTGATGAGGTTTGACTACAGCATCAGGTACGGAGCCACACGAGGCATGTGAACTTTCAGGCATCATCTCTCTCAAAATCCATTTAAGCTGCATAACTAAACAATCATGGGTCACAGAACCTGCCGCCCGGTTCCCATGAAGCTCTCAGCACTCTTGTTTGTCCTGGCCTCTGCCTTGACCGTGTTGGCTGCACCCATTTATATTGCGAGTCCATTTCCTCGAGAAATTTGTCTTTTTGGGCTGATCGATTCTTGGTACAGGGGATAGGCGGTGACTTGTCGGTAGCAAGGACCGCGTTCGAGGGCGCTCGTGAGGTATGTGAATTACGATCGTCGTCTGTGTGCGGCAGTTCATCCGCCCACTCTCAGTCTGGTTGGGAGGTCACAGGCCGGCAACGGGACGCCCAGTCCGGTTTGGCAGACAAAGACTGGAAACGGGACGCGCCCACAGACGAGTAAATGTGGAATAATGTAGAAGTGATGAACAGAATGATCTCTAATATATCCCTTAATTCATCACCTTTCCTTTTTTATTCTTCCATTTCATTCGTGAGTTTCACCGCCGTTCTATTTTGTGTCTCGCCCACTCATCACTCTCCCTGCCATAGACTTGTTATAGTCTTAAATGGACACACAAGTCTCGTCTTCGCTTTGAACTATGCTTTTAATCAATCTGGTCACCCGCATTTCTTCCTCATTCCACCATGACAAAACCACGCGGTATGCGAGGCTACTACATATCCCCTGTCGCGACATTGGCAATGATGGCCTTGATTCGGACTAGTATATTGGGCCTTATCTTCAGTGTTGCTATCTTTTCGTGCTGTCAACATGAATCGACTGGATAAGTGATTATAGTAATAAGGAAGCTGAACACAATTAGTGGTCCGAAAGAAGTGGACGAAATACCAAAACGAGGGCTCTTGAGGTTGATTGCGATGTCGAGCGCGCGCGCGCGGTACGAGGAAAATACACAGTGTCGGAATTGACGTTCTGGGCGAGATAACACTTGACATGACATACCAGACGTTGTGGTGCAAGTCTCGGCCGCTACATACATAAAGGATCTGCTCCAAGTGAGTGCCCAACGCTAGCGCATCAACTGACAACTCTTCGAATGCATCCTTCTCTGTAACGTCCTATACCTTCCTATGCCCCCGGATCTCTCATGGAGTTCGAATGTTTGGTTCTTCCACGTATCGAAAAAAACACCACCTTTCTGCAGTAGAAGGCTTGTGTATATCGTACAGACAGAAAAAAAAGTGTGGAAGGAGCTGTAGTGTGGCTCAAGGGAACGTGCTGGCAGCGTGCATCTCGAGATCAAGTGGCAGTTAAAGTCAAAGTGCCATGATATACAATTCTCGCGGCAGATCGTGATCTACTGACATACACCCGACTGTGTAGACAAACATTGCTCTTCTGTTAGGCATCTCGTCTCTCCTACCTCTTCACATCACGTTCAGCATTGTTTCTTCACCCGTAGTGTATCCGGACAATATGTATACCCTCCTTCCCACTTGCCGGTACCCTGATACGATCACCGGCACGTCAACCGAGAACAATGAGCTGCACAATATCCAGAAAGTACTTACGTCATTATACTGACAGAACACCTGGTCGCCGTAACTGCCAGCCTATCAGTTGCTTGGTTCAATGAAGATGTGTGGGTGCGACGTACTTGCAACTTGTGCTATGACCGTGTGGGAAGGTATTGCTTAGTGTGAGGACATTACCATTGTCGTCCTTCAGTGTGGCTGGGCACTGTATACACGCATTGGCGCCAGCGAGGAAGCTGAGTAGCGCAAACATGATGGAGCGGGAATTAACCATGATGGAGCTTATACAAGGGAATGAGGTAAAGCCATAGTAGCAGGCAGACATTTTATAGGCTGAAACTTCCAGTATAAACGTAAAGGAATTGCTCGCTTTGGATGACCTACTTTAGGCGAAAACAGTTGAGCCAAATCCAGGATAATCTCCGCAGGCTCGAGGAGAACTATGAACGCCATGAGAAGTTGATGTGCGGCACGATGGGGTCGTGGGGCACGAATGAATCTCCGGCTCCTGAGCGGCCTTGCTTCCCCGTTCCTCGTCAGATATGTGCACGTTCATTGGACGTTGTGACTTCCCAAACAGCCCGACACGATTTATGGGCGTTTCTTGGCACCTGCGGTCTACCCGCTCTTACCAAGCAGCAGCACGTTGGGCTACCACTTTGGTAGCCACATCTCATCGTCATCCTCTGCATCCTCATATTTGTCCATTGCATTGCCCAGGCTGTCGAGGGAGGGTTCGAAGAGGATGTGGGCTTGCGCTCCGAGTTGATACATTTGATGTGGCACGGAGAAGTGGTTTATTTACAGGCGTTGCGCAGAACTGTGTGCAATAGGTGCGCGTGATGATGCGCTTAGCGGTTGCAGCAGGTGACTTTGTGTCGCTCTGGGAGACCGCAATCATCGACCAATCTTTGCCTTTCCTCAACATGCTGATTTTCAGGTGAGCGCGGCCTGGAGTGCATTATCTTGCGTGGCGCCCGCCGCCCATACTTGCTGCGCGTTTCTTTGCTTTTTCCTGGGCGAGGGACACGGAGAGCGGAGCGGTTGCGTGTGGGGGCGTTGGTCGTTGCTGGAATTTTCAGTCTTGTTGCGATAGGAGATGATGAATGGTGGGGGTGAGATCCAGTAAGAGATTTGTTTGTAGAGGGTCTGGGTGAACGGTGGTCATCCGAGAAGGGAGAACTGGGGAAGAACTGAGAGCGGGAGAGGGCGGGTTGCTCTGTAAGCTTTACTTTGCACCTGGAACGATTAGTCTTGTAATGTATACAGGTACGTAAAATCAACACTCACAGACTACGTCCTCGCAAAACGTTCGACTTCTTGTAGCGAGTACCGTGCGTGATTTTAGTGCGAGGATGTATCCATGAGGATACGGGCTCCCACATCGACAGTCCGTCCATGAAGGACGAGGTGATCAAGTTCGGCTTCTGTTTCCCGACCGAGTTTGGCGGGTGAGATGAAATAAATGCTATCGGTAGGTGGTGCTTCGACAGACGGTAACGGGCATGATTCAGGAAGAAAGAGCTTGAGGGAATACAGCAGAATGAATATGAAGTCTACGAAGGGCATTAGGATGCGCACAGAAGCAAGGGAACGAGCACTTACTCACACTGCTCCATATATTCCAGCCAGCCAGATCTCACAGTACTCCTCTGCCTCGCCTGCACCACCGCCGTCGATAAGGATCTAAGGAAGTTCAATGTTATGGTACCTATTGGCGGCTGTCCGAAGGCATGGGGCTGATCTTCCGTAGTATCGGGAGGTGTTAGGAATCTGGATTGATTGTTTGGATCTAAAGCCTTTGCCAAACAACGACTAAGCGCCTTCAGCTCTCTGGCAGCTAAGTGCTTCATAATACAGGTCTGGTACGTCACGTCACAATTTTAGCCAGCTCTAACGAACGCAGTTTAGCTCGTCTTCAGCTCCCTTGAGTTCTGCTGTACCACAAACCATCGAGCTAAGTCATCAACAAAAGAGCCCGAAGCATGCAAGGCCTTGTGAAGCTTACATGAACATGCATGCTGTGATTTAGCTTTTAAGACGTATCCAAGTTGTACACAAAGTCTTACATTGCGATATATATGTGAATATATGCTTCGGGCAGCATATATTCACATATACGGTTCAGGCTCTTTTGTTGATGGTGATAGTTCAGTATTTAACTACGAGCGCGCGAAACTTCACGGACTGCTACCGTCGCAGATACTGATTCGGAAGTTCGAAACATGTTTCAAGGATTCTCTGGCGGACTCGAACGCAGTGAGTCCTGACCTGTACCAAAGGAAGTTATTTGAAAAATGTAGCTGACTCGAAAGGTTTGATAGCAGCATCAGGCACGGAGTCACAGCCCATTGACAACCAAACAATCATGGTCACAGAACCCACCGCCCAGCTCTTATGAAGCTCTTAGCACTCTTGTTCGTCGTAGCTTCCGCCTGCATCGTGTTGGCTGCACCCATTAATATCGTGAGACCATTTGCTCGAGAAATTTGTCTTTTTGGTGCTGATGAATTCTTGGTACAGGCAATGGACAGCGATTTAGCGGTAGAGAAGAACGCATCGGAGGAAGCTCGTGAGGTATGGGCTCTACGATCGTCGTCGTTTGTGTACGGTACTTCATCCACCCACCCCAGTCCGGTTGGGAGGTCGCAGACTGGAAACGGGATGCTGAGTCCGAAGCTGAACGCAATTAGTGTTCCAACAGATGTGCAGGAAATGTCAAAACAGGTGTAGGGTTCTGAGATTCTATCGAGCTGGCGCGCGGTACGAGGACAATACTTCCCCTCCACAGTATCGAAATTGACGTTCGGAGCGAGATAACGCTTAACACATACTAGATGCAAGTCAAGTTAAAGTGCCATGATATACAATTCTCGCAACAGATTGTGATCTACTGGCATACACCCGACTGTGTAGACGAACATTGCTCCTCCTGTTGTGTATCTCGTCTCTCTTACCTCTTCACATCACGTTCAACAACTATGGTTCACAGTTGCTGTAGCGTGACAATACTGATACCCTCCTACCCACTTGCCAGTATCCTGATACGATCGCTAGCATGTCAACCGAGAACAACGAACTGCACAATATCCAGGAAGCACTTACGTTCTCATACTGACAGAACACTGGGTAGTCGTAACTGCTAGCATATCAGTTACTTTGTCCAATGAAGATGTGTGGGTGCGACGCACTTGCAAACTGTGACCTGACTACCAGGGACGGTAGTGCGTAGTGTCTTGATATTACCGTTGAAGTCCTTCGTTGTGGCTGGGCATTGTATACACGCACTGGCGCCAGCGAGGAAGCTGAGTAGCGCAAAGATGATAGAGTGGGAAGAAAACATGATAGAGCTTGTGCAAGGGAATGAGGCAAAGCCATAGTAGCAGGCTGATATTTTATAGGTTGAAACTTCCAGTGTGAACCTAAATGCGTGGTTCGATTTTTTGCTGAGATGCCCTACTTTAGGCGAAAATAGTTGAGCCAAAATGCATAATATTTCCGCAGACTCTGTGAACTCAGGCGAAAATAGCTGAGCCAAAATGCAGGATAATCTCCGCAGACTCTAGAAGAACTGTGAATGCCACGAGAAGTTGATGTGCGGCACGATGGGGTTATGGGGCACGAATGAATCTCCGGTTCCTGGGAGGCCTTGGCTTCCCGTTGCTCGTCAGATATAGCCCATCGTTGCAGTGACCACACCCGGTCCAGGGAATTGATCGCAAGGAGCAGAGAGCCCAGCACGTGGGTTGGAAATAGTGGCGAATCTTCCACCGATACTACCACCAAGGATTTGGTCTGTTCATTGCATCATGCATGATTGATAGTACTCCCAGGACCCACACCCGTAGCGACAGTCGGTCAATAATTGGACGCAGGGCTTCGAGTATGACGAACCAGCGGTCTTTAGGTTTACTTTCGCGCCTGTACTCCCTGTGGGACGTAATAAATGTTTACCGACTATACCAGACCCAGAGCAGGTTCGCAAAGTCGTCGGTGGTTACTTTCTCGAGTCGACAGGGAAGCTTTTTGCAGACTCCTTGATGAAAAACTGTCACTCACACTCGAGAAAGTGCCTGTGAACGCGGGTGTATGTGTCTTCTACCTGTTCGCATGTGGCTATCAGCGCGAGCGGGAGTCGAAAGGGTGTGGCGTACGAGGAAGGTGGCATCAAGTACGGTCTGAGGCACATGATTTGCTTTTCTCGGTTCTCGTTATGTTAACCGTGCCTCAAGGCTGGTCAGTATTCGGCTCCTGTTAAACAGCGAGACTCACAGATCCACTCGCATTCTCTAAATTTCCTCTTGCACCTCACTTCGCTCTGATCTTCGATCATTCCCAGTGAGTGAACACCATAAATCAGATCCTCCTCCAGAAGGCTAACTACACACCAATATGAGCCAAAACGATTCTCTGCTCGAGCGGTACTATCTTCTTCACGGCGCACGTAGCATGGCTGAGCGCCAAGGTCGCCTTCGTGCAGTCCACGTCACCATCCTCCAAATCCTCGAACATATTGTGATAGAAAACCTCAACAACGTGTTTTGCGACGGCGTCATCGACCGTCCAAAGAGTGCCAGTAACACTATTGAATCCCGAAAATTGTAGACCAGCTGCAAGGTGGATGACTTCGTCAGGCCTCTTCACATCGCCGACGGCGGTATAACACACCGATAAAAATGCGAATTCAGCCTGCGGAGCATTTTTCTCCATGATATCAAGCAGCATGAGAGGTTTATCGACGAGATTGCGACGGACGAAACAGTGGTAGTGTGGCCTTGGAGTGGGGCACCAAATGCCTCGCCAGTCTCCAAATCCCATACTCGGATCATTTTGTCCTCTGAACTAGACGCAATGTGGTATCCATCCGGCGAGATTGCGATGGACCAAACAGCACCAGTGTGGCCTTGGAGTGGGGCACCAAATGCCTTACCAGGTAACATTGTCAGTGTGGCCTTGGAGAGGGGCACCCAGTGATCCTACAATCATTCCGGCTCGAGCTATGTGCAGATAGTTTCAGACCAGTGCAAACCATGGTAGACAGGCAGAAATATGCGGCGGCCCGCGGCACACACAAACAAGCAGGGAGATACGACAATTAGCGGCAGCAGGCGCAGACGAGCAGGGACAACAAGCACAGACAAGTACGAACGAGTGGAAACGCGCACGGAAAAGCACAGACAAGTGCAAAATAGCCGAGGCTCAGGCCGCCGGCTTTGGCTTTCCAGAATTCCAAGCCGGGCCAAAGCCATGGTCAGGCCGTGACTTTGGCCCGGCTTGGCCCGGCCCAATTGGGCCCGGCTTGGCTCGGCCCACGGCTTGAAGCCAGGCCGTGCACATCACTACTATCATTCGACGGGAAATGTACAATTTTCACTTATTGCTGAATAGCAACACAACAACAACACATATTCGTATCGGATCTACTGTAGCGTGTACCTTAGGTCTCTGCGCATTAGACCCAACAAGAATTATTTTATTTTATTGCGAGCTTGTTGCAGCGGCAGCACTGGAAGTTGAGATGTCGAAAACACAATAGAAATGCACAATTTCGTCACACCATGTCACGCGCGGCACCTCGGCCAATACACAATGATAGCACAATGTGGTGGTGTTCTATTGACATAGAAACACCTGGAGTAGATTCATAATGGTGTATTTCACATATGTTGAAGTTCTTATGTTGATAGGTTAATAGGATCTGGGTGGATCTTGGATTTAGTGTCCAAAAATCACTTATTTTGGGTACACTCGCACAATGTTTCATCTCGGGAAGGCTTCACAGCGCCGAATTTAAATATTTGATTTGGTAGTCTTATTGAACATATGCTGATACTTGTCCTCCATCTGTTCCGAATGAAATATATGTAGAGTGGTGAGCTCTGGAGTGCATTGTGCACTACCCATCGATTGTGCATTCCGAATCAGGTGATAGTATTCCAACCCACCCAGCATGTCCTCTACGAGATTCCAGCAACAACAACCCCCATACATCAATTATTGGTGGGAGCGGTGGCGCAATGGACATCCACAAAGGCAGAGATCGCAGTGAGTGATTCGTTTTTAGCCCCGCTTTCACTGCCTGTAATACTCCAACTGGTAAACATTCAGTCTCCAACGACCTCCGACGGCCTCCATAACCTTTTACCACGATTTCCATCCACTGTGACCAGACGCACCCAGTGCCTGCATTAATATTGTTGTCCTCCGCTACCCGGTCACTTTCCACACCCTGCTGCAATTCCCCGCACCTCACTGCACCCTCCCTGTACGTTACTGCACCCTTACGACGACCTCCTACATCATAGGCCACCAACATCATCACTGCCTGGCGCACCCAAATAGTACGGCGTCCCGACGAGCCCTCTTTATGCTTCGCTGCACCCTGCTACCGCACTAAACTCTTATAGCTACATCCGCAAGTTCGCCCGCCCCTCGTGCCTCTTCTCAGGCTGCCCAGCCTCCGATTTAGGCATTTTACCCGCCCCTGCCACACCATCCCAGTGCCGAACGGGACCTTTGACCGTCATGCGTGCTCACTGTTGTCGTGCAGACAAGTAGCTTGGAGCCATAGAACGAAGGAACTATGTTGACTGGCAGGTTGTCAGATCTAACCAGTATTTTTTCCGCTTTATCCTTCTCACTTTGTTATTATATGACTTCTTTGAAATATGTTGCAAGTCTGCCAATAGCTGCGCGAGCAAGCGCACTGGACGTGTCCGCTTAAAACCGAAAAGAATCACGAAATCGGCGTGGCGATGTCTTCATAGATATCATTGACAGAATGAGATCAAAAATCAGACATTGCTCATTCTATGTCGGGTGTCTCGTCTCCCCCACCTCTTTACATCACGTTCAGCAGTTTTTCTTCACAATTGCTGTACCCGGACAAAAATTAGGCCCTCCTGACATCCTGCCGTTATTCTGATATGATTGCTCGCACGTCAACCGAGAACAGTGAGCCGCACAATTCCAGAAAGCACTTACGGTGTAATACTGACAGTTCACTGGTGGACTATAACTGTCAGCATGTCAGTTACTCTGTTCAATGAAGATGTGTGGGTCCGACGCACTTGCAATATGTCACCCGTCCCTTTGGGACGGTACTGAGTAGTTTCATGAGAGTACCCTCGTAATTCAGTATGCGTGGGCACTGTATACACGCATTGGCGCCAGCGAGGAAGCTAAGTAGTGCAAACATGATAGAGCGAGAAGAAAACATGATGGAGCTTGTGCAAGGGAATGAGGCAAAACTATTGCAGCAGGCAGGTGTTTTATAGGCTGAAATCTCCGTTGTGAATGTAAAGGCATTGCTCGCTTTGGATGACCTACTTTAGGTGAAAACAGTTGAGCCAAAATTCATGATATCTCTGCAGGCTCTGTGAACGTCATGAGAAGTAAATGTAGCAAATACTCCAAGGGTGCGAATGAATGTCCGGTTCCTGGGCGACCTTGGCTTCGCATTGCTCGTTGGATATGTGCACGTTCATCGGACGTTGCGAACAACACTCTCCGTATTATGACCATCCTTGAATCGACAAAGCTCAGCACAGCCACCCCATAATGCCAAAATTCTGCGCAATGTTTGAGTTTTGGTCTTCTGCAGAAATTTCGAGGTCAACAAGACGGAACTTCGTAGGGTACGAAAAGTCAATGTTTATGAACAGGTGTTAAACATTCCGGTTATTATTTATAAGACTGTTAAAAAGTCGCTGCGTAATTTGGTCTGTTGGAAATCGTGAACAATTGTGGTCATGCATGGCCGTCTGCGCCGTCTGGACAACTTCATAGCTGCAAAACCGAGCCCTGGATGCCGTCACGGAAGGCATGAGCAGGATCATAAATCAGGCTGATGTATCGTGGACATGCCGAAGCTTTCTGCCGAGGATATGGGGCAGCCAGGTGTATCAGGCTGAAGATGGCTATTGTTGAGGCTTACAAGTCGAGAACACGTGCTTATAAAGCACAGGTAGCGGACTTATTCTGAGTTTCGGAGAAAACATATGATATATAATGTATCTAGGAGATTTCCGTAAAATTATCATCTTGCGCTCCTATACTCGTCGTCTGCTTCTATCAGAACACGCATCGCAACTCTCTAGTCATAACCTTAATCTTAATAGGTTATGAGCCCTGACGTGCGCAAATAAGATTATAAAACATATATCAGACAAGATCTAACCAAAAAACAAACCTCCAAAATGACGGACCAACCTACTGGTTCTTCACTGTCGTCGCTATACCGGATTGAGCACTTGAATGATGAAAATTGGTTGGGATGGAAGCGCCGTGTCAAAGCCATCCTATTTGAAAAAGGACTCGAAGGATATGTCGAAGGTACTGTCCCTAAGCCAGAAAGAGGCCCAGCGCCTGTATCGGCTCAAAGGGAAGCAGACATTACCAAGTGGGAGACAAATGACTGTAAAGCCCAGACTGTGATAGAACTGTCAGTAGCTGACAGCCAAATGATTCACTTATCTGGAGCAAAAACGGCAAAAGAAATGTGGGATCAGCTTAAACTTGTGAAAGAATCACAAGGTAAACAAGCAATCACCACATGGTGGCGAAAGCTGTATAGAACTTTTGCCGATGATGACGATGACATCCCCACACATGTCAAAAATATGAGGGAAATCCAGGAAACCCTACATATGATGGGAAGTTTGGTGTCAGAAGATGATTTCTGCACTGTATTGATCTCATCGTTACCGGAATCTTGGGACACCTTTACCACGATGTACCAAAATAGGATTGGTGACACATCTGCAATCACTTCGCATGAATTAATCTCCCTTATCTTGGAGGAGAGCACGCGAAGGAAAGAAAAACTCTGCAGAAAAGGACATGGAAAAGAATCTGAAAAAGAAGCGTGAAAGAAAGGAAGTCAAGAAGTGTTGAATCTGTAAAAAGTCCGGCCACACCGATCAGGACTGCTGGTTCAAGGACAAGCAGACCAAATGCTCCAACTGCCATAAGAGCGGGCATGCTATTGAGATGTGCTGGAGCAAAGGAGGCGGACAGGCGGGCGCAGGACCGTCTAAACCTTCTCCCCTGAAGCGCGCCAAGAAAGACAACGTGAATGTCATTGAAGACATTAATGACGTTGCTGAGGATGCGCAATATTATGAGGAGGAAGATGTTGCCTTTTTAGGCGACGATATGGAAGAGGTCGTCGAAGAACAACCTGACGTACCTCAGGCTAATTATAGCCAAGGTGAATATGACAAGTTGATCAAGTTTGATTGGCTTGCTGACTCAGGCACCACATCACACATCATGAAGATTAAATCCGCATTAACAGATTATGTTCCGCTTAAATCCCATAAAGTTACAGGAATAAGTAACCAGTCTATTAAGGCTGAGGGACGAGGGACAGTTGAACTCGTGAGTAGTGTAGGTAAACATCAGATTAGGTGCAAATTAAAAGATGTCCTGTATGTACCGACTGCAACGAATAACCTTGTGTCTATGACCCGCCTAGACAGAGAGGGAGGACATGCAATTATGGGAAATGGCGGAGTAACTCTTAAAGCGCCCAGAGGACGTATCATTGCCAAAGGGAAGCTTCATAACGGGTTATATTTATTAAATCATACTCGGGCAAAATTACAAAAGACAACTAAAATATATACTGCCCGAGAAGTCAAACCCGTAGATTGGCTTACCTGGCACAAGAGATTTGGCCATGTAGCCTTTAGCGGCCTAAAGTGCCTATACAGAGAAGGATTAGTAGAAGGTATGGAGGTGTTAAATGAAAATTCACCTATACGGATCATTGTTCCGGATCACTCGGGGAACTCACCCACAGTGATGTATGGGGACCAGCACGGGTACAGTCTATTGGTGGATCTAAATATTATATCTCATTCACGGACGACTGCTCCCGAAGGTGCAGTGTCGAGTTCATGAAACAAAAGAATGAGGCATCCACCAAAGTAAAACAATATGCGACGTACCTTAAGAAGCGTTGGACGGATCAACCGAAAAAGTTCCGAGTTGACAACAGAACAGAATATATTAATAATGACTTAAAAACCTGGTGTAAAAATGAGGGGATCGAGCTCCAGACTACTGCACTGTCCTCACCTGAGCAAAATGGTGTGTCTGAGAGACTCAACCGCACATTAGCAGAGCTTGCTCAAGCAATGCTAATTGAAAAAGACTTACCGGAGTCTTTATGGGCAGAAGCGGTATCACATGCCGCATATGTTCGAAATCACGCACCTACACGAGCGCTACAAGGTGCAATGCCAGAGGAACTATGGAATGGTAAAAAACCCAATATAACTCACCTACAAGAATTTGGTGCACTGGTATATGTGCTCCAAGAGGGCACAAATCAATCTAAAATGAGTCCAAAGTCAGTAAAGCAAATCTTTGTGGGATTTGCAGACGGACCTAAAGTGATAAAATATTATAATACACGGACACACCAAATTAGAGTGTCAAGGAACTTCAAGTTCCTGACGAACCTCCCAACGACGGACGCACTAGATGCGCAGCGCGAGGGGGAGACAAAAAGAATGGACGCACTGCCATCAGCAAGCGCAACATCTTCTGTAAATAAAAACCATTCAAATAAAAATCAGTGTGATCATCTGATGAGAGAAGATGAGAACTCACCCTTAAAAAGGAAATGTCTTCCCGAAGATGAAGAAGATCTACCCAGAAAATCGAAAAGACAAACAGTAAGACATAATTATCGTCAGTTGAATGACCCAGAACCAGAATGGGCTTACCTCGAATGTGAGCATCATGAAATCGAAGATGAACTCACTGAGGCAGATATAGTTCTAACCGCATTTGCCAATAATGGCAGCTTTGAACCACATGAGCCGAAATCACTGAAAGAAGCGCAAGCATCAGATGACTGGCCAAAGTGGGAACAAGCAGTGCAGGCAGAACTTACCCAATTGGACCAAATGGGCACCTGAGAATTGGTAGATCCCCCAAAAGATCGCACCCTCATTGGGAACAAGTGGGTACTTGTAAAGAAAACAAATAAAGAGGGGGAGGTGGTCAAATACAAAGCACGGTTAGTAGCCAAAGGGTACTCACAGATACTGGGGATGGACTATACAGACACCTTTTCGCCGGTGGTGCGCCTAGAAACAATAAGATCAATGATGTCCACGGCAGCATCCCTCGATTGGGAAGTGCAGCAGATGGATGTCAAAGGGGCGTACCTTAATGGCGTGCTAAAAGAGGAAGTCTATATGGAACAGCCCGAAGGCTATAATGATGGAACTGGCCGAGTATGCAGACTACAAAAAACCCTCTATGGGCTAAAACAGTTGGGCCGAGAATGGAACCTAGAGCTGAACAGCCGCCTGACAAGCATTGGATTCAGACGACTGAGATCTGATCCGTGCACATACATCAGAGAGACCACGGATGGAACAGAAATAATTACCATATGGGTCGATGACCTATTATTATTCGTGGATCACTCGAGTCTGATGGATCAATTAAAGGCGCAACTTAAAAATATCCTAGATGTTACTGACCTTGGAGAACTGAGAAAAATTGTTGGGATTGAAATTACTCGAGATAGGCCTAACAGGTCGATCCGACTCATGCAGACCAAATATATTGAGTCTATCCTAGCAAAACAAGGTCTCCAGTCATGTAATTCAGTAGGTATGCCGCTAGATCCAAAGATCATACTTGAGAAAGAAGCGACTGACCAGGAAGGCAACCAAAGTAATGGTTACGCATCATTGATCGGATTGTTGATGTATTTGGCAGTAGCCACGCGTCCAGATATAGCATATGCTATACAGAGACTTAGCTCGTTCACTGCGAACCCAGGATTAGCACATTGGGTAGCAGCAAAACGTGTTTTAAGATACTTAGCTGGAACGTGAGAGCTTGGAATCAAGTACCAAGGTACCAGAGAACTCGACAAAAGCCAAATTCGATTTTTTGGATGGTTGGACACTGATTATGCGAACGACCCGAGAGATCGGATATCCATATCAGGATATGTCTTTAAACTTGGAGGCGGAGCGATCACCTGGAGCTCAAAAAAGCAAAACACAGTTTCTCTTTCGTCAACAGAAGCAGAATATGCTGCAATGGCTCACGCTGCACGTGAAGCCGTATGGCTCCAAAATTTATTCGAGGAACTAAACTTACCTCAGAATGATCCAACCGTTCTTCACGGAGACAATATGTCCGCACTTGCAATTGCGCGAGACCCACAATATCACGCGAGGTCCAAACACTTTGATGTAAAGGACCACTACATCAGGCAGAAGATCCAAGATCGGGTGATTCACGATCAGTACTGCCGCACTGATGAAATGATTGCAGGCATATTAACAAAGCCGCTACACAAGCTGAAACATTGTAAATTTACCAATGATCTAGGCATGGCCTCGGCTTGAGGGGGAGTGTTGAGGCTTACAAGCTGAGAACATGTGCTTATAAAGCACAGGTAGCGGACTTATTCTGAGTTTCGGAGAAAACATATGATATATAATGTATCTAGGAGATTTCCGTAAAATTATCATCTTGCGCTCCTATACTTGTCGTCTGCTTCTATCAGAACACGTGTCGCAACTCTCTAGTCATAACCTTAATCTTAATAGCTATCGCTTGAGTATGGTTACCAAGACCTCAGAGTAGGATGCATGACATGCTAGTAGAGACCAGGATGGTTGCATCGGAAGACCAAGAGAGCCAAAGTAGGTCGATTGAGAGAAGCTCGTGATAAGAAAAAGTTGTATGGAACAGTGTTGTTACTAACCATTGTGGATAGCAGGCTCCTTCCCAGCCTCCGGTTCAAGTGCAGAGGGCAACATCTGAGGGACATAGATACTTCATCTGCAAAACCACTGAAATGAACGCTTACGACTTCAGTAGCGCACTCATGTGATTGGTGGAGATGCTGAACATATAACCAAAAATGTGTGCTTACGAACGCAAACTTGAACTAAACCAAAAAGAATATACACACGAGCGTTTTGTGACACATCGGGGTTATCAATATTTAAGAGAGGTTTATATGCTGTACAAAATGCAAAGAAAATATTTGAAGTTTAAACTAACATAAAGATGGGTACATAACTTCAAATTTCGGCAGTGTTTTGTGCGAAATTTAAAATATGAAGCATCCGCAACCATTTTCCCACCAATCACACGTCAATGAAAATATGAAACATAATCGGATTTTCAGTGTCTGCGTAAATTTGAGGTTTAATTATCACCTGAAACATTGGACAAAACTTGAAGTTTAGTCTGTCACTACATGCTTATCAATCATCAGCAAAACCCTGATTTGGCTACAGCGCCACAGCCACACAGCGTGTCACAGGTCACACAGAGTTTTTTGTAAAGGCTCTGCAGCATCACACAGGTACTGATTCTATGTAAAAATGAGTGTAATGTAGTCACAAACATATATATAACAAGATGGTATGCTAACAATTATGTTTTATTGAGAAATTGTGTAGCATGCAACACTGCAGTGCTGTACATGGGGGGACCTCGCTGTGACACTGTGATTGCTGTGCAGCACTGCACAACACTGCACATAGGGTTAGGGTTTTGCTGATGATGTATTAAGTCTTGTCCAACAATTAGACGCCCCTGAAAATTTGAAGTTTATGCCGGTGACAAAATGTGATGAGTAAACTTCAAGTTTCATTCACAGACAAAATGAATTGCCCATCCATTGCCCACCCATTGCCCACCTGGTTCACTCGATCATAGCCCATGCACCAATGGGTCAGGGGTTCAGTGACCACAAAGGATGAGCCCCCAGCGGGCTCTAGGCAGGAATAGATTATAGCCGAGGGAGTAGATGATGGAGTGCAGGGAAATGGTGGCGGCTGAAATAAAGATAAAAACGACTGTCACAACAGTATGTTCTGTGAAAATAATTTATGAGTCAGCATTGGCATTGAGTAAAACAATCATTTCAAATCAGTAGTTTACATCGTTTCAACATGTATGTATCAATAAGAATGCACTAATTCTCTGTAAATGCTAAGCAGGAACTCAGAAATGCATGAGTGACAGCAAAAAAAATATCCTTACCACTTGCTTTGGTAGCGAGAAAACTGCAGCATGCTGCATCAACATTCTTTCTCATTTTGTTTGTGCCCGTATTGAACTTGATAGAGGTTTTCCACTGTGAGTTGGTCATTGGACCATTAATGTCATTGGTAGATAAATGTTGGTTTCAGGAAACACCATCTAGAATGTTGTTGAGGTGTTTCTGGAACAATTGCTCACACCAAGTGGACCAGAACCCCACATTCAACCCAGACATAGCCCAAGCCTGAGGTCTAGGCCACCAAGAGATCTCCTAATTATCCAAATGTCAGCACTGCTGCCTATGTGGGGGCAAGAAACTTACTGTCATATATGTGATAAGTCCCGCAAATAAAATCCACCTCCTCTGATAACTCATCGTCAAAGTAAGTTTGGCCATTAATGGACAACATGAGGCCCAATGGTACAGCTTCCCGCGAAATGCCATCGAGAACTGAGGGGAGTGCGTCGAAACCAATGCTATGTAAAGCCAGCCGCCATACGAGCCCCCCATGAAGAAGTGCAGCTCTTGCACGAGGCTGATTCATAAACTCATAATGATACTGCTCATACACGACATAATCAGCATACACAGCGCTAAAAATGGGGTGCTTGTATCCAAGCGAGTATGTACGGAGTTCCACAAGTGGATGTTGTGCGTGAGGTGGAACTGCTATCGACTGCAGTGTCTTGAAAGGGATTCTTTTTTGGAGAAGATTGCGCACGATCTCCATGATGTCAGACCCCCAGTCATGGTGGAGGCATGTCACAGCAGTGGCAGCATCAGGAACAACAAGTTTCCAGGTGACCAGACTTGGTGATAGACATGGCTGAATGACATAGAGCTGCTGCTGCTCAGACACGTGGATGTAAGAAACTTGAATGTTTTCATTCAAGGCTGACAGGGAGATATTGGGTCCTAGGTCCCAGAGATCAGACAGTATGTGAGACAACTGAGAGCTGGGGAGGGTAACAAGGTAACCAATGAAACATGTGATAATGTGCTTCCGTGTGTCTGCAACCAATTCAACGTTGTCACCCAAGTCACCAATGAGTTTGCATAGGTTAATCCATGTAGTCCTCTGAATCCACTCTTCAAATGTGGTTGATCTATCATGGGCTGTGTGGGTCAATGCTGTGAGCTGAAATCTGAGATGGAAATGAAGGATTGAGGTGAAACGTTCAATGCCATGAGTGTAATTCAATGAGGGTGCAACCCTATGACAGCCAAAGTAGTTCTCAATATCCTGCATGAAACTGGACAGTGGGGGTGGGGGTGGAGGGGGTGGAGGAGGACCAGAAGGAGTGGGAACAGCCGGGAAATGATCTTCTTCCCAGTTGCCATTGGGAATGCTGCTGGGATCTAACATGCCACATAAGTCCCACTCATTACAAAACAAGTCATAGATCCTAGTAGATCGACTACAGTTTCCCCAAGTCATTGGTATCTGGGCCTTTGTGAGGCAGATGTGCAGAAGAAAGCCATTAAATTCATCTTGGGATTGCCATTCGAATACAATGGCTGTATTGGATTTGCCTGGAATACCATGGTTCATTGCTGAATGCTCACAGCTCTGACGTGACTGCTGGCAAGTCAGAGTCTTGCTGGCTTCCTTCATCTTATTTTCCTCACATCACTGCATAAAGAACACCTTGTAATCTTCTCCTGGCTTCTGCCCACTGAGTCGTTCTGGGACCAGAAACTGGGGGTTTATGTGTTACTGAGGACCTGCTGATACGGGCCTGTGTTCTCCACCATCCAGATCCCATCTGAGGGTGCCCTGACTCCAAGCCTGATCCCAGTCAATGATGCTCTCACTTCCATTGTCTGGTTGACCCCATGTCCCATATGGCTGACCCCACGTCCCATGCATCTGGTCCAACTTCTGTGCCTTGATCGCATCAGCAATGGCTTTTGGGGATGGGATATAATGACACAACTTCATGTTGAGAGCAGCATTCCCATCATAGCAGACCCAGATTGGGATTGAGAATGCTTCAAGCATGGGTAATTGTGCCTCCCAAGGACAGGAGATGGAAGAGATGAAGACCCCAGTGCATGGTACATTAGTTGACAAATCCCCTACAAATGAGCGAGATAACTCGAGAACCCATTCAGCTGGTATGGGATATGCAGGGTCATTGGTTAAGAGAGATGTCCAGGTATGATCGGAACCTCGATATTGACGACTCATGATATGCCATATACATGCAGTGACAATTACTAGAAGTATGTCAGCCATCAAGCAATGTAATGAAAATGGGGTGGACATACATAGAAATGTGTTATGTGACCTCAATGCTACTTTTTTCTCAAGCCTATCGTCCACATGTGATCTCTGGTACCCATAACTAGTCAGAGTATCTGGAAGTACAGTCTCCCATGGAACAAGCAGTCCTGCACCCAAACACTCCTGGCACCAGAGCAATTTCTGCTCTAGATCGCACCATTTCTCTCTGATGTCGTGATAGAGTTTGTATTTGCTCTGTCTATCGACCTCTGTTCACAGCAAAAATGCAGAGTGGTTCAGGATGCAAAGATCGGCCCATTGAAGCTAGGATTTAAAGGCACAAGAGGAAACCATGGTCTAGCTGCATATGCCCAGTGTGTGGTGAGTGGCATATCACTGTCATCAGGCAAACTGTCATGAGGGTCACGTGGGTCCCAGACAGGCTGGCAAGGGATCACTTCTGGAAGAGAGTGTGCAGTGAGAGACGTGTAGACCTTATCATCACGATGAAAGACTTTGAGATTGGCAGCCATCAGAAAGGGTGGTTGATGTGTAGAATAGTAGACTGAAGCACTACCACAACAGTACAAACTGTTGTGCTAGGTTAGTCAAGGATAGCGCTAGCGTGTAGAATGAGAAGCCGATTTCTACCACAACAGTACAGACAGTTGTGTTAGGTTGGGAAGAAGTAGCAGGCCAGATGAATCCTTGATATATCAATGGTGGAGTTTCAATTAGTGATTATCATATCAGTCCAAGGGGGAGAACAATGTAGTTCCCGGGCCACAGAGTATTACTTCAGGAAAAAGGTGCTGTGGAGCATTAACAATTTCAGTAAGATAAGAAAACAAAAGACGGGAGAGCAAGGGGGAGAACAATGTAGTTCCCAGGCCACAGAGTATTACTTCAGGAAAAAGGTGCTGTGGAGCATTAACAATTTCAGTAAGACAAGAAAAAAAAAGATGGGGAAAAACTTACATCAAATAGCGGCCTTGTGTGAAAAAAGACGCTGGAGTGTATTGGAAAGGCAAGGCACAGGTTCTCCACATAATGTATGGCCATCAATGTGACGATGCCAGGCAAACATATCACAGATGCGTGTGTGAATCTGAAAGCAAAACAAGTTCTCTGCAAGGTGGATGGCCTGGTGACAGGTATAAGATCAAATGTGCTTAAGGGAGAGTAGAGAGGGAGGGAATGAGGTCCAGTAATTCCAGACTGAGTGGGGGGGAGCCGAAATAGGGTACAAATGTAGATGCCTGTTAAGACCGTGCTCATGGGGTAAGATGGAGTCTGAGGGGCTTGGCTTCAGCTTATGTGCTGTGCCCCTAATTTCAGCTCGTAGTCTGACTCAAGTTCTATGAGCTCTGACAGGACATCGGAGTGGAGGTCCTCCAAAGGAGGGCCGATGGACTACTGGATGAGTGCAGGAACATTGGGCAGAGATTGGTCCGCCCTACGGGGGAGAGTTGGAGGGCTACTGTGGTCGGAGCCGACAGTAGGAACGGAGCGGAGGAGACTGCTCAGACAAAGTCCAAAGCAGAATGGAAATGTGGAGGACAGAGGTATGAGAGTATTAGCCACAAGTCCAATGTGTGGGAAAGGCGGTGGAGGTGTGGGAAGTCAGATGAGCAGAGAAGGCGGCCGACCTAGGGAGTCAATCCCCTAGACTGGCAAACAGGAGTTGTCAAGGGTTTTTGCTCAAGAACAGGGACAAGAGAGCAGGGCTTAGAAAAGGTAATATTCAGACTGAAGAACTACAGACAGATGTACATATGTTTATATACTCTAAGTAAGTAGCATAGCATAGCAGAAGGCTATGTGCTGAGTGTACATAATTACTAGAAAGATGACTGAGACATACGAGAAAGGGCTCTGTCATATACCTGATCTGACCACTCTAATATCAATATCCACTCCGCTTTCCGATCACCTCCGCTCCATCCATCCTCTGCTCTGTCTGATCATCATCCACATCCGCCCCTATGCTTCTGCTCAACCGCTCAACCAGTCCCCTTCCATAACCTCTCCATTCAACTGGACCCCTTTCCCCTTTTAGATATATACTTTCCCCTTCGGTACATAGACCCTTACTTCCGGATCACCGGTAATTCCTATTACCGCCCGATCACTGATCCGATGCGTACATACTGATATCTGCTCCGACTTATGTCTTCGCCTGTGTAAAGTACTTACAAATTATATCCTTGGTACATAGCTTTACAACATAGTTATCCTAGTCACTGCCTCATACATAGAAGTATATAACATATCATGTACTTAGATATTTTCCTCAGTCTTAATATTACTTATCTTCTCGCAGTTACCTCTTGTGAGAATTCTCAGTAGGACCTTGCCTCCTCTGGACACAAGTCTCAACTTGTTGTCACCTCCGACCCTCTGCTTTGACTTAGAGCCGTGCTCTAAGTCTTTCCCTTATTACTCCACCCCTATCAAATATTCTCCTTTGTCCCTCCACATTATCCTCCACCTTCCCTGACCCTACCAAACATTCTCCTTGTTCCTATCCACCCTCCGCATCACTCCCCGCCTTCTCCGCTCCACTCCTAGTCAGCCCGCCGCTAGTAGCTCTTACTACCCAACCCTCAAAGTGGACCCAAGCGGTCCACTCGTCCTATCGTCGGACAACGTCGGACCCGCTCCAAATTCAGGGCACGTACTTGGCTAAGGGTGCAGTGCAAGAGCTGAAGTCAAGCCCCGACCCCTCTGCCTCTTGAGCTGGCACAGTACCTAACAGGCTCGGAGAACAGTATGTACGTGACAGATCAATAATTGCTCAGGTATATGAATTACTGGCGATCTGAAGGGAGGAACTATGATACTAAAAGGAGGTAGAACCAGTTGAGTGGTTCCTAGTCTAGGAGCGGAGTGGTGAGGTGGTCGGGTGGACCAATAGTCGGGTGGAGCAACACAAGAGAAACTGAAGGAACCGAGTTGGTAGGAAAAGCGGAGATGGTGCAGGGAGTAGGAGTAGGATCAGGTGGACTGATAGGGCAGAGGAGCAGAGCTACAGGTAGGGTCGGATGGTAGGGATATAGTGTCGGAGGATATAGGGGTAGTGTCGGAGGAGCGGAGCGGAGTTGGGTGGAGGTAGCAGGGCTAGTCCTGTTGAGATGCACTTCGTGCATTGTCACAGAAGGAGGGATGGAGCGGACAGGGAAACAGGGGGTCAGACCAGTAGTAGGGACATCTTTGAACAGTATTGGGAGTGGCTGAGTCAGGTATATGACAATGCCACCGTCTTCAAAATGATGGCCTTCGATTCTGATGGTGGGCACAAGATCGAGGATGTGTAAGGGGAGCAGAGAAGGGACTCCTGAGGACCAGTAGTTCCAGATATTGTCCAGGACTGAGGAATAATTGTCTGAGTAAGAGCAGAAAAAATTGAGTGACTATGAGAATAAACAATGAAAGGCAAGGTGAGTTCTCTGCAAGATGGGGTGGATGGCCCTCAATGCAGATGCCAGGCAGAATATGAAGGATGTGTACCTCTTGCATCTCATCAACAACATTTGGTACAGCTGAGGACAACCTCATAGCCAGTCCGCCCTGGTACTGCAGTGGGTTAGCTGGCAGCTGTCTCAACCAGGTATGAGACAGATCACTAGTTGTCCTCAGGGAAAGGATGTCAAACCCATGATCAATAATCACCCAGGGCCTTGATCATTCCAAAGATGAAGTAAAGTCACAAGGACAGACATGACAGTACATATGGTCATGCTGTGGGTGGGATGCAGAAGGCCATTGGGTCATTGAGCCAGGGGGTAGCGAAGGTTAGATATTGACAAAGAAATTGGGAGGGAAAGGCAGACACGACCATACATACAGTCATGCCATCAGGAAGGTGGAAGATGGTATAAGGTCATCAACGACAATGGACTCGATGGTACAAATGGTCAAGCCCATGTGAGTAAGGAAATATAAGGATGAGGATACATAAGAGTGAGGAAACTAATCTGGATAAGGATACATAAGACTTAATGACTTTGGCGATGACAGTGCACAATAGTCACAAATAACTTATATAATAATTTCATTCCCAGCCACATTGATAATTTGTACTGTCGAGCTTCACTTCATTGTTCCACACATTCTCTGAGCTCAATGGTATGTACCGTCGAGCTCATTGTACTCAATCACCATGTACCATTGTCCTTTTCATCACTGGGACTTTGACCACCACCTTGCGACCTTCAAGCCAACATTGAATGCCACACCTCGTCTGCAATGCCTCCCAACAGAGCACATCACCTTTTTCTTCGTTTTTCCGCTCGGCAATCCTTTGGATCACGCGGGTGCAGTGATATGCATAATTTTGGTATGCAGTTTGGCCTATAAAAGCCAGTGCCTGACATCCTCAATCCAGCTGTCAACTTCTCAACCATATGTGCGGAGCAGTGGCTCATCGTGCATATCAGTTGACTTGCCTTTTATTTCCAACAGCTATGATCCTTTAGATTGTGTGGATCCATCTATTCTGTCAACCCCTCCACCATACATACAGTGGAGGGGGCAGCGACTATCCATACCCTCTATGCATGTCGGTCAACCTCTGTGATACATTGCCATACCTATACCACATATCCTACACTACCACCACTTTCATCTATCTAAATGTCTCATTCGACATTTCCAACCTCTGAACTTCCCGCTCAGTGAGATCAGAAATCCATTCACCATCATATTGGCCCTTGGGTAATCCTGTCATCGGGCTCCATGAAGTCTCCAGATTACTGGGCACACATATCCTTTTCATTGGCTTTGAGCCCTGGGGCAAGAAAATCTCAACCTCCAATACTCTCTGATGGTTGATAATATTCAGTTCTTTCTCCACCCCACAATGCCATGGCATATTCTTGACCCAGAGTACCGTTTTCACATTGTTCTCCATGTCACTTTCTTCTGAGCTCATCCCATTGTCTCCCACCATTTTGATTAGCTTTTGAAGCCACTGCCAAGTTGGGAGATCCTCTTCAACTTCATCCTTTTTCAGCTCAATGATGTGATGGAGAACTTTTGTTCTTCACATGTATTTCTTTGATGGCATTAGTATCTGAACAACCTTTTGGACTAGCCAATCATCTTTCTTACTCCTCTCCAAATCTTCAAGGAGCATATTGAGAATTCTCACATTCCAGGGAGTTTTAGATCCATTTGCGAGATCAAAGGCAAGTTCCTGGTGGTCAGGGCCTGGACCATTTTCATACTCATATGAGTTCACGACATCACGAGTGGCTGTCTTGTGGCCCAAACAATCGGCATCTTGAGATATGTTCAATTTTTCTCGGATGAGATGCCAGACTTTATCCTGCTCCATGCTCAGTAGAATTCTTTGTGTCGAAGTTCTAGCTCACCAGAAGGAAGTCTCTTTCATGGCTCGACTCTGCAGCCCTTTCTCTTCTAACTTTGTCATCCTGCATTTTTTTTACCTTTCCTTTGAGGACTCCGCTTCATGACTCTCAGGAGATCCTTGTCGATGAGGATGTGTTTGAGTGCTGCCTCTACACCTCTGGAGACTGCATTCTCCATTGCAGACATAGAAGCATCGCCTGATTGCAGTGGCTCTGGCTTGACCATGTGTGATTGTTCTGGACACATTTCTATAGGGTCATTGTCCTGTTATGGTGTGAGTGGAAAACCAGTTCCAACCACATCCAGTACTTACATCTGCCACAGATACCAGACATGTCCTGCGCATTGTTCCATGTGCCTTCTTAATCCTTTTGATTGCATCGAGGGATGGAGTGTTGGACTGTGGTTTCTGAGGCGTTTTGGCCTGCTGCTGAGCGCTCCTGGGGGTGGTGTCTGTGTCCATATCCATAGCTGCATCCTGTTGCCTACCGCATCTCGCAAACTGTTGCTCCATGTTAGTGAGCTCAGCCTGTTTTTCTGCCTTCAGGTTTTCTACTTCTAGTTGCAGCCTTTGTTCTACCTCGGCGCCAATGGATTTCTCATGTTCTTCTAACTGCTCAATATCATTAGTAATTGTCCTGGTCTATTGTTTGCCCTCACCTCTTTTTGTCTTCTTTCGGTTAATTCTGCTTCCTGGCACTGCTGGTGATGTTGTTTGTGAATTACCTATCAGCTTTGTAAACACATGTCTGACTGAGCAGCACAACATAAATCACTTCAAGTTCATTTTCAGCATACTTCAGTTGCTTCTCCCACTCTCTCAAAGCTGCTTCCAATTGCTGAGCCTGCTTGCCAATGTCACGTGCATGACACTTGTGTTCGTCTTCTGCAAGAAGGTATTGTTCCTGAATGTGTTCTTCAGCTTGCTGGCGCACTTGCCAATAACTAGCAAATCAGCAGTGATGCATCCACAGAGTCTCGTGTGTACCACTTCTGCAAGACGGTGTTGTTCCTGAATGTATTTCTCAGCTTGCTGGCGCACCTGCCAATGACCAGCAAATCAGCAGTGATACATCCACTGAGTCTCTCATGCATACCACTTCTGCATGATGTTCTTGTTCCCGGAGGCATTCTTCAACTTGCTGGTGCACCTACCGATGATCATCAGCGGTGATATATTCACTGAGTCTCTTGTGCGTACCATCTGTCCTTCCTCCATGATTTTGTTAATCTGTTCTTCTTGTTTATATACAGTTGTACAAAGTTCTTGTGAATAGTCAACTTCATGAAAGTGTTGTTTTTCAGATGCCTGGATGGGTATGAGTCACTGAAGCTGATTCATACTATCCAAACGTACCGGTTCATTTCTGACCCTCTTGTCAAGTCAAACTGCACTGGCCAAAAGTCATACCTCACTAGCTGAAAGACATGCTCCACTGGCCAAAGGTCATACTGCACTAGCTGAAAGTCATGCTCCACTGGCCAAAGGTTGGCTGCGAGGATCTACAAAGTTACCAGTAGCGCTCTCACAACCATTGTCATCATCAAACAATTTTGAGTCATGAGATGTTTGTGCGTCTTCCGGCCCAATGGGTGGGCACCGTGTGTTAGTGACATTGACACTCATAGGGTAATCCATCGTTTAGTCACACAATAAATGCCGCAGCACAAGTTGGTAAAGGTAATTGCAGCATCGTGAAGGGCAATTGTACAGTACTCTGAGATAATTGGAAGTTGTTACTTGAAAACAAAAGTTCAGAAACAAAAAGTCTTTGATAACAAATGAGAGGTGCAGATAAATATGCCATGAGCAGGCGACTACAGTAGATCACCTTTATCCGCAACAATGCCTCTCTTTGCCACATTTTTCAAAAATCAACACAGCCACAGTGTCGTTACAAGACACTAGCTCATTTAACCACCTACAGTGGTTCCGTTCATGCACTTGCCATTTCTAATGATGGGCATATTCTTGTAAGTGGTGGTGAGTAGGCAGGGACTCAGCCACAGCTAGTGCTAAAAACAGGTAGGCATAAAGGGCATGAAGCTCTGGGATATTAATTCTCGCAAGGAACTCCCATGTTTGTCTCATCATGAATCCTAGGGAACAGTTAGTTGCGCAGTCTGGGTCACAACAAGGCAAACCATAGTAGAGACCCTCTGTTATGGAACAGGCCTGGGTTATATCACATTTTTGTGATGTGGGTTCATAGATGTAAGCATCCAGGCATGTCAATTGACCTTCTATTAACAATTATAGAACAATTTTCAGGAGATTTGCACAAGGAGACTTGGATCAGGTTTTGAGATTACTTGCCTGTCATGTCATCCAACTTCTTCTGAAGGCAACATGCAGATTGCAGTTGGAACAAGAGACCAGATGGTTCAAGTTCTCATGCCAAATACGAGCGTGCAGCTCCAGTCCATCTTTGCAGTGCAGCTTGAAAATACAGTACCCAAGTCTGTAGCATTTGTGGATAACAGAGCCATCTATGTCTTCAGGCTGTATGATGGCAAATTGTTAGTCCCGCTACTGCAAAACTTTTGCCTGATACTAATGATCGAACAGCATGAAACTGGAGGATGAAGATGGTACTATAGTGGAGGAGATTAGCTGTAAATCAATGATGTAAGCTGCCACTGCTCTCAACATGCACGTTACTGACATTATCTAGTGGCCATGCAGTGGTGAACCAAAAGCATGGGGTTTTGTCATAGACAACGCAACTGATGGCTTTACATTGTATCACCTCGAAGGCAAGGGGGAGCCTGTTCGAACATTCATGACTGCTTTGCCAAGCATGTCAGTCCCAAAGCAAGTGGCATTTGGAGAAGAAGGCAAGGTAGTTGCAGGAGGAAGTGATAATGGACTAGCATATATATTCAATAGGAAGATGGGGCAGGTACTTGAAACCCTCCATCACATAGATGCTGGTCTGGTACAAACAATAGCCATAAGTATTAGAATTGGGCACAAATAATGTCACTGAACTGGTTTTCAGACACACAATCTTGATGGCCGCTGCACAATTGCCTGCACTTCGCCGGCATCAGGGCAGGAGAAAACTACAATCAAGATATGGGTGTGTGACTATGCAGCACAGAAGGTATCCAAGACTCCTCCACAGAACTATTGGTCTATCTTGTGAACATTGATGTTCCTGACACAAATACTGGCACTGTTGTCGATGAGTATGTTCCTGGTAAACTATAAAGACGTGATTTATGTAAGTCAACCATTTGTTTGACTAAGTCGCACCTCAGGACAGAGCAATTAATAATCTGCACCAGTATATGACTTCAGCAACAATGGTTAATGCAGCTGTCAACTTTTCCCAACATGTCAAAGTGGCCATGATCTTTAACAACTATGAGTCCTTAGACATGCAGAGGGAAGGCCAAATGGAAGGACCCACGGAAGGACCCAAGAATGACATCAGGATGCTCCAAAAATTGGCAAAGAAGCTCATGGAACTAGCTGAAAAAGCAGGTGGAGAAATCAACAAAGAGAGACACAAGGGCCCAGAGGTGAAAGATCACAAGACTAATCAGTGAGTAGCAATGGCAGATGTAGATAGGAAGGACGTTGCTCTCGTCCTAGCATAGTATGGTTGCACCGTTGCAGAAATAGATTGACCTATGTGTGTAGAAGGTGTGGATAGTCGCTGCCCCCTCCACTGTATGTATGGTGGAGGGGTTGACAGAATAGATGGATCCACACAATCTAAAGGATCATAGCTGTTGGAAATAAAAGGCAAGTCAACTGATATGCACGATGAGCCACTGCTCCGCACATATGGTTGAGAAGTTGACAGCTGGATTGAGGATGTCAGGCACTGGCTTTTATAGGCCAAACTGCATACCAAAATTATGCATATCACTGCACCCGCGTGATCCAAAGGATTGCCGAGCGGAAAAACGAAGAAAAAGGTGATGTGCTCTGTTGGGAGGCATTGCAGACGAGGTGTGGCATTCAATGTTGGCTTGAAGGTCGCAAGGTGGTGGTCAAAGTCCCAGTGATGAAAAGGACAATGGTACATGGTGATTGAGTACAATGAGCTCGACGGTACATACCATTGAGCTCAGAGAATGTGTGGAACAATGAAGTGAAGCTCGACAGTACAAATTATCAATGTGGCTGGGAATGAAATTATTATATAAGTTATTTGTGACTATTGTGCACTGTCATCGCCAAAGTCATTAAGTCTTATGTATCCTTATCCAGATTAGTTTCCTCACTCTTATGTATCCTCATCCTTATATTTCCTTACTCACATGGGCTTGACCATTTGTACCATCGAGTCCATTGTCGTTGATGACCTTATACCATCTTCCACCTTCCTGATGGCATGACTGTATGTATGGTCGTGTCTGCCTTTCCCTCCCAATTTCTTTGTCAATATCTAACCTTCGCTACCCCCTGGCTCAATGACCCAATGGTCCTGGGAACGAAATTATTACATAAGTTATTTGTGACTATTGTGCACTGTAATTGCCAAAGTCGTTAAGTCTTATGTATCTTTATCCAGGTTATAGTTTCCTTACTCTTATGTATCCTCATCCTTATATTTCCTTACTCACAGGGTTCGACCGTTTGTACCGTCGAGCCTATAGTCCTTGATGACATTATACCACCTTCCCAACGGCATGACTGTATGTACGGTCATGTTTTCCTTTCCCTCCCGATTTCTTCATCAATATCTAACCTTCGCTACACCCTGGCTCAACAACCCCAATGGCCTTCCACATCCCACCCACAGCATGACCATATGTACTGTCATGTCTGTCCTTGTGACTTTACTTCGTCTTTGGAATGATCAGGACCCTGGGTGGTTATTGATCATGGGCTTGACATCCTTTCCCTGAGAACCACCCATAATTGGTGATTCATCCATACCTGGTTGAGACGGCTGCCAGCTCTCCCACCACAGTCCCAGGGCGGACGGATATGAGGTTGTCCTCAGCTGTAGTTGGCATCATCGCCACATTCCTCATCACCATTCAGCTATTGCAACTTTGGTTCAAGGTAAGCATCCTTCATATCCTGCCTGGCATCTGCATCAAGGGCCATCCACCCCACCTTGCAGAGGACTTGTCTTACCTTTCATTTCTTATTCTCATGGTCGCTCAAATCTTTCTGCTCTTACTCAAATGATTATTCCTCAACCCTGGACAACATCTGGAACTACTGGTCCTCAGGAGTCCCTTCTCCGCTCCCCTTACACATTCTTGATCTTGCGCCAGCCATTGGAATTGAAGGCCAGCATTTTGAAGACTTTCAGCTCCCCTGCATTCATTTCCTAGTTTGGTAGTTATTATTGAAGGTAACATTTTCATACCAGACCCACTGTTGTTATTGACATTCTGTTGTTTTCTAGCAACCATTGTTGTTATTTTATTGTTTCATCACTACAAATTGTTGTTGTTTTTGCCTCCCTGCACTCAGACCCTGCCACTTCATTGTTTCCCATACATTATCAGTGATCATCCAGAATCAAGTTCCATCGCTGACAAGAGGCTGTCTCATTGTGGCCGCCTCTGCCCTTCATGCCCACATACCGTGTAGTTTATAAATGGTGCACTTGCCAGGAGTGCATCAAAAATGGTGGTTGTACTGAGGATGGTTCCCCTAAGGGGGTGCTCGTTGCAGAGCGTCTCATGGCAGCTCATCTCCAACGTACCCAGTGTGCACAAGCCAAACATGTTGCACTCGCTCGTGCAGATGGCTCCATCGGCAAGGATGATAACACAAATTTGGTAGCCTCTCAACTCCACACACTCATCCTGACTGACAATGATCTGCATATCGCTGCCTCTGCAAGGACAGGCACATCTCATGCTGTTACTCCTGTACATGGCCCTGAGCCAGAGCAACCCAATCCTACTTCACCATCTATTCTAACTCTAGCAGATGATCTTGAGCGACTCAAGTTGTTGGATCCTTCTGTTGCATGACCCAGTGGCACATGTGCTCATACTTATGCCCCTGAACACCCGGAACACCCCAACACCACACCACTAGTATCTATTCCAGCTCTGGTAGATGGTCTTGAGTGACTTACTTTGTCTGCTCCTTTGTTGCACGAGACACCCAAAGGTGCAAAAATTGGTGGACTGTGATGGACTTGAAAGTTCTCAATAATATCAAGTTGTGTGTTCAGCGGTGCTTTCGCTTATTATTTGCTAGTAATTCCAATGATATTCATTGTGAGCTACCTTTGCTTCGCAAAGCTGTGGAGAAAGTGAAATGAAAGGCAGACCTTGTGGTCGCACGGAAGAAGGAAATCATGTTGGAGATAGACGGCTTAGAAGCCCAGTTCAACAGTCACAAGCCGTCCGCAAGGGACTTACACACAGCAGTTGAGTTTGATACCGGTGAGCGTTGACCATCTTAATCATGGTACTGTGCTCATCAATCAATAGACATTCACTATGAATCCCCTGTGAATTGCTATGATGAAATTGCACAAGTCGCATTATTCATCGGTGTGATGTGTAAAGTCATCATGGGGGTCAGTAGATGAGGCTGTGACTTCATCATGGGACTCATTTTAGTCTTGCTATTCCTCATATTCTGGAGATCGGATGGCACCCTTAGCTCTTCCCATGAAAATGTGCTGAGGCAAATTCTGATGACTTTTGAAACCGTGCTCACAAAATTCCATCTCACCAGGAAAACCATCATACATGCGGTCTGCCCCAGCTGCCATTGCACTTACGGCCCCCATTATGCAGAAGGCTCGACTATTCCTACATATCCTGAACGTTGCACACATTGACCCACACCAGAGGCCAAATGTGGTCAGCCAGTACTTGAACATGGCCGCGATGGAGTACTCTGACTGAAGAAGACATTTGTGTACCACAATTTCAAAGACTATCTTGTTGGTCTCCTTTCCCGTTCAGATATTGAAGCTGCAATGGATCAAGCTTGTGATGATTTGCAGGACTCAATCAACTCTCCGCATCCACCCTTGATGAAAAACGCATTCAAAGCTCAATTTCTTCGTCAGTTTTGTGGCCCAGAGCCAAGTTCACTTTGTATTGATAGAGGAGAGGAGGGATGTTATGCCTTTGCCCTACACATTGATTTCTTTAATCTGGAGGGTATGAACTTGCATGGTGCCAGCACCTTGTCTGGAATCATTTCTATGGCATGCTTGAATGTGCCATCAGATATCAGGTACAAGCCTGAAAACTTGTATCTCACAGGTATCATCCCAGGTCCAAAACAGCCTTGGCTCGGGGACCAAATGCAGGAGAGTACCTTGCCTGTTGTGCATTGAGCAAGTGCAGTTATGTTGGTGAGTCACTGGCACCTCTAGGCTGGACAGCCATGACCTATTCAGATTACCTAATGAATCACTTCATTCAGCTTTCATTGAGAAATTGCATAATTCAATTGGGTTGCCCATCACGTGTTATCCAAGACGAAGTGAGCTACATCTCTGTCAAGATGGCAACCATTAGTAGCACCATTGATGTGTTTCATAATGCAGGTCCTGATGAAGCCAGGTCACAAGACATTGTGTTTGTTGATGGGAATGGTACATATGTGAGCAAGCTGGGACTCGGTGTGCAGTACTAAATTGATACTTATTTGTAGACATTGAACTGGCAGATGTTATCAAAAGGCAACAGCTTCAAAGACATGACACTCACACAATGTTCGAGAGGCTTATGAAACTACACTCCTTCACCCGACCTGGTCTCATGCAAGATGAATTCCGTCATTTCCTTACAAGGTGCAATTGCTGTGAGCTCATCATGATGAGGTGCATGTTTGAGTGCCATGACTGCATAGGACAGGAGAAGCAAGGAGATGTCAAAATCATTGATCTGACTACAGGCAACATTTAGTAGCAGACCATTTTTTTTACATGTATGCACCTGATAAATAGTCATGGCACGAAGTCTTGTACTATGAGTTGTCACAATGATCAATTACACACATAGCACATACTACTAATCAATTTGTTGTTCCGCAAGTGAATGATGACATAAATATTATATATATCAAAAAACTGAGTACTTCAAGAAGGAGGTGGGAAAGGCTAAGGTACAAAATGGAGAACAAGTGTACAGCATGTCAATGTGAAAATAAATTATAGTACACACCCTGACCACCGACCGATGGGACACCATCCTGTCAAGATGCATATATGTCTGAATCAGGCACCACACTCAATACATCACTATCTGCATCATCAAATATCATGCCTGCAGGTGCATGGCCAGACATGTGCAGTGCACCCTGGGAGATACCAACCCCAGTGTCAGCTTTGCGAAGTTTGTGACTAATACATTGTTCCATATGACTGTAGAGTTCTTTTTCGATCATGACACACTTCAGACGTCTCCAGGCATTGAGCACTTATGAGAGCAATGTTGAGATCACTATCATGACATGTCTCCCAGTATGGGGGAGGGTATAAGGATTCCATCTAGTTGATTGTCATTGGTTATAATACTTTAGTATCTAACAATGGCACACACAGTTTGTGGTTCTTGCACAGCTTTGTGGGAGATAGGTGGAGAGAGGTATGCATCTGTTA